CAAGTATTTCACAGTTGGGGATCTCCTGTCTTTACCCCGATCGACGCATCAAAAGCAGAATCTATCTTACGTTCATTTAATCTCTACAATACCTGGCAGCATGTAATCTTTGGTCTCCGTAATGGTTTTGATGTGGGGATTCGGTCATTACCCACCCACACAATTTTATTTCGACAATCATGCATCCTCCCGCCTCAACCCAGAGTTCATAGCATCGTACATCGAGAGCGAACATGCAATTGGGCGCTACTCACGAGCATACTCACCAGAGGAGCTCGAGCAGCTAATTGGCCCCTTTCGCACATCACCCATTGGCTTAGTTCTCAAGCCCAACTCGTCAAAATACCGCATGATTCAGGACCTCTCCTTCCCACGCAACCATCCATCGATCCAATCCGTCAATGCTGGAATCGACTCGGGAATCTTCTTGGGGGTCATTCGAGGCAGCCTCCGAGCTGATTCTCAACCTTCCGATAGGCTGCCGTGCGGCGACATTCGACATTTCGGCGGCTTATCGGCTCACCCCCATCCGACCCGACCAACAAAACGCACTCTGCATCCTTTGGGATGGAAAAGTCCGAGTCGACAGAGCAGTCATGTTTGGGATGGCGTCAAGTGCCGGAGTGTTCGGTTGCGTGGCAGACATGCTAGTCGATATCTACAAGGCAGCTGGATTCGGGCCATTAATCAAGTGGGTCGACGATTTCTTCGTGGTACAGCTACCAGGTGCGACATGGACAGAGGAAGACTTCACCGGCCTCACAGCAGCTATGGGGGTACCATGGAGTGCCGAGAAGATTCGTCCGCTCGCACAGACACAACGGTACATCGGGTTCGATTGGCACCTCCACACGAAGTCAGTCAGCCTACCAACCGAAAAGGTCACGAAGCTGAAAGACACCCTGCAGTGGTGGCTAACTCAGGGTGTCCGGGTGCTTGCCAGCGAAGCAGCAAGCCTCCATGGCAAGTTAATTCATATCTCCTCGATCTTCCGCCTCATCCGCCCTTTCCTACCGGCCCTAGCTCGCTTCGCCCAATCCTTCCGTTCACACCGGGCACGCCTGCGACCCCCGCCTTCTGTCACAGGCGACATTCGTTGGGTCCTCGATCTACTCAACATAACACCCAACGAAATACCGTTAATGCCACCCGAACCCACCGACATCGACTGGTGGGGCGATGCCAGTACCTCTTTTGGAATAGGAGTAACAGTGGGCTCATTATGGGCGGTGTGGCAATGGAAAGAGGGCATCAAGATTGGCCCGAAACAGCGTTTCGACATCGCTTGGGCAGAGGCCGTAGCCGTCGAGCTTGCCCTTCGTCTCGCCTTGGAAGCAGGCTTGCTCCACCCAGGGCATTACCTTGTCAGGTCCGACAACTCAGGTGTAGTCGCAGTGCTGAATGCGGGACGAGCCCGGAACAGGGAAGTCAACGAAGTACTAAAGAGCATTTATGTGCTGCTAGCACGTCATGCCATCCGTCTTTCGCTCATCCACATCTCAAGCCGAGCCAACGTCACAGACGCCTTGTCGAGGGGGGATATCCCAGCCTTCCTGACCGGGTTTCCAAAGGCCAAAATGAGGATGGTAGCACCACTTCCCCCACACCTTTCTGGCTTACTAACACTGTGTTAGCGTTCCCAATCCTTGTTCCCCCCTGCATCCCATCCACCACTCATGGGGATTTTACAAGCCACCACTCCGACATTCCGTGCCTCCGCCCTTCGCCCCTCCGGCCGGCATGCAGAGCTGAGGAGAGGTTGTTCCATTGGAAAGGTGTAAACACCCCACCACCATCGACAATTGACCATCCGACGATCAAACTCATAGCAGACATCGCATCGAGAGCATCACTACGAGACACCAAGAGCTACGGCTCGGGCTTACGCAAGTTCCATATATTTTGTGACACTTTCTCCATTCCAGAACACCAACGCCTACCAGCATCTTACGAACTCCTCCACTCATTCGCATTATGGGCAGTCACAGACCCAAATGCCCTAGACCCATCATTTTGCAGCAACATCGCCTTTGAACCAGTCTCAGTACCCACAATTCGGAAATACCTGTCTGCGATACGAGCATGGCACATTGCACAAGGATGGCCTGAACCCCTCTCGGAAAGTGACCAGGATCGGATAGATTGGTCCTTGCGGGGCCTCCAAAACATCTTTGGTAAACGCAGCCGACCTGTACGCCCACCAATTACCATTCCTATGCTACGAGCTCTCAAGCGGACCCTCAACCTCAATGATACCTTTGATGCCTGTGTGTGGGCGATGGCAGCATGTGCTTTCTGGGGTATGATGCGGTTCGGCGAGGTGTCAGTCAAATCCCGCAAAGATTTTAGTGGTGATAAACATCTTAAACGTCGAGACGCCTTCCTCGGGAGAGACCTGGATGGTCGCCGGTATGCTCGCCTTGACCTTCCTTCAGCCAAATCCGTTTTCCATTTTCCAGCTGCAGTGGAGACCTCATTTGCACTTACTGGAAAAGGCTGCCTTGCCATGGCTTCAGCCACAACATCGGCCCGCTCAATCGTCAAGATGGAAGGTTGAAGAGGACAAGATCAACTCTCAGCCCCCATCTGCTCATGGCCTACTCAGGCGAGTCTGGTATGTTGTCTGCCTTTCGAAAGTTTTTGCACGCTTCTAAAAGACTTCTTTCTTACAAGACCTAGGTGACACGATTCAATTCGCGGAATACGTTGAACGCAACATCTGCCTGTACCAAATCCGCAATCTCTACGCCCTGCGACCAGCCGCAGCTGCCTCATGGATCCGGAGAGCCGTTGCAGAGTCACTGTGATCACGCAAGCTCTTCTCTAGATCTGTCAACCTCCTTCTAGGTGGTTATGACACAGCGACGGACGACCCACATCTCGACTGAGTTGACCGTTAGAAGACAATGTCGGAGACCCTCCTTTGCTTTTAGGTTGCTCGACGGTTGACCTGTAGGTCCGTTTCCCCTTCCGCTTGTCACCTATGCACTCTGCTGATGTGACGGCTTTCTTACAGCCACCACGATTCCAGTACCACTCTTGAGGAAGCATTGGCGACGCAGAAACGCAGCCTCGAGAGGCACCCAAACATCACGTTCTCATCCCTGGCACATACAGGGTCAAGGTCACAGAAAATGACGGTGCTTAGGGGTTGGAGCTGTAAGATGACTGGCCGAGAAATTTTTGACGTTACGGAGCTGCAATTAACTTCGCCTCAAGAATCAGTGATGAGACTCCAACTTTACCGTCATTCTAGTCAGCGTGGTTGGTGGAGTTGTCATTGCTGAAATAGGATTCTGGGTGGGAGGCGCGCGAATCATGTCTATGGACAAAAAGAACAGGTACGTTAAAGCAATTTGTCGGCGATTCACTGCCAGCTGACCGACATTCGTCAATCGGTCTCCGTCTAGGCTCTGAGATGTAGATGACTGCCTCCTAGCCTGGACCTTTCCGACGTGGTTCTACTTGCCCTGCAAGCTCTGGGGCGGCGTGCTGTGGTTACGACGTCCGCAGCGACGCTTTTCGAAGCCTACCTGGATAACAAATGTGGAGTTGAACACCCCCACACTCGTAGGTCGGTCTACCACTATATCTTTGATGATATTTATTCAGCGTCCGTAGGGATAACGATCATTATTTGGTACCCCCGAAACGCACTCGTATTTCTGAAAAACCCAAATTTGATTTGTCCAAACTCTATCTATTGTGCCTCAACGACTCTACACGACGACGCGAGCAAGATTGTAACTTAGCGCGATTCAATGCCGGATGCCCGTCCGTTGGCCTCGTCCTTTTCATCATTTGTTATCTCCTGCTCTTGTCACAAGAAATTTTTCTGGCTCCTGGTTCCCAAAAGAGTCGTACTTTCTTCACGGCAACGGCGGCTCTTCATCGTTTCTACGTACGTCGATGGTGTTCCTTGCGAGTACGGTATCGCTGGTCTTCGGTCCATGAGACTCGCGGACGTATGTACGCTTGCAAGGGGGGGTTGTCTCGGCGGGTGAAGTTTCTGCCTTCAGATCCCAGCTGGCAGGGCCCGACGAGCTGTCTGGAGGAAATCTCGAGTCCCGGCTCGATGATGGACGTCCTGGCTTTACAAATATTCGGCATACCTGGTCCATGCTTGGAGCAGCGATTGGACAAGAACTTCGAAGACGGACGGTTTCGGCAGCACTCTGCACAGGGTGTCGTTCTGGCAAATTGACCGCCGCATGGTATGTTTCTTGCTTGTTCAACGCAAAGATTGGGCGGATGGCGGTAGTGTTTGGGCTTGCCCCAATAGCAGTGCATCGAAGAGAAAGAATCGGTTACGGTCCATTAGGCTAGGAGTCAAGAAAACAATGGGGCGGAGAATCATGGCGAATCCTTGCTGAGCATCGCATGTAGTGGCACCCTCTCTTCGCCGATAAATATTAATTGAACACGCGAACAATACATGAGGTATGAAAATGGGAAAATGTGGACGATTCCATGAAATGATGCCATTACAAAGCTCATGTTCGAGGGGTCGACCTCTTCTTGGTACACATACTCTATGACCACCTCGTGTTTGCTTCGTTGGATCTTCTGAGAAAGCAGATGAAGACGAAAAGTCAGCCAACCCCGGAAGGCATAGATTTGAAATTGTAGCGCAGCTAACAGCCTTGTCGCACAAGCGCCAAATCGGGGGACCGCAAGGCTTCGCAAGCGCTTTGGGAGTGAATTTGAGCTATCTGCACCCTTTAACTTTGACGTCCACCGTGATGCTATAGGATAGGGTGACCGTATACAAGTAAAGGAGAATTTAGAAGCTGTAGGAGGGAGAGCGGGATGGAAGGTTAGTGGCGCCAAACGCAATGGTACCAGCCGGCCAGTACACCTTGAGGTGGTCGCGAGGCTTATCGTAAGATGGTGTTCTGTTCGTATCAGCGAGGCTATGATGTTGTTTCTGATATATCTATGGAAGACGATGATATGAGAGTTAGTTCGACGTTATCAGTCCTTCATCTGCTGTACTTGCCTCATGGTACCCACACAACGCGGTGCTCTATGTGGAGCTTTGGAAAGCGAAGGAAGATTTGATCAGACCATGGGAGTGACAAGCCGCGCCTTCTGAGTTCTACAGACTCAATTGCCCGGCCGCAGCTCCTTTCGTTCTAAATTTGACGAGTAGGGTGCCTTAGACAGGATTCATTCTTGGAGAGGAGGTTTCCGGTATCGATTTCTTATGAGGGTAACAACCGGGCGTGGTCTGCGACGAGCTTTTAGCCTCCAATTGCGGGAGGCGCGGATAGCGGAGTCCCACATGGGCCTCGCTCGAACGTTGGCGAGTGGACTGGCCGAGGAAAATCGATATCGCCATGTGACGTCTCAGAGGGTTGAGCAGCCTTATCTTCATTGCGGCCTGGACAAAAAGGAAGAATAGTTGACATGTAAATCGATTTAGCCTAGGTGGGGAAGTCATACCTCGCACTACACTGTCTTGAAATTCTAGAAGAGGGATGACCAGAGCGATGCAGGTGCTACTTAGGTCGTAGCGTTGAAGCTCGACAGTATTACGGGGATGGCGGAATGACGATGAAAAGGTGACGACGGAAGCGCAGTTGGATTCGGGACTTGAGCCATTCGAGGCGCACCCGAGGAAGTAGCCTCAGGCCGGAGAAGAGACATCGACGAGCTTCAGGACCATCCAGGATACGAAGAGAAGAGTGTTGATGCATGATGATCGATGAGCTGTCGTTTGAGGGCCATACCAAGTCTTCGAAGAGGTCCTATGGCGGTGGGACAGATAATTGGACAAGGCGGGCTTACGCAGACTCGTAGAGCTTCGCAGTCATAAAGAAGCAGAAAAAACAGTGAAAGGTGAAGCTTACATAAGTGATCCCTAGGGTTAGGGTGTCCGTGACCGCCGCGGCGATCTCGAGTCCTTCTCTCAGCACCTCTTTTTGACCTCTCTCATGACCAAGAATCCTCCTGGCAGGCATGCCCTCCATTCGTCATCGTTGAACTCCCAGGCTACTCTCTGATAGCAGGCAGTGGCACACGATGCAGTCAATAACCCCGGATGATCTAGTGCCAGTGTTCTGTGCGAACATAATCTTTTTTTGCTCAAAGAACACCGCTAAACACCGGATTCACCGGGCGAGGACCGCCTTACTCGTCTCTGTGTATATCAGCGTGGTATTGCTCAAGGTGTTGATTCCTGTCTAGGCCTTCACTGCAGTAGGTCCGACCATCGGAACGCTCCAACCCTTGGACGCCATCCGACGAGCTTCGACCACCAACTGCGTGCACTACCTGTGGTTTAGAACGGCCTCTTCTCAGCACCTCTATCGCAGATTCTTGCGAGATAGGAAGAAAGGGATCAGGATCGCGGCGCTGAGGCTGTTCTGTTGAGCAGGTGTGCTGTCATGGATGACTTCCATTAGCCTGAGGAATACTCATCGCTCTGACACACCCTTTTCACAGCACCTGTATTCGTCGATGTTCGTCTTTCTGCTTGGGGATGTATCAAAATGTAACGGCATGAACAGAATAGAACGCTTGTTTGTTTTGTCAAACGTGTAGACCTCGTGTCTTCCATCTTCATACCCTTGTTCACTGTCGACCTTCAGACTTCAACTGCCCTCACTTCGCAGCATCCGTCCTCTGCTCTGCAATAGCGTCCCGAATGCCTTCCAACTCGATTTTGTCCTTTTTCTCCCCGAAATTCACAGGGACAGTGTCCGCTGTCCGTCGAAAGCGCAGGCCTCGCGATAAGAGCATACACTCACCGTCAACGGAACTGACGTCCCCCAGTTCTGCGCACATAGCCAATCCTGGCCGAGGACCAACACTTCCCGATACTGCTTGTACTCCCGATGGCAACCCTACCATCCGGAGCGCTGACTCTCGTGGCCGCCAAGTGCTAGAGGGGGTCATGATCGGGCTTGCAGTGGCGGCCCCCATCGTAGAAGCAATCCCAGTTGTCGGAACGCCCCTTAAAGCGGCCGTTGGCGATTTGTTGGAAATTCTCAAGGCTGCAGATGTGAGTCATAGCATCATCCGAGAGTCAGCGTTGACAAAACTGACGTCTCAAAAACGTAGCAAATTACTCAGAACAGAGACGATGTCAGAGATCTTGAGGAAAGGCTCTGTTGGCTGCAGGATCACCTGGTGAAGGTTCCAGATGCCTCCTCCGATGATATTCGAGAACGTCGAGCTGACTTGACTCGGTGCGCCTCTCCGAATTTTATCTCAGGAGATTTCTGATCGTCAACATGGGCCCTAGCAAATTGGATCAAACTTTGAAGGCTCTGAAGGAATTAGGACGGAAACGTGTGGTCCGGTTCGCAAAGATTGCAGAAAAGATCAGCCAAAGCTCCAAAGACATTGGTCACTACATAGCGAGATATTCTGTAAGTTTGCGTGACAAATTTTCCTGAAGAATTATCTGCGAACGTTGTTCGTCCAGGCTTTGAGCATCATGCATGCCGAAAATGCTCTGGAGCGCATCGAAGCAGGCCAGAAACAGATGCAGGAACATTGGGGAGTGTTCATCGCCCTGCTGCCACATGATATTCATGGCAGGATGACAGGAATAATTCTGGTGGACGCGACACGAAAGGAGCATCTGGTCTCAATGGATCATGCTGCATCCTATGAGGTATGTTCCAAGGTTACTTTGTTTGAGTTTATACGACCCAGTTGATCCGCGGAATCAATGATAGATGTTTGCAAAAGCTATGGCACGTTTGTTCGACGGGGACAAGTTGGAAGCCACAATTCAGCGACGATACATAGAAGAGGGCATGTATGACTTGTGTGTCGACGAGGGCACGCAAGTCGTTCCGATAAACGGGCAGCGGGACTGGTCCGCGATTAGTCCTGGCACGAAAATCGTCATGAGAGTCATTCTTCCGCAAAGGAAAGTACTGGGTGCGCGGAAATATCAATGCCTTCGGTGCCAGAAATGGAATGAACCCGATAACTCTTCAAGCTTCAACATTGGTCTCTATCGACTGGTAGGTGAAGTACTCATTTGTTGATGGTATATTGCAAGGGTTATTTGTAGCTGGGGTTGCGATGGAAGGTTCCAGATATCCGATGCTGAGAACCCGCTACGTCCCGAAAGAGTTGAATCGGACATTCCGCATGAAGTGGAAATGGCCCTCCTTCGAAATTTCCTTCTGAAGAAAAAGGTGGGTGCCTCATTTAGCAATGAAAGCAAGGTAACATCCTGACCAGTTCAAACCACCCAGCATGTGCGTGCGTCTATTTGAGAGCATTTTACATCTCCTAATTGTTTTTCCCGTTCCTGCCGTTCATACTCTGAAACACATATCGTGCACCCATGTCCTGCACTGACCTCATCCGCGCCTATGGTCCCTTCTCAGTGGGTGTGTAACCCCGTTTCGTGATCCTGCCCTCCAACACTGACGCCATCCACCTTTTCCCCTCTCAGGAGGTGCGTTCCTCTGTTTCGTGATCCTGCCCTCCAACACTGACGCCATCCACCTTTTCCCCTCTCAGGAGGTGCGTGCCTCCATTTTGTGATCCTGCGCTCCAACACTGACCCCATCCACTTTTCCCCTCTCAGGAGGTGCGTTCCTCCGTTTCGTGATCCTGCCCTCCAACATTGACCGCATCCGTGTATATTTCCCCCTCTCAGCCCGTGCATGCCTCTGTTTCGTGATCCTGCCCTCCAACACTGACGCCATCCACCTTTTCCCCTCTCAGGAGGTGCGTGCCTCCATTTTGTGATCCTGCCCTCCAACACTGACACCATCCGCGTCTATGTTCATCTCTCAGGCCGTGCGTGCTTCCGTTTTGTGAAACTGCCCTCTGATGCGTACCCCATCCGGGTCTATTTTCCCCTCTCAGCAAGTGCGTTCCTCCGTTTCATGATCCTGCCCTGCAACACTGACACCATCTGTGTCTACTTTCTCCTCTCAGATGGTGCGTTCCTCCATTTCGTGATCCCGCCCTCCAACACTCACCCATCCGGGTGTATCTTCCCCTCTCAGCACGTGCGTTCCTCCATTTCGTGATCCCGCCCTCCAACACTCACCCATCCGGGTGTATCTTCCCCTCTCAGCACGTGCGTTCCTACGTTTTGTGATCCTGCCCTTCCACACTGACCCCATAGGCGTCTATTTCCCCCTCTCAGATGGTGCGTTCCTCCGTTTCGTGATCCTGCCCTCCAGCCCTGACCCCATCCGCGTCGATTTCCCCCTCTCAGCGTGTGGGTGGCTCCGTTTCGTGATCCTGCCCTCCGACACTGACACCATCCACGTCTATGTTCGTCTCTCAGGCCGTGCGTTCCTCCGTTTCGTGATCCCGGCCTCCAATACTGACCCCATCTGTGTCTATTTACCCCTCTCAGCAAGTGCGTTCCTCCGTTTCATGATCCGGCCTTCCGACACTGACACCATCCGGCTCTTTTTTGCTCTCTCAGCAAGTGCGTTCCAGCGTTTTGTGATCCTGCCCTTCCACACTGACCCCATCTGTGTCTATTTCCCCCTCCCAGCGTGTGCGTGCCTCCGTTTACTGATGCTGCCCTCGAACACTGACACCATCCGCATCTATGTTCATCTCAGTCGGTGTGCTCCTCCGTTTCGTGGTCCTGCCCTCCGACACTGACACCATCCTTATCTATTTCCACCTCTCAGCAAGTGCGCTCCCCTGTTTCATGATCCTGCCCTCCGACACTGACCCCATCTGCATCTATTTCCACCACTCAGCCCGTGCGTGCCTCTGTTTTGTGATGCCTTCCAACATTGACCCCATCCGCATGTATTTTCCTCTCTCAGTCGGTGTGTTCCTCTGTTTCGTAATCCTGCCCTCTGACACTGACCCCATCCGCGTCTATTTCCCCCTCTCAGCATGTGCGTGTCTCCATTTTGTGATCCTGCCCTCCAACACTGACACCATCCACATCTATTTTCCCCTCTCAGTTTGTGCGCTCCTCCGTTTCGCGATCCTGTCCTCCGACATTGACCCCATCCATGTCTATTTTCCCCTCTCAGCAAGTGCGTTCCTACGTTTTGTGATCCTGCCCTTCCACACTGACCCCATCCATGTCTATTTTCCCCTCTCAGATGGTGCGTTCCTCCGTTTCGTGATCCTGCCCTCCGACACTGATACCATCCGTGTCTATTTCCACCTCTCAGGATGTGTGTGCCTCCGTTTCGTGATCCTGCCCTCCGACACTGACCCCGTCCGCGTCTACCCCCCTCTCAGCATGTGCGTTCCTCAGTTCCAGCATCCTGCTGTCCGATACTGACCCTCTCCACATCCATTTCCCCCCTCTCAGTTGGTGAGTGCCTTCGTTTCGCGATCCTGCCTTCCAACACTAACTGGGTTCTCGTCTATTTTCCCCCCTCAGAAAGTACGTGCTTCTGTGTTCTGAGGGTGCTTCCCAACGCTGAACCTACCCTCGGCAATTTTGTCTCTCAGCGAGTACGTATCACTTTTTCATTGGGCTGCTTTCCACATTGACCCAGGTCCTATGCATTGTCCTCTCTCAGCAAGTGCGTTTGCGCTGCTTGTTGCGGATTCCTCATGCACACCCTGACCTCGTTGCTTACTTTTCCTTGTCAGGACGTTTGTATCTTACTTCTTTGTTTATTGGATCTCGGCTGAGAGTCTTTGTCGTGGCCATTTTCGTTCATAGCAAGTACGCATCTCCAATCTACACCTCCGCCATTAAATTAACTTTTTCCACCGTCATTCTTACTGTCCAGGAGGTGACATCTGCCTTTTCTTTCGTTATCTGGCAAGCACTCACTTGTCTTCTGTTGATGCCCATAGAAAATGCGTTTATTGGAATCCTTCTGTGTTACTGCCCTTGCCGACTTCGACGACAGGAATTCTTGCCTGAATGGCCGTATGTCCGTCTTTGATATTCGGAGGTTCAACTTAAAGTGACCTCGTTTTATCCTGTAGTGAGGAGGAACCCTCCTCTTCTTCATCTCCAGCAATGTTTCCTGCATCGTCTTCTTTCATGTCTTCTAGGTGAGTAGATCCTGATGTACGTGTGAATTATTTTCACATAGACTCTTATGTAGCAGCATATTGCCATCGGGTTTCAATTTTAGCGAATTCGTTCCCAGCAAATGTGATTCCAGCAAATTCGGTTTCAGCAAATCCAATCTTGGCGAATTCAATCTTAGCGAAGACGGAAGTGACGAGGAAGGTGAAAGGACTGAGGAAATGGACAAGGATGAGGACTTGGTTGAGGAAATCTACGAGGAGGGTTACTTAACTTGTGAGGAAGGTGATGAGGATGACTTGATTGAGGGTGACGAAGAAGATACCTCGAACTCGATGGTCTCTAAAGCAGTGGCTTGAGGATGGGAAGATTACAAACACCGTCATGAATTCGCTATTGTACGTCCATTTCTCCTGTTAGCGGATTTCTTTTTGATTTCTTGAGCCAGTTGTGAAAATTCTTCTTTATATCACCATCAATCTTTCTTAGGTGTGGAATATTGCCATCCCATCCACGAGCGTGTCGAATCTGGTAAGCTTCGAGAGCCTATCATCAGATTTTGGGATTGTTCTGCCCGCTCGCTGAGCCTGCTGATCATAAAGATTGGGGTGAAGTCTGTGTACGGTAAAAATACTGGAGGGCCTTCAGCCATCCTTCCCTTAAGCCAGTAAGCGAAGATTGTGAGTCGAGGTGTAAAGATGGCAGAACCTCGTTCGACGGACCGCACCTACAACGGCCATACATGCCTCTAGTCCTATACTACGACTGCGGTTTTAGCGCATGAATACATTGAGAAACACTGTACGGATGGTTAGTAGTATTGGGTGAACCCACATCGCCCAGCGGTGCTGAGTGTTACAGTCCTAACGTAAATTCCTGTCTTTCCTTCGTGGAACGCAAGGATTTGGGCTCGAGCCTACGGTAGAGTAAACGTAAGGGCGCGTCGAAGGGAAGCAGAGTCCAGAGGACCAGAAATCAGAACCACCAAAAGAATTCTACTGCTGGTGGCGAGCTTTGATTATTTTGGTCTCGCCACTCTTTCAGTCATCGGGAAGGTGAATCCTATACCCGCTCATAAAGCTCTCCATAAAGACTTATTGGCGATATCCAAGCTTTCAAAGTCCTCGGAATGTTGAGAACGTCCTATGCTATGAGAGCCGTGCCGATAGGTTGCAACATCGTCGACAAACTAAGAGAGGGCAGCCAGAGCAAATGCTAACCGTGACGAGAATGAGAGCATTGTCTCCACGAGCTCCCTCCGCTTTGAAGTTCCTGTTTTTATATGCATTCCTGAATGCAGATAACGAGGATCGCCAGGATACTGTGATACTACTCACGGAGAATAGAGATTTTGCTTGCCTTTTGAAGCCGAAATAGACATTCAGGCCTCAGGACTTGCCACACCACCACCGTGAATTAGAGTTTCGGCAAATCCCGACGACGCGCGTCGACCAGCCTGAGTCGTGTAGCACGACGCGTAAGTTCACCTTCGACTCCTCCTGCCATATTCCCTCTTTCTTTTTCCAACCGCCATGGAGACCTCATTTGCTCTTACTGGCAAAGGCTACCTCATCATGGCTGCGGACACAACATCAGCCCGCTCAATCGTCAAGATGAAAGTTGACGAGGACAAGATCAAGACTCTCAGCCCCCATCTGCTCATGGCCTACTCAGGCGAGCCAGGTACGTTGTCTGCCTTTCGAATGCTTTTACACGTATATAAGTGACTACTTTTTCACCACAACTAGGTGACACGATTCAATTCGCGGAATACGTCGAACGCAACATTCGCCTGTACCAAATCCGCAACCTCTACGCCCTTCGACCGGCCGCAGCTGCCTCATGGATCCGAAGAGCCGTTGCAGAGTCACTGCGATCACGCAAGCCCTACTCTGTGAACCTCCTGCTAGGTGGTTACGACACGGCGACGGACGACCCACATCTCTACTGGGTCGATTACTTTGGGACGATGGCGGAGGTGCCGTTTGCAGCCCACGGCTACGGATCCTACTTTGCTCTCAGTTTGCTTGATCGGTGAGTTTACTGGTGTTACCGTTTTGCATTCCCGATACGATGGTTGTCGCGTAGATATCACGATCCCAACGCCACCCTTGAGGAAGGGCTTGCAACATTGAAACGCTGCATTGACGAGGTCTCCAAGCGTCTCGTTGTCAGTCCTGGAGCGTACAAGATCAAGGTGGTAGACAAGGACGGTGTTCGGGAGGTCGAGCTGTAAGATGGGGATGAGTGGTTAAAGGGATTGCGACGCTACGTGGCTGCGATCAACTCTGTCTTCATGTTTTCTAATCCGTTCTCCATATCATCTACCGAATGACAAGGTTGTACTTTATCAAGACCTAGGCTTTCACTTGCTTTGAATGTTGTGCCCCTTCAGCTAAATGGCGTTCCGTTCGAGCGCCCGACAGCTCATTCATACTCAGCTGTTGTTTAACCTTTGGTTACAGATGCGCAAGCAATATTCAATATCCCTCTCTTTCCTCACTGTAGCAGGACTTGTGAGTTCTCTAATTCCAATTGTCAGCCAAGTTTAGTGATTCAACTATTCTAGGTGTCGACAAGGAAGAATTTGTAAACTGAGTCAACCCTGAGTCTCAGCATTAAATTTGACTCGAGGGTCGAAATCCAAGGCTCCCAAAGATGTGACTTCATCGGTCGGTCCTTCTGTCAGCCTTGTCTTGATTCGCTTCTCATCGGCCATTCGAATAGGCGGAGGAATAGGCATCTGGGGGAAATAACGCTATGCTGGTGTCGGTATGGGTATCATCGTTCAACCTACTCGCTCCACGATGGGATAGCGCAAGCCTAAAGAGCTGCCTGAAAGACAGGGTCCAATTGAATCGTTGATCATCGATCATCCGGCGCACCCTCGCCACACGCGTCGACACCGCCACCCACTCACATCGTGACATCAGCAATCCCGTCGACGCAACTTGGTCAACTACACCCGCGGCCACTGCCGTATCAAGTACGGTCTAGCTTGCTGGCATTCCGATAGCAGCTGTGCAAATCAGGGCGATCATAAACATATGTGCTCTATGACTCTATCTCGCATCACATTGTACTTTCAGGCGCCGATTCGTCGTGGTCTGAATCCGGATCTGGACGCTCTCGTGGTCAGAATCGAGACCACAGATCAAGGAATAGTCTTCTACATACGAGGGTTTCTTTGAATTTTTATTCTCACCCTCGCAACCCGAAAGATACAAGCCGATGGTCTTGGCATAGCGCTTATTGGAAACTTATCTTCCACGAAATGTCAGTAGGCTTCACATCCCTCCACGTCCATCAGATATTTCTCATCTGCAGGCGATTGGGCCTCACATATAAGAGCCTTAACGAAGACTCCAATAGAGTCCTCTTGGCCCCACCAGATGAGTTCCACAGTGACGACTCCAACAGTCCAGCGCGGTGCTGCACAGACATGCCCAGAATGCCTCTCCTCCGGTCTCGTCCTATCCGGGATCGTCTACGGAATCGTCGCAACACTCTTCTTCGACTGCCTCCGCCTCTTGATTCAGAAGAAAACCTCTCTTTCCTGCCGGCGCCGGCTGCTCTTCATCACCTACATATCGATGATGTTCCTCGCAAGCACGGCAGCTGTGGTTCTAGGCTCCATCAGCGTTATACGATGGCCGCCGGGGGTCGGGAAGATCTTTTCGCAACACGTCTTTGGACCGTATGTGTTTGCGCTGTGGGGAGCTGACGGCATGATGGTGAGTCTCGATTGTCCGGGCAGCCCTTCGAGCGCTGACAAGGAACCTCATGGGAAGATTTGGAGATGTCTGGTGTTGTATGCGGACACTCGGCGTATTTTCTTCCGAATGCTCCAGTTCGTTCTCGGAGCGCTCGCGTTGGCTTCCTTAGGCAAGTCGGCGATTTGAGGGCTTTTGCATGACTTCCTTACCTACTGCTGAACAGCATGTGGAGTATTGTACTTTATCCTCCCGTTACGAATGGCGAATACGGATTCCCGCGTGCCTATTTTCCTAGTCGCTCTCCCAGAGTTAACTACGCTTACCAACACCATCCTCGCAAGCCTGGTCGCATTTCGCCTCCTTTGGCACCAAAGGCGTACACGACGGGTGCTCGGAGAGACCTACGGGACACCCTACACAAGAATCGTCAACATATGCATGGAATCATGCTTGCTGATTGTTTTGTTCAACATTGCGCTAACCGTGCTCTTCTTGAAGGAGTCCGGACCCGCGACGGTGATAGTGGAGTTGCTTATCACTCACGTATCGGTACGTTCATTCACTACCGCGGGACGGAAACGAAAGCCTTCGTACTATGGTGGCTAAATGCGATCCCTCTTAGGTACTTTCTCCTCTATTCGTGTTCCACCGTGTCGCACAAGGGACAGATGCGGTCACCAGCATCCAGACCCAAGATATCCGTTTTCAGATCGAGAAGCCCACAGATTCAGCAAATGAAACCAACCATAGAATATCCACTCTTCGCTTTACCACTTCTGGAGGGACGGAGAGCACCGCATGAGTTTCGTTCCTGTCTATATACCCCAAATTTTCGAGGAATCACATATTTACGATTGGAATGTAGGAACACTGAAATTCTTCGCGTGCCTATGCGAGCAGCAATTGATGACAAAAATTTCGCCATCGACTAGCCTCAAATTGACCCTGCGGGGTCTCCCGAGGAAATGCCTCGCCTCGCTTCCCGCTAATCGTCGTCTTGTGATGTCCAAAACAGGTAGGTGTGGCGCCTGCCATAACTGAGGCCCTTCCTGCTAAAGAAGTCGTACAACTCGTGGCGGAATTTTGGGACACATTGTCTCTATGTGGAAGTATAATTCATTACAAAGCATTCGGACAATCCCATGCGGGGACCATGCGGTATTCTCGACGGGCCGTCTCTTCCATTTCTTTCCTAGCATGATGAATCAATTCTTCTCATTTTTTTCGTATGTTTTAGGGAAACTCCGGTCAACGACAGGATCCATGACGGCGACGCTGAACACCCTCACCAGCCAGCATGAGTCCACACTTGCATGCCGAACAGCCGTAGAAGCTAAATCCTGTCATCGAGGCCGAAGGTCGGAAGATATGGTTGCGGCTGAAGAATGCAGGCTTCTAAGTTCTAGCAGATGGTCGAGGTCAAAGGTGCACCGCCGATCCCGGAATGAAGTCTTGAAACGGGATATCAATTGCCACGGCGGGCTCACTCCGCCGGCGCTACACATGCAGTAACCTCCTCTAGTATCAGGCTTTTGTTGCCCTCCGACTCGTTGCCATCGCCGCCCAGGAATGCTTATAGTCTACTATTCGATATAAGAAGCCTGGTGCCATACTCCTGCCGTACCTCTGTGTCCTTCAAGTCCTTCAAGTTCTCCAGTGCTTTCTTCGTTTGACTTGAACGTTTGAACCCTCAACTACTCTTGATCGATGGGCCTCTTCATCTTGGACGATCGAGACTCAGCGATAACATATTCTTCTGATGACTGGGAAGAAGCCGGAGTAGAGGAGGAGTTCAATTCCACCTCGACAAGGACGAGCGTCAGGGGAGCAACCGCGAACATCTCTTTCACGGGTTCGTCTTTCTGTGTCGTCGTTTTTTACTACTCAAATAAACTCCATTTCAAATAGGGAGAGGAATCAGTGTCTGGGGTACCTTGGGCCATGCGGGTCTCGGACATACACCTCTGTCCACCTACATCCTCGACAGCAGCCCTCCGAAGAAATATAGAGGCGCGTTACTCTACACGGCGATGCGAAATTCGGGCAGAAGTTCTTCGAAGTCTCTGGGCTTGCACCTGGTCCCCACAGTCTTTCGGTCACCAACGACGTCGAGAATGCGTATTTGTACCTGGACTTCGTGCTGATCACCCCAATTGACTCGCTTACACCGCCTGTGCTAAACCATGTTCGGCCTACCACACCCCATTGGAACTGGGATTGGCAGACCCCACTCAGTGCTATGATGGGGGGTTTCGTGGGAGGTCTGGTCATCGCTGGATGTTTAGTGATGATTTTCTTGGTTGGGCTGCACGAGACGCGGAGGGTTCCGAGTCCCAGGAGAACTCGTACGTTTCCTCTCATTAAATTCCTCTCAATTCCCGAAGTCATCGTCGTTCTCCTACAGGTTGTGAGGGGATTGTAGACATTGCACGCCCACGAGCCATATCCATTGGCCATGGCCTCGCTGTTTATCGTGCAGACTCAGAGGGCAATTATGTCGCCCTTACTCAGTCCGAACCACCCTCCCCAATCGGCTACCTCGACGAAGAATTCGAATTCGAGCTGCCTCCTCCGGGAGAAGAACTTCCCCAATATGTTAGATGACTGCCATGCCGTATTCCTCACATTGCTATCATTCGTTACGTTACGACCACCAAACGACCATTGGACTTTTGGACTTCATGAAACAGATATCCACTATACTCTACTTAGTACGTCCATTTATAAATAGTGCCCCTTTACGGGGACCCCTTCTCCTCGAGCTTCAGGCTTCATGATCAACGGCTGCTATATGATTGGAATGTTGGGCTATACACTATAGTGGGCCAAATGCCGTATAATACGTCTGAATAAACACTATGCAAAAGGTACAATGCTACTAGCACAATCGGATGACTGTGGATTGCCTCTGCTTTTGAGCGTTGATATCTCTTGATGGTTGGTACAGTTATATCATAATAATCTACAGGAACATCTACGTACAACGACTCGGGAAAACAAGACAGCAAAAATCAAGTCAAGGAGCAAACATGGCAGTTTTCGGATGTATCTCGATGGCCTTGCAGGCAAAGGATATAGCAGTAACCTACCTCAAACGTCCACTCTTCCACAGCCTACGTGAACTCAATCGGCTGCAACCCAGAGCCCTCCGCCTCTCTCAGCAATTTTTCGCGCGTCTGCGCTTCGGGCAAAGCAGCAAGCGCTGTCTCGTCTGGGAACTCCATGATCGTGTCCACCCATGCAACTGCCCAAGCACCGTTTCCGACCTTCGTGCCTCCAATGACGCGTTTCGACGCTGTGTCGGGTAGCACGTCCCATCGTGCAGAGGTTGGTTGGGTGTCGGCCCGATCTGGAAAAAGGAGGCGATTTATTCCAAAGTTCGATAGAGAGGTGGGGAGGCTTACATTGGACGACGTTTGAGTGGGGCTCGTACACACCGACCGCAGGCGTCGTGTCTACACGCACTTTCCTTTTCTTCGTCTCCTGCTCGCCCCCACTTGTCTGCTGACTCCCGTTCGGGGGCAGCACCGCACCACCCATCACCAGCCCATCCACGCCCTCCACGACCTTTACTGCCTCCTTCCGCAACTTCGTCCACTCTTCCGACGCTGCCGCCACCCGGTTCGCCATCATCCACATCCAGTTGTCCTCGTCCACCCCATCCCGGCTCAGAACGCTCTTCCGCACCGCGTTCAAAGGCCCATCGCTGTACGGCCCCCAGCCACTGCCCGCGAAGATCGTCGTTGGGCCACCCGCACGGTAGATCCCTCCGCCTCCGCCACCACCTCGGTCGCCCTTGGCTGTACCCGCCGCAGAGGCGGCATTGAGCGCAGACAGCTCGTTGTTGTGGTGTGTCGCATTGGGGTCGGGCAGGTCGCCAACAGGATCTCCGGCTTTGAGACCGCGGGCTGTGATCTCCTCGAGCACCTTGCCTTCGTAGTAGTCGTCCGTTACCCATCTTCCCTCTGTAAAAATTAGCTGATGGCATGCTTGGGAATAAGAAAGAACGTACCGAAGATCATCTTGCTCCCGTGCAGTTTGAAGGCGCTGCGTGCGGTGACGAGGGTGACGCTCCTCGTGCGCAGGTGCGAGCCTAGCTTGCCCTCACTGATCAAGTATTCTTTCTCCTGCTGCGTCGCATTGAGCTTGAGCGCGAGCAGGTTCTTACGGAAGTAGTACAGCGAGTCCCGGAACCCCGATGTTCGTGCTGCGTCGATGGCCAGCATGTACTGCCGTTGTGGATGTCGGTTCGGGAGGATGAATGTAGCAGACTTGAAGCGCCGTCCTGCATAAATTTTTAAGATAGTTGAATGAAACCGAGAGATGACGCGCACCTCCCAGCAAGTTCCCCCACTTGTCAATCTTCTCGTCTCCCTTCGGGTCGTCCTCCGTCACGTACTCGTCGCCGTCGATGACATACGCCTGACCCAGGATCTTGCGGAAGGGCTTGCCACCGCCCAGAGGGACCTCTTTCTCGATCTCTTCACCCTCCAGCGGAGTCCCCTCGCCACGTTCAACGTCCTCGCTGCCGCCTTCCTCCCCGTCAAAGTCGGTGTCGTCGTCGTTTCTCCTTGGTAATCTGATCAGCAGAGACCCGCGACCACGAGGTCTGCCGCGTCCCCTGCCTCTGCCACGCGCCCGCGGAGTGCTTGCACCGCTCGATGTTCCTCTGCCTCGTCCGGATCCCCTGGGTCTTCCTCGCGGTCGGGGTGTAGGAATGGTGACGACATCTGCGCCTTCGTCCTCGTCGACTGGTCCGTGAGGAGGCTCTTCATTCGATCCCGGGTCCTCTTCGTCCACATCCATGGCCTGACTGTCTTCGTTCTCAGCATCTCCTTCTTCCTCGTCTTCTCCAGAATCGCGCTCTACAGGAGGGCTTTGAGTGTTTGCCGGCAGCGCTGAGATTGGCGCCGAGCTGCGCGGTTTTATCACGATTTTAGGCACAATGTTGGACATCGTCTAGAGAAACCGTGAATAGGACTCGTCAGGATTGAGGTTCGACCTCAGTTGTCGTGCAGGCATGCTACGGAAGGAACGCACGGTGATCTTGCTTTCGATTCCTTGTCATATATTTTCGTTTGTGGTTAGGATGCTTTAACGTAGTGTCATAGAAGCTATCAAGTGAAGCTTACAGGTCGTCGTAGGGGTTATGGTCGAGCACTAGACCTTAGAAAAACTTGAAAGGAAGGAAGGACTCGAGTGTATTAGCCGGCACGTGGTTATGTTCAACATCTCATTATGTCATCAACATTCTTCCGAGTCTTTGCTCTCCGCAAACTTCCAATACTATCCGCAAGTCCTTATTGGAAACTTCACTCACTGCACAGCACTAATTTTATGCAAGATAGAATGGTCATCTCCGGGATCGCGGCGGCGAGGCTTTGCCACCGCAAGCAGACAAAAGGGGACTCGATAAACGCACGTTCCCAGAGCCAAAGTCCCAGAGACTTTGGGAAATGGCAACAGCGCCCATATAGCTTCCTTCAAAAGTGAAGATCATTACCATCCACTTCCTTCTGCACACTCTCCATGAACCGCCCTCCTCCACTCCTCAATCCTGAGATCGAGCTCAGGATGACCGACCGCGGACTATCTGTCTGTACAGAGATGGAACACGATTCGGCATACCTGGATACGATCGAAGTTTGGCCCGGAAGGGTCAACATCATGCTGAGGGCGGACGTTGACTGCCTCGCAGAACATCTCGATGTACGACGACTATCGTCCACGTCATCTTTATGCTGATCTGGATGGCATCGTAGCAGAATACTCCTGGGGAAGAAGCTGAACCGTTGCGTATCATGTGAGTGTATCACCTTCAACGCGCCGTACTGAAGCCAGAATCTACTCAGACTGATCTTTATGCCAGCTTTGTGGAAGATGAGGCGTATGGGGACTCGAGCTATCTCATGAAGGACGCCTCAAGAGGTTTGAACAAGACCGCACGTTGGCTGCACCAACGTTTTGGCATCTCCCTAGCTTTCTTCCAACATTTAACCCCGAATTCCGGTTATCGCGTCACAGGCAACGGCTGCTTCACGAGATACAATGCGACGGGGGAAGCCATCTCGATAGGTAAGCCCATAACCGTCGCCCTGTCAGCCCGATTCCTCTGAAGTGCCCATCTAGATGGCTTCTACTCGAACTCTGGTGGTCTATCGCTGTTTCCTGCTCATATCTGGTTCTCTCACAGCGTTCTGGAACGGAATACATCGACCTACGTCATCTACAACTCATCCCCAACGGCCAAGCAGCTTATATTTCGGTGTGCTGAGACTCAAGGATGCGCATTGCTTCGGCCGTTCGCCATCGACGCCTTTATGCAGGAAGACTATCTAGAAAAGCGGACGGCAAGGCTTTCAGAACTGCGACCTCAGCTAGTCTACTATGTGAGAGTGGTGAATTACTGTACTGTCCACGCTATCTCATACTATTACCAGGAAAATGAACTCACATTTTCGAAGTTCACCCCAGACCAGAACTCAAGATCCGTGGAGGAACTGCATAATCTATCTCAACACCTCCACGTTGCCAGAGACAACTTCATCGACCTCAAGAAGAAGCTCCATTTCTTCCTCGACATGCGCGAGCGATATCTCGAACTCTCCCGGCCGCACTTCACCGTTCCAAGGCAAGACCTCACCTCGGTTGCCGACTCTTGGACTCTGATCGGCTCGCGGGGCGATCATGGCCTACGGTGGGCAGCTAATTATACGGAACGCACGAGCATTAGGATCAATCTGTGCTTTAACCTGGCGACGCAGGCAGATAGTCGAACGAACTTGGATATTGCGCGGTCGACGGGCCGGATTTCTTTCTCTGCTCAACGAGATAGCTCGTCAATGATAACGTGGGCTCTCTTCCTCTGCGTTAATTTGCTTATCTTATCTGCTGATTAGGATTGCGGCAGTCACGATGTTCTTCCTTCCTGGGTCATTCGTCTCGGTATGTTAACGGTCCGTTGATTGGCCAGAAATGTCCAATTAACATGTCGTTGTGTGTTAGGCATTGTTCAGCATGGTGTTCTTCAATTCAGAAAGTAAAGAGGACGGACAGTTGAGGCTGACCGTCGCACCTCAGTGGTGGTTATTCCCAGCCATCGCGATTCCGCTCACCATCTTGGTCTTTATAGTATGGGTTGTGTGGAGGAAACGTCGGAACTCGGTGGCAGCATTTGAAAATATCACCAATAGTTGGGATGTCTGAGCCTGGTTTGTTTTGGGCTTTTTATGTTTCAAGGGATCAATGTATTTGTTCGTAAGTCCAGCCAACTGTTGTTCGGGCCCGGCTCAGAAACTATGCCGTACCTGGAGGTTACCCAATCTCATGATTTTTCCCTCTACAAGTCGGAATTCAAACTACTTTGATTCGTGAAGGAGATGAGTCAATTCTTCCGAGTCGCCGTATCTTCATGATTCCAGCCTGCTGTTCTGACCTCTGTCAAGATAATCTCCAACTCTCAACATTTGTCGGCCATCCATCCATGGTCATCGGACTGATGGATGGTGGCTGGTAAACTCATGCCCCACCTTCAATGTTTCCAGTGTCAGACTCAGTCATTGCGTTTCTTAATGGGACCATTGGAGGAATCCTTGGACAACAACACCCCAACAGTGCCGCAGACATCGGCCCTTCATGATTTCCAGATACTTCGACTGACTTGCATCTCATCAACACCCCCAGCTCCCAAAAGATCAAGCATAACGTTCGTATTTGCACCATGTGCAGGCTTGGCTCTCGTAAAGGATAGAGATCAGTGATTTTGCCACATACTTGCCCGAACCCCGAGTGACCGTAGGGAAACCAGGAACCCGTATGGGTGGCACGGTGATTCCCTTCGTCAACCTTTCGTGAAGCTTGTGCTTGCTCTGACAAAACAGACAGCTCCGCCGATTTTTGAATCAATATAAAAGGTCTGCCTCGTTCAGAGATGTCAGAATTCGCACGCATTCGAGAAATTCACGATAGCTCTACTTTAGCATGCCAAGCTGAGGGTCCTACCGCACTCGTGTCAAAATTTGACATCAACCCGCAGCAAAACTGGCCTGAAGGACCTAGCTAGGAATGGTATAAAAAGAAACAGAACAAAGTACGTTCCTCAGCTGGTCTCACACTCACCTTCGTACAAGCAGTTTCGACGGAGCGTTGTAAGCTTCTATCATCAAATTAAACCTTTTCCCACTACAGCTATCCGAAATGGTTCAATTTACCACCGCCATCCTGGTCGCTGCTACTGTCCCCGCCTTCTCTGGTCCGACCCCATTCGGCGTCGAACAGGAACCCGCGTGCGCATACCTGACGAAGTTTGCGAGTCCCGCGTATTAACACTCGTTGCTATTAAACTGGATTTCCAATCCCAGCGGTTCCATGCTTCTGACTCGTCGCACTTGTGCAGAGTTACAACACGATCCTTCAACTGAATCAGATAAAGAGGACCGTCCTTCAGTCCTTACGGCTCTCTAGAGTATGGATCTCAGCTCTGGAACGCCAGTATCCCGGAGAAAGCTCTGTTTTCGAAGGCTCGAACAACATCCGTCATTCCGATATTTCGAGGGCTCTACATCTATAGCAGCCATCGTGGTTGACGTTTTCTCCACCAGAAGGTACTCTGCGCTAGAATACTTGCAGTCAGCCTCTTGGGTTGTCGCGGGTTTTGCTTGGCGGTGGAGCCTTTAGGTTCAGTCGTCGACCGTCCTGGCCTCAGTGCTTAAGCATGCCTCCGCATCGCCTCGTGTCAAATGGCGATGTTGTTCTACGGGAAAATGAACTCTATGGATACGCAAGGAGTTGTTCCGTTCTCCCGTCTTGTGACCTTGTCAGTGTTATGCGGATTTCTTTCTTTAGAGTGGCTTCTTGCCATCTTCGGTGTTTGGCTAGCTCTATAGCCGCCGAAAGAACAGATCTTCTTCAATAGATGTCAAACGGTCGGTCCCTGGAATCCGGACGCAGTAGCGACTAAAGAGGGATCTTCGGGGTAACCCAAATTAAATTCAAGAGCTATCGTGACATCAGGTGTGCTGTTGTTTAAATTGGGGTCAAGCTCAAGGCTAAGCGTACTAAGACCTTCTTTGGCTTATAATCGTTGTCCGGTGAAAACTTTCGCAGCACATAAGCGCTAAGAATGTTGTTTATAAAGTGCCGCATTGTGCTGTAGAGCGGTCCACAGCAGATTTTGAGGATTATACCGAACCAGAAGCAAAAGAATGAGCCTATTCATTTCGTTTGAATAGCGACGAGGCTTTCGACCGCTTGATGATCTTTGGGATATCATAAGACTTGTATTATGTGGATAATTGAGGTTCTCAAGGTAGAATTCCGGAATGATTGACGATGCCTTGCTGTCTTCTGGGTGGCTTCCACGGTGGAGACTAGAGCAAGGCAAAAGCATGGAATAGCGTAGGAGAAGTGTATGGGCTTCGCGCTGGTAGCCTCAAGAACATCTGCCTAAGTTAGCGCGTCCCTGGTCAGCGGACCTCAAGTTACCGTTACAACAATTCCCGGCGTTTTACCAAGCGCCTCCTTAATGTGGTTGACTCTGGAGTCTGGATCATTATGCACTCGAGGCTGTTCTTGAAAAAAGTGAAAATGTCAGCGCGCAACGCTCATGGTACATCTCACGGCGCAGGCAAGGTTGATAACACGTACCGAGTTTCTCGAACGCTATTTCCCCGCACCCGTTGCCGCAGATCCCGCATTCCAGACCCAAGAGAGTGGCGCACATCACGTGAAATTACTTAAAATAGTTGTGATTCCATTAATAGATATCGGCATCTTCCGCACAGTGGTCAGAAAGGCCGTCCCGGCAGCTCCCACGCTTAAAGTTGAAATTCGAACCATCACGTATAGAATACCTCATCATTCGACTTACTCCAACGACACTTATAGCGGGTACCCTCATGGGTAAGGATAGACGCCTCAAAGTCTCCAAGTTCCACTAGAACATTTGTGCTTTCCTTCTCGCGAATCGACTCAGAGTGTTGTCGAGCGCCGGGCATTTTGCAGCAAACACGTCGGGCATATCGAAGTCTACTTTGGGCCGTTGCTTCAATGCTGGGCAACAGCGCCCTTGGCGCGTTCGTCGAAAGAAGTCGAACGTCGAAAGTCGAACGCCGCACTCATGGCTGTTGGGGCCGTGGAGGCTTTACCCCACTGGGTCTGCCCAGCGCGAAGCATAGTTCACCGCCCAGAAACTCGAGGATCGCTGGGCGTCTTGGGCTCGCCGACAACGCTCCTACTGTATTCGTACTTGCTCTCGGGCTCCTTCCCAAGCACTTCCAATCCTCATCCTGGACGATAATTATCGGACAATTTCGACGGGTCCGTCCAGTATAAAATGCAGCTTCAACCGGAAGAGAGTTCGTCAACGATCTTCGTCGTCGAATCGAATCCATGTTCCCAAAACTCGCTCTCATCTCTTTCGCCTTCACCTCCGTAGTTGTCGGCCAGCTCGTCGGCACGTACGAGACGGAGACTCACCCACGAGTCACCTGGCAACGTTGCACCCGAGGTGGAAGCTGTCAGACCGTCCAGGGCAGTATCGTACTCGATGCCAACTGGCGATGGGTCCACGGCAGGACCGGCTACACAAACTGCTACACCGGCAACAGCTGGGACACGTCCCTCTGCCCCGACAACAGAGCGTGTGCCGAGAACTGCGCGCTTGAAGGAGCAAACTATGCCAGCACCTACGGTATTACGACCAGTGGCAACTCCGTCACCCTCAAGTTCATCCAGCCCAACAGCAACGGCAAAAACGTCGGCTCTCGGGTCTACCTCATGGCCAGCGACACTAGGTATCAGATGTTCAATCTCCTGAACCAGGAGTTCACCTTCGATGTCGACGTTTCCAAGCTCCCCTGCGGGTTGAACGGTGCCACTTACTTCGCCGGTATGGACGCAGACGGTGGGATGGCGAGGTTCTCCACCAACAGGGCTGGTGCCAGGTATGGCACGGGTTACTGCGATGCTCAGTGCGCAAGGGATATCAAGTTCATTAACGGAGAGGTAAGCGCTCTAATCGTCTTCCCGCAACTTATTATTTAATCGGGCATCTCTTCAGGGTAACGCGGAGGGTTGGACGCCTTCGGAGACTGACGTGAACGCTGGAACTGGCAAGCATGGAAGCTGCTGCCACGAGATGGACATTTGGGAGGCCAATTCGATCTCCACCGCTTACACACCACACTCCTGCGACCAGCACAACTCCTTCCGCTGCAGCGACTCTGCCTGTGGTGGTAGGGACAATCGTTACGGAAGCCAGTGCGACCCCGATGGCTGCGACTTCAACTCCTTCCGATTGGGCGACAAGACCTTCTATGGTCCCGGCATGACCGTCGACACCAACACCAAGATCACGGTCGTCACCCAGTTCCTCACCGACACCGGCACCGCCTCGGGCAACCTCAAAGAGATCCGTCGCATCTACGTCCAGAACGGACGGGTTATTCAAAACTCCAAGGTCAACGTCCCCGGCATGGACGCCTACGACTCGATCACCGAGCCCTTCTGTGCCGCCACGAAGGTTGCATTCGAAGACCGCGACAGCCACGGCGAGCATGGCGGCCTTGCGTCCATTTCTCAAGGCATGAAGAACGGCATGGTCTTCGTGATGAGCATTTGGGACGACCACACTGCCAACATGCTCTGGCTCGACTCCAACTACCCCGTCGACGCCGACCCCAACAAACCTGGTATCGCCCGTGGGACTTGCCCTACCACTTCAGGTGTCCCCAGCGAGGTCGAGGCGAGCGCGACCGACGCCACGGTCACATACTCGAACATCAAGTTTGGTGATATCGATTCGACTTATTAGGCGTAGTGGAAGGTTCAGACGTCATGATGGACCTTAGCCAGCAGTAACTACTGGGTTCTCATCAACGTCGTTTGTCACCGTGTTAGCAATATTGTACTTTTACGGAAGTGAACTGGTAAATGCATTGAATCGAATTCATCTGGGTGGGAACATCCTTTCGGTGATTTAAGAAGTGTGCTCGTGACCATCAAATATATCTTTAGCGCCTCGGGTTCTAGCTCGACGCTGTAATCATCTGATATTAGATCTTCGCGGGGAATCTGAAATGCAGCCCTTTTCCCGTGATGACTTGAGACGCATGAACGGCTCAACCACGGTGTTCTCGAGAACCGCCGCATGAGTGACACAATGAATCTGACCGAAAAGCCGACTGAGCAAGAGCTTTGTGTATTAACGTGTGAGGCCAATGTCTGTACGTCTCCTAGGTTGAGCCATGACCTCGGAGGAGAAAGATGGGCCGGTTCCAGTCATGCGGGTAGCAAGAGTTTATCTTGGCGCGGCACGATGTCTTCACCTTTCTTCGATTGAGAAACGCGGAGGTATTGCGAATTATCTTTCTGTCATGCCATATTTCTGCTCTAATGGAGAATGTTTTTCAAGAGTTTTAGGACGAAATCGAAAGGCGACCTACGTTCCAAGTTACAAACAATACCTCATAAGATGAATGGTCATCGTTCAATTCGAAGAACTACACCCCATCATTCAATACCTAGGTCCATTTGGTCGTGCTGAACGCAAATATTTAGGCGATGACGGGGGACAGTGCCGAAATCTAAAATCCAATCTTTCGATCGCCGTCAATTCACGTGCACGCCTAATTTAATCTATTTTTAGAACTACCCATGTTTGAACCTTGAACGAAGGCAACGCCGCCGTGTCCCTGGCAATCTTTTCAGGTACGTTGATGAGCAGAAATTCTTGACTTCTGTTGCACGATCTGTCCCTCCCGTGCTCAATTTTGAGATAGGTGTGAGAGTTCCTTCCCCCCTCGTTTTCCTGAACTCGCGTAGAAGCAGAGTCCAGCGCTTATTGTCATATTGTAACTTAAGTCGGTACAAGCTAGTGACAAACCGTTTTAAATTGGAGGATATTTCCCCGGTCAGGACTGGCAAAATCTGGCCGTCGAGATTGCCTTGGCATCTCATTTGTGCTAAGACCGAGCGGGCGACGAAGCACTTCGTTCCTCCTGGCCTCAGATCCCAAGGCCTGATTAGAAAAACCGCTCGAAGGACGACAAGTTGTCTTGGTACTATTGTATATATCACCCGATGAGCTTCGCCAAGAACGAGAACTCAAAAATGCAACCGCTATGGAAGGTCGGAGAAGGTGAATATTCCCTTGATCCCTCCGCACTACATACATCCTGCAACCTCGTTGCAACATCATCGGATTTTTATCTCAAAATATCGTATAAAAGCACGGCTCAGCTCTATCGCCTCGTTGTACTAGCGCCTCATAGATGTTTTATTCGATGTTCCCTAAGCTTACTCTTCTCTCTTTCGCCCTCACTGCGATCTCCGCCCACGCGCAGCTCGTCGGCACATACGAGACCGAGACCCACCCTTCGCTTACCTGGCAGAGGTGCACCAGGAGCGGCTGCCAGAACGTCTCTGGTAGCATCGTCCTCGACTCCAACTGGCGCTGGGTTCACAGCAATTCCGGCTACACCAATTGTTACACCGGCAACACCTGGGACACCTCTCTGTGCCCCAACAACAGGCAATGCGCGACGAACTGTGCTCTCGAGGGTGCTAATTACTCCAACACTTACGGTATCAGCACCAGCGGCAACGCCCTCACCCTCAAGTTTATTCAGCCCAACAGTAACGGCAAGAACATCGGCTCGCGCGTTTATTTGCTCGCCAGCGAAAGCCGATACCAGATGTTCAATCTCCTGAACCAGGAGTTCACCTTCGATGTCGACGTTTCCAAACTCCCCTGTGGGTTAAACGGCGCCGTTTACTTCTCTGCTATGGACGCAGATGGTGGAATGGCTCGCTTCTCGACCAATAAGGCCGGTGCCAAGTACGGTACTGGTTACTGCGACTCCCAGTGCCCAAGGGATATCAAGTTCATCAACGGAGAGGTGCGCCTTCCAGTTGATAGGTTCGTTTATTATCTAACCTCGTACAGGGCAACGCAGAGGGATGGCAGCCAGCTTCCAACGACGAGAATGCCGGACTAGGGAACAACGGCATTTGTTGCAACGAGATGGATATTTGGGAGGCTAATTCGATCTCCGCTGCGTACACTCCTCATCCTTGCGACGGAATTCAAGCCACCCGCTGCTCCGGAACCGCCTGCGGTGGCCAGAGTAACCGATACGGCAGTGTTTGCGACCCCGACGGTTGCGACTTCAATTCCTTCCGTATGGGCGACAGGTCCTATTACGGTCCCGGCCTCACGGTCAACACCAACTCCAAGTTCACCCTCGTTACGCAGTTCCTCACCGACACCGGAACCGCCTCTGGCACCCTCAAGGAGATTCGCCGTCTCTACGTCCAGAACGGCCGAGTCATTCAGCACTCAAAGGTCAACGTCCCCGGTATGGCTGCCCACGACTCGATTACGACCCAGTTTTGCAACGAGGCCAAGGTAGCGTTTGGAGACCGTGACAGCTTTGGTCAGCATGGAGGGATGGCCGGGATGTCGAGGGCGATGGCGGCGAGTATGGTTCTTGTGCTCAGCATCTGGGACGATCACACTGCAAACATGCTTTGGCTCGACTCCAACTATCCGACAGACGCCGACCCTAACAAGCCGGGCATCGCCCGTGGTACTTGCCCGACCAGCTCTGGCGTTCCTGCGGAGGTCGAGCAGTCGGCAGCCAGCGCGACTGTCACGTACTCCAACATCAAATTTGGTGACATCGGGACGACCTACAGCGGAACGGCGTAGTTGGCATTGTGGTTGTACACCGTAGACTGTAGGATTCAGAGGTTTTCGCATAGATGACGGCTATCATCTTCTACGTGTTTAGGTTCCTTCGCCGTGAATTCGTTGACTTTCAAATCGATACTGCGTTCGTGATGTAACAGATACAAAAATCGTTTATGAAATGCGGATTTATTATCTTTTCTTATCTTTGCTTGGCGCGCTCGTCCTTGGTTCCCCACGGGCGTCTTTGACCATTGTCTTGGAGTCTTGGAATTGGCGCTTTCCATATAAGGGAACACTTGGCGCCAGTGAAGAGGCTTGTCCTGTCTATTTTTATCTTCCCTCTCCTAGCGTTCTCTTTTTGACCCCGGCCGACCCAACTTGCTATTTGGTCTCACAGTATCTGGAGGATCTAGTGTATATGAGGACCAGGAGCGATTTCGGTAGGTTTTATACAAAGATATCTTTGCCGGAGATCCCACCGGCCTGGCCATGTTTACAATATGTCTAAGAATAGCCTTACGAGTTGTAGGGCCATGTGAGCAAACAATTGCCTGAAAATGGGCTGTCTTGACCCGACAAGCAGATAAAATTCAAGATCGCTACCATCTGAAAAGCCTCTTGTCGATCCTATGATTAAAGGAAACGCCGTTGTCCTCCAACTTGAAGGATGTTGAACAAAGCACAAAGGGCGTGCGTTATGCTAAAACACCGCAATGGGAGGGAGGAATTTAACCTACATTTTCGAGAACTGACGAATTTTATTTATGATTTCTCTCAACGCACTTGCACAGAGGGGTTTGGCACGTTTCTTATGCACCAAGGTGCCCAATGATTCGGTTAAGTGGGATCTCATGAGATTCGTGATTCCACCCAGGGCTTTGTTAAAATTGCATGCACACACGCGTTAAATATGTCCTCAATCTGGTATTGAATCTCGCTGGTTCTTTGGATGGACGTTTATAGACCCTTCGCATTGGAAGGGGTCACCTGGACGCAGAGTCTTGACGGAAGTGAGATTCGACAAAGGATGTTTCCAAGGACCACCGCGCAGAGGTTCCGAGAACGTTCCATCCTATAGTCATGTTCCCTGCTCTCCCTCGAGTCCTTTACTAGATGTCTGCATATACATCGGACAATCATGAGTCCAAGAAGGTATAAGAGTGAGTGTATAACGTTCCAAATCTCCAACAACCGCATCGCTTCGTTGGTCTCTCACAATGTTCCCAAAATTTGCCCTTCTTTCTCTTTTCCTCACTGCCATCACCGCACAGGCGCAGCTGGTCGGTACCTACCAGACGGAGACTCACCCCTCGCTCTCCTGGCAGAGGTGCACGAAGAACGGAGGCTGCCAGACCGTCTCTGGCAGCGTCGTCCTCGATTCGAACTGGCGTTGGGTTCACACCAAGTCCGGTTACACCAACTGCTACACGGGCAACACTTGGGACAAGACCCTCTGCCCCGATAACCAGTCCGCGCGACCAACTGTGCGCTCGAGGGTGCCGACTACTCTGCCACATACGGCATCACGACGAGCGGCAACGCCCTTACTCTCAAGTTCATCCAGAACAACAGCAACGGCAAGAACATCGGCTCTCGCGTTTACCTTATGGCGAGCGAATCGAGGTACCAAATGTTCAAGGTCCTGAACCAGGAATTCACCTTCGACGTCGATGTTTCGCAGCTCCCATGCGGCCTCAACGGCGCGCTCTACTTCTCTGCGATGGATGAGGATGGTGGGATGGCGAGGTTCTCCACCAACAAAGCGGGCGCGAAGTATGGAACCGGCTACTGCGATTCACAGTGCCCTCGAGACATCAAATTCATAAATGGAGAGGTATCGATCTTGTACATGCCTTGTTCGTTCTCATTCCTAACATATTGCCCATAGGCGAATGCGGACGGGTGGGAGCCCTCGTCGAACGATTCCAACGCAGGAAACGGTGGAAACGGCATTTGCTGTAACGAGATGGACGTATGGGAGGCCAATTCTATTTCCTCGGCGTACACACCGCACCCGTGCGACGGTACCCAGTCGACTCGATGCAGCGGCACGGCTTGCGGCGGACAGAGCAACCGCTACGGCAGCATCTGCGACCCCGACGGCTGCGACTTCAATTCGTTCCGTATGGGCGATAAATCTTTCTACGGCCCGGGGCTGAAGGTCAACACCAATTCCAAGTTTACGGTAGTCACCCAATTCATTACCGACACCGGAACAGCCTCTGGCACGCTCAAGGAGATTCGCCGCCTCTATGTCCAAAACGGGAGGATCATCCAGAACTCCAAGGTCAATGTTCCAGGAATGGCGGAGCAGGATTCCGTCACGACGCAGTTCTGCAACGAGGCCAAGGCAGCCTTCGGCGACCGCGACTCCTTCGGCCAGCACGGTGGGATGAGCGGAATGTCCAAGTCGATGGCGGTAGGCATGGTTCTTGTGCTCAGCGTCTGGGACGATCACACTGCCAATATGCTTTGGCTCGACTCCAACTACCCCACCGACGCCGACCCAAACAAACCGGGTATTGCTCGCGGAACGTGCGCGACGTCTTCCGGCGTACCCGCCGAGGTTGAATCGTCGGCCGCTAACGCAAGGGTCATCTATTCCAACATCAAGTTTGGCGACATTGGATCGACATACAGTGGTACCGCTTAGAGGGAAGAGAGGGTCGGGGTCCAGATGCGGTAGTTCGAATTTCTGCCTGGGTGGGTCGTCGTCAGCGTATCTAAAGCTCTTCATGCAACATGTAAATAAAGGCTTACCGATATTACCTTTGATTGCATTCAAGCCAAATCCTCGTGGGATTCCGAAACATTTCAACGTTTGTCACAAGTTAATAGAATGAAATTCTAGTCGTCAAGCTGTTTTTTGCATTGACTGCGCGTCGTACCGTCGGCAAGTTAAATTAACACTCCCACTCAGATTCGTCGGCGTAGTACATCAGTGAGAGGTATGGTATCGGAGCCAGCACCAAGTGTGTCGCAGGAGGTCGCAGGACACACGTCATTGAGATTCGCGTTGTCTCTTTTTACAGGCATCATTAAGAGTCATTGAGGACGAATGCAAGAAAGAAGCGCGAAGTTCTGCGGAGGTTATGCTTATGTAAGCAAATATCTCACGCCACTTCATGGTTCATTGGGCCGCCGCTCTATCATTTTCCTAGACCACAACGTTCGAATTCGTTCGCAAACGAACCAGATACGATTGCTGCATCCGCCAGAGTGTCGCTACCTTCTCCATGTCATCGGTCTGCCTCTCTGCAACATCGGATCGACCACCATCAAGAAGCTAGCGGTCATAAACATTCAAAAAATCGGGACAAGGAAAGATTTCGGTGATTGTTGAGCCTATGAAAGGTACTTGCAAGCCAAGACTTTGAATTGAAATCTAATAATAGGTTCATTGTCGTACTAAGACCATGCGACCCAGCCTGGTATCGAGAAAGCTCGAAGCATTCACTAGAACTCGCGACCAGCTGACGAGATGCAACAACACGGTGTGTAATTGTTCGAACTCTGCCTGAACAACCTCTATCTCAGACGGACCCCATGGATAGGACAAACACACGCTCTTCAGAGGGCATAACATGAGCCATGCTCAAGTTATTAACAAGACACCCAGTGGCATTCCGAAATTCGCTTCTTGGAGGTCGGCTGAAGAAATCGTCGCTCTTTCGTCGGGTACGAAGATGGAAGTTCACCGGTTCAACTTCAAGGACCTTCAAGAGCTTTCGTTGTTCAGCCTGGTACGCGTCGGCTAAGTGGCATCTCGCCTTTCTGTCAACATGAATAACACCGCATACATTACGACGTCAGGTGAGCGTTTTGGAAGCTGAGATCGCATCGAAAGCTTATCTGTAGCCCAAGAGCATTTCCCGAGAAGATTCCACAGCAAGACATTACACCTACCTTTCTTTCTACATATTGCCCTCAGTTAACGAGGGATTTTTGGGCGATGTTTTGCAGTATCATCGGATAATTCACTCGAAGAGGCCGTATAAAGACGATGCGATGGTAGCTCTGGTTCGCTACCACCAGGTCTCAAGGGGAACAAGCTTATTCGTCATGTTCAACAAACTCTCTCTCCTCGCTTTCACCCTCTGCGCGCTTTCGGCGCATGGTCAACTCGTCGGCACATACGAGACCGAGACCCATCCGTCGCTCTCCTGGCAGAGATGCACCAGGAGTGGCTGCCAGAACGTCTCTGGTAGCATCGTCCTCGACTCCAACTGGCGCTGGGTCCATAGCAAATCCGGCTACACCAACTGCTATACCGGCAACACCTGGGACAAGACACTCTGCCCTGACAACAAGTCCTGCGCGACCAACTGCGCTCTCGAGGGCGCCAGTTACTCCAGCACTTACGGTATCACGACGAGCGGCAACGCCCTTACTCTCAAGTTCATCCAGCCCAACAGCAACGGCAAGAACATCGGTTCACGTGTCTACCTCATGGCAAGCGAGTCGAAGTACCAGATGTTCAAGTTGCTCAACCAGGAGATCACCTTCGACGTCGACGTCTCGAAGCTTCCGTGCGGCCTTAACGGTGCGGTCTACTTCTCCGCTATGGACGAAGACGGTGGCATGTCGCGTTTCTCGACGAACAAGGCCGGCGCCAAGTATGGAACAGGGTATTGCGATTCTCAATGCCCTAGGGACATCAAGTTTATCAACGGAGAGGTATGTCCAACTAATGGCCTATTTTGCGTAACTGATTCGTTTTATTCGCGTAGGGTAATGCAGAGGGATGGGAGCCTTCTTCCAACGACTCCAACGCAGGCAACGGCGGGTATGGCACGTGCTGTAACGAGATGGACATTTGGGAAGCCAACTTGATTTCGACTGCGTACACGCCTCACCCATGCGAGGGCACCCAGTCCTCCCGTTGCAGCGGAAGCGCCTGCGGCGGCCAGAACAACCGATACGGCAGTATCTGCGACCCCGACGGGTGCGACTTCAATTCGTTCCGCATGGGCGACAAGTCCTTCTACGGCCCCGGACTGACGGTCAATACCAACTCGAAATTCACTATCGTCACTCAGTTCCTTACCGACACTGGCACTTCCTCCGGCACCCTCAAGGAGATCCGCCGCCTCTACGTCCAGAACGGCAGGGTTATCCAGAACTCCAAGGTCAGCATTCCCGGGATGGCTGCCCACGACTCGATTACGACCCAGTTCTGCAACGAGGCCAAGGCGGCGTTTGGCGACCGCGACTCCTTCGGCCAGCACGGCGGGATGGGAGGTATATCCAAGTCAATGACGGCAGGCATGGTGTTCGTTCTCAGCATCTGGGACGACCACACCGCAAACATGCTCTGGCTCGACTCCAATTATCCGACCGACGCCGACCCCAACAAGCCAGGTATTGCTCGTGGTACCTGCCCCACCTCGTCCGGCGTCCCAGCTGAGGTGGAGTCCTCTGCTGCCAACGCACAAGTTGTCTATTCCAACATCAAGTTCGGCGACATCGGTTCGACTTACAGCGGAACGGCTTAAGCGGAGGGTATTTTTGTTATTCAACAGAGCACCACCGCAGAATTTGAGTGTATGTGCCGCGATAACATTGCTTCGTCTTATTCTTTCCTCGATGTGATGTTGTTCTTATATTGAGTTTTCGGTTCTTACTCTACATTTACAAAATTCCGATCGAAGACAGGGCCAGCGATTTAAGCACCGAGCACAGCGTCTAAATTTCGACCTCCCCTGTATGCACGTTCATCGGCTGAAGGTTTCATTCACTTTGAGGTTGGGGTCATTACTTGTGATTGTCTTATCTTATCTTATCATTGCCGTACCCTGTTCAATTTCAGTATCGCCAAACGTTCCTTAACCTCTTACCACGACGTCTACGTTCTCAACATCTGAATCATGAATATCGCAGGAATAGTACCGCTTTCCAATACAGCTGCATATTTACGCACACTCCCAGCCATCCGTGAACGTTGCGGTCGTGTTCACCAACTCGCGAAAGAAGGGAAGCTCGAGTATTTCGAGTACCACCCCGAGAAGGAGATCGACGTCGCCAATTTCTGCATTGAAATCATGAAGGTGTGCCCGCCATGCTTCTTTCTGTACACGTCGTTGAATCCGTGTCTACTAGCGCGACTATGGGTCCGATTTCGTCAACGTATGTCTCGCGTCGACCACGACCGCATCTCTCTCTTATCCTGTGCCTAGATCAGCCCCCATGGACGGTGGAGGCATCTTGACGCTGGAATCGAGCGTGTTCGGCCCATGATCGCGAAGTGGGCAACCCATCCGACCAACGCCCCGGATCTCAAGGAACAAGCCCGCCGACTCATCGACTTGTTCCTAGTGTCCGTACTGCTCGATGCCGGAGCCGGGAACGCGTGGAAATACGTGGAGGAGGCATCTGGTCTGACGTTCTCGAGATCAGAGGGGCTGGGAGTCGCCAGCGTGCATATGTTCGAGTCAGGGTTGTTTTCCAGCGATCCCGGACAACCATGTCGGGTTGATGGTGAGTGTCTTGCACATCATATGTACGCGTTCTTATGATAGCAGCCGCCGGATTGGAGACGATTACGGCGGAGAAGACCGCACGGGCGATGCAAGTGAGCGAGTCGAACCCCATGGTCGGAATCGAGGGTCGTTCATCCCTGCTCTTCAACCTCAGCAAAGCCCTACGCGCTAGCCCCGAATTCTTTGGAAAGGTTGGACGACCAGGGAACCTCATCGACTTCCTTGAGACAGAGTCCAAGCTGGAAGGCACCGAACTCCAAGTACCCATCTCTGCTCTATGGCAGGCGCTCATCGATGGACTTAACCCAATCTGGCCCTCGCGTCTGTCACTCGGTGGTGTTTCCCTGGGCGATGTCTGGCCTTGCCCCGCGCTCGGCGCGTCGGTCCCCGACGCTAAGGAAGGCGACGATCTGGTGCCGTTCCACAAGCTGACTGGATGGATGACGTACAGTCTTGTTGAGGTGCTCGAGAAGATACTGGGGTGGAAGGTGAAGGGTATTGAGCACATGACGGGATTGCCCGAATATCGCAACGGTACGTGCCTTCTCTAGGCTATAGCTTTGTTCACCGAGGATAGACGGTATTTAGGTGGTCTTCTCGTCGATCTTGGTGTCCTGACCCTCAAACCAGAGGCCCTACCCAAGGACCCAAAGTCCGGCTTGCCTCACGCAGTGCCATCTCATCCAGCGATCGTTGAATGGCGCGCGATGACGGTTATGGAGTTGTACGTTTGTTCATCAACCTTCTTGTGTCTCGTTCCAATCTTTCATTGTTGATTCTCCTCTGTGCAACAGAGATCGTATCGCTGACCTCATCCGCACACAACTTGGTCTCTCTGCGTCCCAGCTCACTCTCGCTCAGGTGCTGGAAGGCGCGACGTGGAAAGGTGGCCGCGAGATCGCGAAGCTGAAGCGCCCGGAGACGAGTGGGCCGCCTATTGAGATCGAGAGCGACGGAACGGTTTTCTAAGCGCTACTTAGAGCGGCCAGCAGCTGTGTCACTACGAAATGGAACACTGGCACTTCTAGGTGCTTCGGTATTACCTATCTCTTGGCCGATGGTGAAGACGCCGATGAAATGTTCTCCCTCTCTTTATACTTCAAGCTTCAGGCCCCATTGTCTGGACCTAGATTCCTTAAGCATCACTTCTTGAATATTCAGGCAAATGAAGAGACAACTGCCGATTACCAGTAATGGACGCGTCATCGAATCCTGAAGACTATTGTAAAGGAACTTTGTTCTGCGCAAAGTATTATTGCTGATCGGTGGCCATTTATAGCCTGCGCTACAAATGGGACCCTATTTCCCATCTTCAAGCATATTCAATTACTGTGCTACAACTCCTTAAGTTATCGCTCTGTCCCACAGTCGAGTAAGACCCCCGGTAATTATTCCTTCAGGTCTCATCTCCCACCGTATAATGTCTTATCTCAAGGCGGTGTGCCTCAAGGCTCTGCAGAACTTCTTTTTAATAATTTAGAACTCGATTTTACAGCCTCTTGGGAGCGAGATGATATCACGCGCCCAGCGTTATAGCCATTTAGCGCTTCGAGTTCTCATAGGCATACGCTTCGCCAGGAGGCGTGGGCGAATCATCCTTGTTCTTCGGGCACTTTGGTTGCTATATCAGTCCGAAGAGTCTCGAGTCGAAAACCCACCCTTTAGACTGTCCAGAGGGGTTATCAGTCAATCCGACGACTCGCACACGGTGACGGATACAACAACGGATAAAAATAGCGTGCGTGAAGTATTCATAAAGTCGAAGCTGCTGAATGAAGGGGCTTGGTGTCCAGCGTCCTCTCCATCCTCCCAACCCGCCTAGCGATAAGCACTTGGGGCTCTCACAGAGGAAGATGTCCGTCATGAAATGGTGGCTGTCGACTTTCCTTGCCCTTATAGCGTGTCTCCAGCTAGCCAGAGGCCTTTCCGATACCGAGAATGCCAGAACGACGAGCAAGTTTCCAGATTTGTACGAGGCTTCCGTCCTCGAACTTCAGGCGGGCCTCGATGCTGGCCACTTTACGAGTGTGGATTTGGTCAAGGCATGTGCCATCTCGGTGTGATTTGCGTGAGCACAAGTAATTGACGCGATGCAAAGGCGTATTTCGCCCGGATCGAGGAAGTGAACTTGAAGGGCCCTGCTCTTCGTGCCGTTATCGAGGTGAACCCTTCTGCGTTGGCTCAAGCGGCTGCCTTGGACAAGGAACGAAAAAAATCTGGAAAGAGATCACTCATGCACGGGATCCCAATATTGCTGAAGGTAGGATCACAACGATGGTCAACATTGCGTTACTAAAGTCGTTGACAGGATAACATTGCGACTATTGCGTCTGAAGGTTACTTGTTCTCGCATTGATACACTTAAGTTCTAGAATAGCTCAAGCGCATCTTCATATTCAGGAATGAACACAACCGCTGGATCATTTAGTCTTCTTGGCTCGGTGGTCCCGGAAGACGCAGGTGTCATTAAGCGCCTTCGAAAAGCTGGAGCAGTTCTACTTGGTTCGTATCTATTTCTCCTCCTCGCAGTTGTCTTTCCTCATGAGAACTGACAGGAAAGGCCAACCTCTCCGAATGGGCCCACTTCCGGGGACGCGTTGCCTCCGGATGGTCAGGTCGCGGCGGGCAAGGTACGAATGCGTATTTCAAAAATGCCGACCCGTGTGGATCTTCATCTGGTTCTGGCGTCGCGGCTTCCATCGGTCTGGCAGCGGTTACGCTCGGCTCGGAGACGGATGGGAGTATAACGTGTCCGACGGGGAATAACAATTTGGCGGGTATCAAGCCAACAGTCGGTCTCACTTCTCGAGCTGGAGGTGCGCTCTCGACAATTCAGTCCAACCTTGGAGCTTACAGAAGCACTTTTAGTGATTCCAATCTCCGAGCACCAAGACACGATAGGGCCCATGACGCGTTCAATGACTGACGCGGCGATCGTCCTTTCTGTCATCGCAGGCAAGGATCCCAATGACAACTACACCCTCGCACAACCGGACATCCTTCCAGATTATATCAAGGCTCTAAAGAAGAATGCGCTTAAAGGAGCACGAATCGGCGTCCCACGCACTGGATTTACAAGCAATAACTTCATCAACGTCGCGTTCACCGAAGCTCTTGAGACGATCAAGGGTTTGGGAGCGACCATCGTCGACCCGGCGGACCTTCCTTCGGCACTGGAGATCGCGAGGTCGGACAATGAGACCGTTGTGTTGAACGTTGATTTCAAGGTGCGTCGCGTTTATCATATGCCCTCAGGGTATTTACTGACGACCTTATCCGAACAGGTCCAACTAAACGCGTGGTTTGAATCGCTCATATCAAACCCGTCGGGCGTGCGCTCTCTTGCGGACCTGATAGCCTTTAACGACGCCAATCCAACCCTCGAGAAACCGACCAATTTCACTGATCAGAGCCAGTACGTGCTGCTTACTCGAATTCTCAAATCAGGACTGCATGCGCATTAATGTCATTCAATTAGACTCATCCAATCAGAGGCGACGACAGGGCGAAATACTTCATTTTTCCAGTCCCTGGCGTTCAACGTAGAACTTGGGGCGACACGGGGTATCGACGCTGCCCTCAGGGAAAACAACCTCGACGCTCTCGTGCTTCCCGCAAGGGGACTTACGACTACGCCTGCAGCTATAGCCGGGTACCCGATCGTGACAGGTAGGAAATCACGTTCTCGGCGCGACACTCTTATTTAGGCATTTATTTCCATTCTTAGTTCCTCTCGGGTTCTTCCCCGACAACGTGGCCATTGGGTCTGCGGGCCCTCTGACCGTCTATCCCGCCCCTGGAGTGCCTTTCGGTCTCTCGTTTCTCGGGACGGCATTCTCTGAGTTCGACTTGATCGGATACGCCTTTGCATATGAACAAAAGACCAAAACGCGGTTGGCGAGGAAAGCAATTCCAGAGGCGATACCAAAAACGCAGTTGAAAGATATTGTTGGGAAGGCGTAGTTACATGAGTACAAGCGACGCATTACTGGAAGAAAAGGACTTTTTCTTACGCCAATCGATGGTGTCCAGCCCGAGAAATCGCAAGGAGAGGATCGCTTTCGACAGACCATCAATAATGGCGAGCTCAATCATCAAACTTGGATGCCATCTTGGTGTACTTGCACTTGCCCCCGTTTCCTTGAAACTAGTACTGACACAGGCGGCGATCGGTGACTCTTCCAAATTCGGGAAGGAACCTTCCAAAGACGGATGCCCCAAAACTCAATGTTCACAAGTCGTGGGGTCACTGCTCATGTAATATTTCCCCAAAGAACGGGGATTCGAGAATATATATAACGGCCATCCCTTCTACGAACGCCGCTTTCCTCTGAACGTCCACCATCTCTCACTCTCACGTGTCTCTCTCTGTCCTTCCTCCTCAGCCGTCCCTTAACCTTTGTCAGCATACCGCTGTGATGCCGTCGAGGCCGCACCCGGTTCCTGTCTTCCTTTTCGTCCCCTTCTGCATGTGCAGTGGCCTCCCGGAGTCCCGTTCCGTTTGTGAGTCTCTTTTGCTTTCTACTCTCGCTCTGTCGTAGTCCTCGCCTACAAGAATCTTGCTTTTCGGAGATTATAAGTGGATCTTGGAGGACCGATTCTTGATTGGGGGCTTCACGGTCGCGTTCTTGTTCTGTCGATGTGAAGTCCGAGTCTGCAGATATGTAACGGCTCTCCATGGCCGGGCCGTGAAGGCTGACCACGTGACAATAGCCACGATTCCGCCGTCGCCTCAAACGGTGGACTCCAACGTTATGTAGTTTCCCCCATCTCACCCTCTACCTTTCCCAGTATCTTCACCGGCTCACGCGTCGTACACATGACGGGATTCTCTGCGCTCCCCTTGGCGTCAGAGGCAGGCGACGACGACGAGCAGCAAAAGTTTAAGGGCGTCTCCCGGATCCTTGGGCCCAGATGGGCACACCTTCCAACCATAACCATTGGACTGTTGGGAGTACAAATATTCTGGAGTGTTGAGATGTCTTATGGTGTGTTCATTAGCTGTTATTTGGCGCTCAATCCGCTTACAAACCCACAGCTTCGCCCTACTTACTCTCCTTGGGTTTATCCAAGTCAAGCATGGCAGTTGTGTTCGTAGCGGGTCCGTTATCTGGCCTGATAATGCAGCCTCTCATCGGTGCGATGCCATATACATAAATTTCAGCGTATTCTGACTCTAGTGTAGGTGTTTTGGCCGACAACTCCACCTCAAGGTTCGGCAGACGGAGACCCTATATGTTACTCGGAACTCTCATTTGTATGGTCGCCATGCTCCTCCTTGGATTTACTCGGGATGTAGCATCTATATTTACCGGCTGGAATAGTAACGCTGTACGTCTTCCTTCCCCTCCTCTACTGCCCACTGCTAATCTTCCCGCAGAATGACGCTCTGACGATATGGCTGGCTGTCCTTTCCATCTATCTCATTGACTTTGCCATCAACGCAGGTGGGTTTGCACCTTCTCGAAGAGAATTGCAACTGCAACCAGCTTTACAGTGCAGGCCGTGGACCGTGCCCTTCTTGTCGACACTCTTCCCTCGTCATCACAAGCAGCAGGAAACGCATGGGCGGCGAGGATGTTGGGAGTAGGAAGTGTGGTTGGTTTTTTCGTGTGAGTGCTGAGGTCTTGAAGCGTGGAAGGAGCCTGACCCAGGGTGTTCGTTAGTGGCAACGTCGACCTTCCCCGTCACTTCCCGTTTCTGGGCAGCTCGCAGCTGCAAGTCCTCTCCGTCATCGTTTCCTTCCTGCTCCTCGCCGGTCACGTCGTCATGGCCGTTATGGTCAAGGAAAAGGTCCTCCTCAAGACCTCCAGCGTTGATGGGTGCGTGTACAAGGCCCATCTCATCCTCACGGCCTAACGTGAAAAACAGAAAATCCCAACGGAAAACATTTACTCAAGAAGTACGTGATATATGGAACAACATGCGCTCTCTTCCTCGAGTAATCAAGCAAATTGTACGTGCCTCTCAACCATCTCCTCCCTCTCTGCTTCTGATGCTCTCTCAGTGCATTATCCAGTTCTTGTACGTCGTCAATTCCTGCCACACGTCAAACAATGACCGCCCCTTTCAGCGCATGGATAGCATGGTTTCCCGTCCTTTTCTACACCTCAATCTACGTCGGCGACCTGTACAAACGCTCTCAACCGCACCCCGAGTCCGACGAGGCCGCTGCTGCCCTCGACACCGAGGCTACCCGTCTGGGCTCTCGTGCGCTCTTCTACTCCGCCCTCGTGTCATTGCTCGCGAACATCACGATGCCCGCCTTCGTGGCCGAGGCCGCTGCTGCGAGCCGGGGCAGGAACAGTGGCGCAACGTGGTGGGATCGTGTCTGTCGTGTCCCGAGGCAGATGCAGATGCAACTTGCGACAGTGTGGGCGGCGAGCCATTTCGTGTTTGCAAGCTGTATGTTTGCGACATTGTGAGTTTCCTGTGTTGGATTTGTGTCCTATATGACATTGAAATTTGCTTTAGCTTCACCCAGTCGGTGTGGGGCGCTACCTTGATCGTCACTGTCACAGGATTCTCCTGGGCTATCACCCAGTGGGCGCCATTTTCCCTTGTAAGCATCTGCCTATTGTACCTTAGTCCATCACAGCTCAGAACTCGTATCGCAGCTTGCAGAAGCCATCCTCACAGAACCTGCTGCGCAGTCGTCCGAGAACCCCGGTACGATCCGGCTAGCCGATGCACGCCAACGCGACAGCAGTGAACACGAACGGCAAGTCTTCCTCGCCCGAAACGGCGAAGGCGAACATTCCGAGGACGACTCGGAGGACGAAGAAACCCGCAGAGAGGAACGCAGGAGGGTGCTCACCAATTCAGGTGCTCAACTAAGCCGGATAGACATTGGCGTGCCTGAGCACGAAGACGGTGACTATGAGTTCGTACCTGGGCCGGAGAATGGGCAGAGGACGAACGGGGCTGTGAGCACTGCGAGCACGTTGAGTGCTAAGGCCGGTATTATCCTGGTATGAAGCACTCCTGCCCTCAGTCAGCACAACCTAACGCTCGTTGGCAGGGCATACACAATATTTTCATCGTCATCCCCCAATTTCTTGTGACAGGCTTCTCATCCATCCTATTCGCCATCCTTGACCCCCAAAAACCCGCCCTGCCTTCTCATCGTGCCCCCGTTGCCCCGGGCCCAGGACCGAAGAACGGCACCGTGCTCCTGAACGATATTGGCTCGAACGTTGACATCGACTTCGATGATATGGCTGCGAGAGGTGCCGAGCTGTTCAATGCTCTGTCCGGCAGAGCAGCTGGTGGAAGCGACTCCAGTCACTCGAACTCTGTGGTGTATATCTTCCGGTGCGTGCTTCTTGACCTCTTTTTGAAGTCGAGAAAGCAAAACTGACGACGTGGTTACAGAATTGGAGGTGCCGCTGCCCTGTTTGCGTTTGTGCTATGTTGGAGGCTAGCACGCGAGATTCGGCATCGATAGAATGTTCTTCACGTTTTTACTTTCTTCTTGTTGAGACCTTGTAACTTATTTTACAATACCTGATACCTGACGTCCTGTACATTACCGTTTCGAATAGACACCCGCTATCTCTTTGAATCCCCTCGGGCCGATAATATTTGAAGCCTTGCGGTGCCACAAAAGGCGGAGCTTTATCCAAAAGTGCCTTCTCATGAAAGATAGGTTTTCAAACAATCAGTCCAAATGACCGGCCTTCCAAGGAGTGAAACGTCTAATTTCCTAAACATCGTGCCCATCTACTAACGGTAGGGGTCTACCACGTTGTCGTCGCGCCAATGCTCGCACCTGATGTGGGCAGCAAAAAGTTGCTCGACACAATCTTCCCGTTACTGGACCTACTTCCCGTCACCAAGTTCGTGTCAACACTTTTGAAGCTACTGTTCGACCATGTCGTGCTGCCATCCCAGGAATTTCCACTGGAACTTTGGCTGCCTTTCAAGCTTGCCTGGCTGGCCTTGTTCAAAGCCGCTATGTTTCCCGACAAGGTCGACACCGCAGTGGCCATCTTGAACCCGTCCTTGCCGTTATTCCATGCCGTATTGCGCGAGAGTCTGAAGTTGCCGGTCTGGGAGTTGTCGGTGAAGCCGGTGGCGGCGTTGAGGAACGCGATGCAGTTTGCCACGACGTGGTCCGCCGGTCCTTTGTCGGCGGCGTCGCCTCCACCGAGCTTGAAGCCGTTACCGTCGCCCGCAAAGTCGGAGAAGCCCCAGCTACGAAGTCGATTGGTTGTAGGATTCAGGATGAATTACGAACGGCGCTTACCGGTTGAAACCATTGCCCCAGGCTATGGTGTTCGTGATCGTCACAGCCGACTTGAATTCCCTTCGGTGGAACAGACGTCAGTCCTCTGTAGATTAAGTTACTCGAGGGCGAAATGTTACCAAAGATCCAGGCCATCGTCAACGTTGTTCCAGAGACGTGCGCCGTTTAGGACGTTGCCAACACCTGATCCCTCCTTGACCGCGAAACCATCGGCGCTCTCGCCGTTTTTCCTTGGGTCACGGTTTCCATACGAATCTAAATATAAAACTGTATTGTTAGAAGAGGCGCCTTGTATTTGGAACCCTGCAGAGATAACCTTCGTTTAAGTTTAATAAATCGTGAGGGAGAAGTAAAATATACCCACCAGTCTCGTAGTTGTCCCTGGTGATGATGTTTCTGTAGTAGTTGTTCGACGAATCCCGATGGTACACGCCATACGGCCCGTTCTTGAGCTCGAGGTTGTAGAATTCCCAGAAATCCGCATTCTCGATGTGGAAAATTCCGCGCTGCGTGTTCGGCAGCTCCGCGTTCAATGCTGACGGCGTCCTGCAAATTGCACAATCGTTCATTAGCATACGCTGTAGCGACAAAGGAGAGACGACTTACCCAGGCAACGCCTCCCCATCAATGACGACCTTTTCGCTCTGGTACGCTGAGATGACGAACGGGTGACCTGCCTTGCCACTTTTCGTGATCTGGATGTTCGTAGTTGGCGAGTAAGTGCCTCCTCTCAAGTAGATCGTCGAGGGTGAGGTGGCAGCGTCCACAGCAGCCTGGATGGAGTGGAACGGCTTGTCTATCGCTCCAGTACCGCTGCTGGAATCGCTGGGCGAGACATACAGTGTGGCACCGAGCGCGGCGGTCAAGAGAACACTGACGACAAAAACTCGAAGGTAAGGCGACATTTCGCAATTGACCCTGGGAGGCGGCATAGAGGTACCCACGATTTTATACAATCGCTCGCTAGGACTGACCATTATCCTGCACCTGACGGTCGATCTGGTGGGCAAGAAAATGCACCCAGGACCCACTACTTCTCCGAGGTGCGGCCGTCGTCGTGAAGAGTGCTGGAGAAGCTCTTGCATGCTTGGTATGCACGGGCCGGCTGGTACAGAGCCTTTCCAGGACGTTAGTGTTGATAGAAGCATCGTAGGCGCCTACAAGACGGCCACTTCTTGCACTTCTTCCCGGCCCGTCCTATGTACCAGCGTGGTTGTCGAATGCTCAGTTCTGCACGGCAGCAAATCACGCGCCATAGGTTCTTGGCACAAAACCGGCAGTCAGCGCCTCGCGAAGGACTTGAGCATGCGCTTCATGGATAAAGCCTGTGCTTTTGTGGATTAGCCGTGTAGAGGAATTACTTAGATTAAAGTGAAGGAAACACTCGCGGGTTGCTTTTTTGTCTGAATTCACAGGTCCAGACTCAAAACTCATGGCGTCGGCGGTCGACAAAAGTCGCTATAATATCGGATAAGCATCCAGAAAAAAGAGAGTTGAGCGAGCATACATCCGTTTAAGCGTTTGGTAAGGACAGAACTTTCCTCTTTATAAATTACTTCTCCGCATCCTGGGTAGGCGCTTGGGCATGTGACTGGCCCGGATGCACAACCAAGTCACATTGCCACCGATTCGTAGGAGAGGCCAGGAAAAAAGTAGAGCAGATTTTGAAGGGTAAAGGGGGAAATGAATTATGTACGTAGGCAAAATCCTCGATGTGGAATCTTGGTCTCGCTGTGGGAGGCGCTTCGTCTGAAGCAGGAGTAAGGATCGGGATCAGGAACCGAAAATGGGAATGCGCCTCACAGCTAGGTTCTTAATCATTGGTCGCGGGCATGGAGAAACCTCCGGACAAAGTGGGTTTGATCGATCAGGCTCAACAGCGTGCGTATTGCTTCTATAACGTTCACTTGAGATGCATATACCTTGAGTTGTAATGTACCAAAAGTGAATATCTAGATGTTTCCTCAATGATTCGCAAATGCATCGGGCTTCTCCAAGATTTCCTGTTTGTTGAACGTCTTTCAGTGATGTAACGATTAGAGGTGTGTTGAACGTACCGAACACTCCTCCAAACGTACTTCGCCGAGGCCAAAATGGCCTCAATCCTGGTCACTTGCCATAGAACTCCAACGGTGCTCGAGATCGGCGTAGGGTTTAGCCTTGTCGTGCATTCCTAATTTGCGGTACATTTTATCGATGATGCGAAAGATGTACTGGTACAAATGTTGAGAATGGAGGCCTTCTGCAATCACTTTCTTTTCGTATTGCAGCACTGAGTCGAGGAAGTCGCTCTCTTGATGAAGGCTTTGAAGCCAGACCCCAGCCTGGTTGACGAGATTGGTGACCTTGTCCGGAAATTCGATACGTAGCCTGTCTGTGGCAGATGTCGCATTCAAGCAAGCGGGGCACTTGCAGCTGCTCGCCCGCCTTGATGTCTCGGGTCGCGCTGAATTGCATTGAACAGGAGGAGCGTTTGAATGCGACAGCAACGTTCGGCATGCAACTATTCAAACAGAAAGTAAGCATCGGCCATGGGCACCAGAGAATGCATACGTCTATACCTGTGATTGATGCGAGACCCGAGTTCGCAGACAGCAGAGTAACTCGCTTCGGGTGGATAGCGTCTGCCGGGAGGCGGGTCGGGCCCATCTCCCACATTGCTAATGCTGAAGGCGTTTGTCCTTATAATCCCGAGGATCGGGCCGCTCCCATCTTCCATATGCGCATTGGCGAGTGACATAAATGCTGCCCGCTGTTCATCCGACATGCGACCGACGGCGTGCTGCAGGAGCTCCTCACGCTCAAACATGATGATTTGCTGAATCTGTTGAGAGGAGTAGTGGTCCGGAATATCTTCCAGCGGTGGGGACAGGCCACAAGGTGCGACGAGCAACGGCCGCTCGGAAAAGATTAGCTCGCCGACCTGGACGTCGCATGTCGTGAACACACCCAAGCCTGCGCCGGGTACCGGCTTGACCACGCAAATGTTCGGATGACGAGGTTTCGGGATGGGACTGGGGTATCCTGGGGTATTGAATATTTTGCTTTCGTCGTACCACGCACGACCCATTCGCTATGACCATCGGGATCGGCAGGTTGATCTACGCATCGTGAGGGAATCGTGGTCGTGACAATATAAGCTTCATCGTAGTCCGTCTTTTGTGCGTCGAACTCCACGGGGTCGCATGGTGGCTTCGCATTTGTAGTCCTCCGGGACTCCTGAAAATCTCCGGTTTACTGCCCGAAAATGATGTTCAGTGGCTTGAAACGAACCTGGGTCTTTTACTTTCCCGTAAGGCAGCATTGGCACTGCATATGCTTATGCGTGAGCTTTGATTAATCCACCTGCTCTGAGTAACGACGCACCCTTGGATCCTTCTAATACTACAGCCGCAATGCCCTTCTTCGAGGACGGCGAGTTGTGCGCGTTCTTAGCCTTGGGGTTGTTGAGGAAACCACGCTTCATATTGGAGTCGTTGTTGAGTCGGTGGCAAATAAACCAGCTTTATAGACAAAGCTCTTTGCTGACTAACGCCTTCTCTGCTTGGAGAAAAGGAGCGTACATTGACAGGACGTCACTTAAGCTTGAGCAGGGATCCACCTGGACTTTGTGCATAAAGCTGATCTAATTTCGAACGCTAAAGGTTCCAAGAAAATGTGTCGATGAATTTCCTGCAAAAAATCCTGAGTTTCGTCTGTTCATCCCTTCACGGTGATGTTCCAGTGGCATGTAATCTCTGGCTTAAGGTGTGGCGAGGTTGAGTTGCATATTACCGACGAATCTCCACTGTAGGCGGCGAATACCATTCGGTTGGAATCGCATACACGCGTCAGTACGAGCATACGAACGATTTCGAGGAGACATACTAGTTTGTGGTTGGTCGTCACTAGGTCAAGAGCAGCATGCTCAGCTCCTCGTGCGTGCGAACGACATGACATCTCATGACATCCGCGCAACGACAATCTGGAAAGCCTCTTTCCATTTAAATGCTTATTCACGAAAGGGTTCAGTGTTCCTATACCAAGTCCACCGGCCCATGATGAAGTTGGCAACCTTTGAGGCTACCATCCAACTGCATCATGAAGCCATGTTGCCTCCTAGTAGTCTTCCAGGGTAAAATGGCTCGTTTACTTATAGGCTTCGAGCCACGCACCGCAGAAGAGTCTTGACGCTTGGGACAAGCGGAAACAAGATAGCGTGCGAAGATTTCGGAAGCTTTCCCGGCCCTTCTACTCAAACCACCATCACTCACTCCTACCTTACATCCTTTAGACTGCATCACAAGCTCATCTGTAACCTCTCATGTCTATAAAGGACTTGGGGGGCCCCTTCTTTGAAGGACTGGAAGTGACGGATGACGTGAGTGCTTTCCCGTTCACTCCGTGGCCGAACGGAGAATGACTTTTCTGGGAAACAGAGTCAGGGCCGAGTTGGCATGCATTGAATCAACTGCGATCGTTCACACATACTTATATGCTCCCTCTTCTCACCTTTCCTTCATCATGACTACGCTGTCCCCGTTGCCCAATCCTGAAGTTGAGCTAAGGATGGCAGGCTATCGACTGCCCATTCGTCCAGGCATAGAACGAGACTCGGCCTGCCTCGACGTAATTGAAATCTGGTCGGGAAATGTGAATATCATGCTCAGAACAGATGTCGACAGTCTTTGGAAGCATCTCCTAGTAAGCATTGACGGCAAGAAAAGTTAACATGTATGCTCACTTGACGTTGTAGAAGGGTGATGAAGCGTCGGAGGGCAAAGCGATGCAACAATTCCGAATAATGTGCATGACATCTTCATCCCGAACTTTACTGAGCTCAAAAATCCACCTTATCTCTAATCAGATTCGTCGAAGATGAAGCGTACGGTGATACCAGTCACCTCATGAAGAACGTCCCGAGAGGACTGAACAAGACTGCGTACTGGTTTTACCAACATTTCGACGTCTCAGTGACGTTCTTTCAACATATCAGTCCCAATGCAGCTTACCGCGTCACAGGGAATGGTTGTTTCACAAGATACGACAAAGAGGGAAAGGCCATTGCCATCGGTGAGCGTATTTCGCTCGTTCCACCGTCTGTCACTCTCCAACTCTACTAGACGGTTTCTACTCGAACTCGGGTGGTCTCTTGCCGAACCCAACCCATGTCTGGTTCTCTCACAGCGTCTTGAAACCAAAACAATCGACGTATATCATCTATAATTGCTCTCCGACGGCCAAGCAGCTCCTCTTCACATGCGCCGAAACTCAAGAGTGCTCGTTGCTCCGGCCTTTCGCTGTCGAGGCATTCATGCAAGAAGACTACCTTGAGAAGTGGACAAATAGGTTGTCAGAGCTGCGACCGAAGCTGATTCACTATGTAAGGCCCTCAATATGTCTAACGATACTCCAGAGGCTAATAGGAGTCCAGGAAAGCGAGCTCTCGCACACCACTTTCACTCCGCTCCAAAATGCCAGAGCAGTGGAAGAGCTCCACAACCTCTCGCAACATTTGCACGTCGCCCGCGACAACTTCATCGATCTGAAGAAGAAAGTCCAGTTCTTCCTTGATGCACGAGACCGCTTTCTCGAACTCTCGGGACCTCACTTCACCGTTCCACGGCAGGATGTTACCACCATAAGCGACTCATTCTCCTTGATCGATTCACGAGGAGACCACGGCTTGCGCTGGGCCTCTAATTATAACGAGCGAACCAGCATACGCATCAACTTATGCTTCAATCTCGCCACGCAGGCGGATAGTCGCACTAACTTGGGTATTGCTCGTCTAACCGGAAGGATATCTGTTTCGGCCCAGCGGGACAATGCGTCTATGATAACGTATGTGTACTTTGTATGCCTAGGCGGTGTGACGGGTTGACTTGTTCTAAATTTACAGGATCGCGGCGGTGACAATGTTCTTCTTACCTGGGTCCTTTGTCTCAGTAGGTTATCACTGCCCGTCGGGTCATTTACGTCTTCACTGACCCTCGATTTCTCAGGCGCTCTTCAGCATGGTGTTCTTCAACTCAGAGAACAAAGAGGATGGCCATATCGCCCTCCTCGTTTCACCCCAATGGTGGCTCTTTCCGGCCATCGCCATCCCACTAACGATTCTCGTGTTCCTAATCTGGATCGCCTGGAGGAGACGTAGGAATTCTGCCGCCTCGTTCGAAGACATTACGAAGACTTGGGGCAATTGAAGCATGTGGACTTTCTTTCTGTGTAAACTGATCAACTGTGTTGGACGATCTAGAGAAAGGAACAGAGCACCCATGAGCGCTTATCATTGGGGTTCTCGGAGATCCTCATCCCTGCACTTCATTCTGAAAGCATGTCAGACGCCGCAGGTCCGCAGCGCTCCCAGTCGATTCTTATCAACACGAGGACCAGGCGGCTTTGTCAAGAGACCTCGGCGCACTTCAAGGGCTCCTATCAAGGGTTTTGAAGGGCCGGCCGATTCTTCTATAAATGCGCAGGTCTGCGTTTGCGGCTGCCCCAGGCCAGCAGCGATATCACGCCTCCCCTCACCAGAAATGATATGGATATCGGGTCGGCATCCGTTGCCTATGGGTACTGGTGCGTAGAGACTGGAAGAGACCGCTGGGTATCCAAGTGGGTGGGATGATTCTTCCTTCTGGAGCGTTTATTGCTGCAGGAATGTCCTTAATATAGTTTCTTGACGTCTCCACTAGTTTCAAGTCCACATTTCTGACGCCTCATGCCGCCGTGATCTTGAACATATTTTATTCGCAGTCGACGTCCTTCCCAAGATATGTTAGCTCTCCCCATTCTCAGAGATCGCTATCCTAGCAACTAGGTGCCGTAGCCTCAGGTGCGTCATCGTGCACCCAGTTTCATGTCTATTATAATTCCGAGAGCCTATATAACCGGCAATCACGGCTGCGATTCCATTCTCTTTAGACGTTGTGACAGCCTGTCCTCCCTTTCACACCACTTGACAATGGACATAACATGTGTCATGCAACCCAGTCTTAAGTATCGGACATATAGTGTGGAAGCCCCTACTCCTGAGCGCCTATTATCCCACCCTCCTTGGACGCCATGCCTGTCGACGTTATCAGCACCCCGGTCTCACACCCTGAACTAGAGCTCCGACTGCTAGAGTTGACCGTGGACAACCCTACAGGCCTGAAGGAGGACACGTCTCATGAGAGCATCTTTATCGATGTCGTGGAAATCTATCCTGAGAGGAGTAGGACGAAGAGAGGTCTTCGGCCTGGAGGATTGGCGAGCTATTTCCCTGTACGTGGATTCAACGAGTGTCATGATCATTCGAGGGGTTTCCTTGACGGTATTCACGGCAGCAGAGCGCAGAGCTCAACTCTGGTCGTGGGGTGGATGCAGGCCCTACTCTTCTGCGTATAATGTACGACCACCGCAACATTTCAACTGCCAAACATAATCCTCATCGCTCATGTAGTTTTGTCGAGGACCCCGCCTATGCGGACTCGTCTCTTCCACCTCTCAATCGAGGCAGACCGTCGCTAAACAAGACGGCCTTGTGGCTGCACCACCGGTTCGGTGTCTCCCTGTCGTTCTATCAGAACATGAGCCCTACACTCGAGTTGCGCGCGACAGGGTGTGGGTACTTCACGAAGTACGACCAAGCCGAGAAGGCCATCGCGTTAAGTGAGATCCTTCGATATCCTGCTTCATTCTCGTCCATTTACTAAGTTCCTGCCTTTTCCTTATAGTTGGTTTCTACCAGAACTCGCATGGCTTCGATGGAGGCCCAGTACACATCTGGTTCTCCCATAGCCTGCAAGAACCACGTTCGTCGACCTACGTAATCTACAACACCCCTCCTGGTGCCAAGAAGCACATCTTTATGTGTGCGGAGAAGCAGGACTCGAGCTTGCTGCTTCGCCCCCTAGCCGTGGACGCGTTTATGGAGGAGGATTACCATGACGCGTGGCATCTCAAGACGGGATGTTGGCGTACGAAGCTGGTTTATTTTGTGAGTCTCGTGGTCTCTCTCGACGTGTGATTTTATTCTCTTACCATCAGACAGGAGGATGACTCTCGCATCTCTACCTTTACCCCTGCACAATGCGTCAAAGCTGTCGAAGAACTACACGATATAGACAAGAACTTACACGTCGCACATGGAAATTTCCAAGATCTCCTTGAGAAGCTCGACTTCCTGCTGTCCATCCGAGAGAAGTATCTCACCTACGCAGCTCATCTCTCTCCGCCAGCCCATTTCAGCCAACGTGATATCACTTCAATCGACGAGTCCCTTTCCCTGCTGCGTCTGCGAGGGCAGTTTGGATTACGCTGGACGAGGAACTATTATGAGAGGGCGAGGATCAGAATCAACCTTTTCTTCAACCTCACGACGCAAGCGGACAGTCGGACCAATCTTGATATTGCGAGGCTAACAACGAAGATATCTGTAACGGCACAACGGGATAGCTCGTCCATGATAACGTGCGTTTCTCCAATTCACTCCTTGTATTCTTGTACTCAGAAAGACTTCCGTAGAATTGCAGCTGTGACAATGTTCTTCCTCCCGGGATCATTCGTGTCGACCCTATTTAGCATGGTATTCTTCGACGCTGAGACGAACCAAAGGGGAAAGATGAACCTTTCCGTCTCATCTCAATGGTGGCTCTTCCCGCTGGTTGCAATCCCTCTTACAATCCTTGTATTCGTCATCTGGATCGTTTGGCAACGGCAGCGACAAGCACGAGTCCTAAAAGAAGTTGAGGAAGTACAACAGATGACCCCGCGACTGGAGGACGTCGAACGTAGTTCAATCTTCTCAGAGAAGAAAATTCATTAGAAAAACAAACTCGGAAGCTCGAGATCAAATTGTACAAAGTTTATGTATTTTACCCTCCTGTAGTCACCAGAGCGGCCGCAATTAAACGAAACCCTTCCCGCTGACATTGATTGTCTATTCTTCGTCTCGGCAAAGAGCCTCGAAGCGGCGCCTGATTTCGGTGTAGTGTTTGGCCTTCTCGCGCATGCCCAACTTCGCGTACAACGCTTGAATAACCCCCAACAGGTGCCTATAAGGTGGCTGAGTATCTAGACCTTCTTTTATCACGTCCTTCTCGAGTTGCAGGACAGGATCGAGGGTCGTAGCGTCGAGATGAGGAGCACGAATCCAACCCTCGCACTGCGTTGTAAGGTGCCGAACGCGGACGACAAATTCTCCGCGTAGTTTGTCTGTAGTTGGGGTGGCGTGTAAACAAAAGGCGCACTTGCACTCGAATCGATAAAGGGCCAGTGAGGCTTTTCGACCCGCAGCGGATTGCAGCAAGTCACAGTACGAAGTGAAGAGTTCTTGTCCAGCTTTTATGTCCTTGATGGCGGAAGGAAGGAAGGAAGGAAGTGTATTAAGCTGGCATGCGGTCCCTATAAAGAAACAGCCAGCCCAGGTGTACCGAAAAGTATGGTGGTCCGTGCTGGACAAAAATACAATGTAAATGAATTTCAGTGACGATTGTGGCAGAACACGGAAGAAAGTCAGGGAATGGTCACGATAGCCAAGGAACGGTCATGATCGTCAAAGAATGTTGACGTTCTTTGATGATCGGCACAGAAAGTTACCTTTTTTGGCAGGATGTTAACAATAATCAAAGAATGACACCCCGCAGAATGTCACTGTTCGTCACTGATCTGTTGACAGAGGCCAAAACAAATGAGAATTTGCCTTGACACAGACTGGCCTATTCTTCCAGTTTCTTCAAGAATCTCTGAGACCCCGAACTGCCTCCATGACGCCACACCATGTGTGGGTTTCATATGCCAGGCCTACGCCGGCTGCTCTGCTTGCATGCTGACTAACAGTCGGGCCGTGGGGACCCACCAGTCTTAGTCAGCGGGGAAGAAATGCCTTGCTGACTAAGATTGGCAGGGTCCCATGGTGCGCTGACTAAGTTGTTGCTCCCGCCCTTCTCATTACTGTTGTGGACAGCAAGCTCGCTGTTCACACCATTTCTGGTCCATTTCCCTCCATTTTTTTTGCTAGTATCAATGTATGTAGTTATTAATGAAGTTATGTAACATATATACTGTTGTAAACCCCCATAAGCTGTATAAAATGCGAAAACAATAACATGAATAACAGTCCCTCATCCATACCCAGCCCTAGGCATATTCCCCAGCCCAGGAAGCATCTGGAGTATTTAATATAGACACATGTATGAGTGGGAAGGCCACCATCCAGGTTATGGGAGTGGCAGGATATACAGTATCATGGTGATTAATGTACCTCTCCTCCTACCCCTCTTCCACACACCAATAATGCAACTATTACTATGGTTAGTAGCTCAATTTAATGGTACTACAATAGCGCATTTTTAGGGCCCTCTATTCGAGCCATTTGTGGTTTGAAGGGAGAGGGTATGGCCCATGACCCTCAACAGTAGATATTTTATTAAAGAGCCATACATGCATTTATGGCCAATTTGACTTGGTAGATACTTAATAGCATTATGCTTTAGTATATATATGTATTTAAATATGGAGCGCCACACATGTGGGTAAAGATATGAGGAGGGGGAGGAGGAGCACATACCTCATCAGTCACCATGTCCTCCTGTCACGAATAGTGCATATTGCACACTCTAGGTAGACTCTATGGGTATGGGTGTGCAATATGTATACCTTGATATTTTAGTAGTCACGGTTAGAGAATAGATGCTTGGGTGAGATGGTATTAAATCAAGGAGGATATCTGCATAAAAAGCATGAAAATCGTCCACTATCACATAAATACATCAAGTAAAAATAATATATATACCTAGGCATGTACTCATACATTCTAAGAGCTAGCTGAAAAAGAGTTTACGAAATTAGAGCAAGATTGAGGTGAGATATGGCAAAGGAACTCCCAAAGAAGGGTAGATAGTAAGATGCAAATTATAGTCACATGTAGTGACCGAGTTTCTGCCCTTCAAAATTCACTGTCTCATCCATATCTCACCTCAATCTTGCTCTAATTTCGTAAACTCTTTTTCAGCTAGCTCTTAGAATGGATGACTGTCTGTAAGGTATTTATTCCACAGTAGAATATTTCATAACAAAGTTGGACCTCAAATTCAAAGATAATCTTATAATCTATTCATCTGATTAAACCACAAGCCTCGTGATTAAAGATAATTGTCATTCCCTGGGCCTCCACCCATCTCTAGCCAGCCATGAATGAAGATGCACTCATATTCCAACAATTCACAGAGCAACTTGAAGAGGAGGCAGATGAAGAGTACTGGGAGATGGGTGCTGCTTCACTCGGCGTCATAGTGGGAGGTGCCGAGATCTCACGTCAGTTACTGAAATCGCGAGAAACCCGCCAATATCTTACCCGCCCTGAACTCCTGGAGAACCCCCGGATTGCGACACCATGGACCTCCCTTTACGACAGCAGGAGTGACCGTGCATATATCACAACCATGGGGTTCGATGTTGCCACCTTCGATTTCATTCTCGAGTCGGGTTTTGTACAGACCTGGCTCTCAACACCCATCCCCCAAACTGATACCTCTCGTTCAGGAGATCCACAACCAGGCGGCCGATCTTTGGATCCCCCAGGGGCCCTTGGCCTTGTCCTCCATTATCTCAGCTCCACGATGCTCAACGTCAGCTTGCAGCAAATCTTTGCTCTCATCCCTGCCACAGTTGTCCGGTATCTTGACTTCTCACTTGACATACTTCTCGAGGTCTTGCGAAGAATGCCAGATGCCCGTATCAAGTGGCTGAAGGGTGGCCCAGGTGGTGGGAAATTCCAAGAATACAATGATCTTATCATTGTTCGACATCCTCGACTGATTGGGGCCTTCACTGCCATCGACGGATTGAATCTTCCTGTCCAAACATTGGAGGATGAAGATATTGAGAATGCTACCTACAACAGGTGGCTCTCAGAGCATTTTGTCAGCTCAGTACTTGTGTTCTCACCGAAAGGCAAGAACATCAATGCTATTGTAACTTCATTCACTGATAATATCTTAGGTGAAATCATTGATGCTGTTGTAAATGCACCAGGCAGTTGGCATGATGCTAATGTTGCTCGTCCTATTTTTGAACGGCTTCGCACACGAACACCACCTGGATACTACCTCATTGCTGACACAGCATTTCCTCGTGGAACACAATCCATTGCAGGACGCATTTGCACCCCGCTCAAGGCTGGCCAGGCTGTGCGAGGTACGCCAGACGAGATTGCAGAGCGAATGGCCTATGACCGTGAGCTTCTCTCATATCGGCAAACAGCTGAGTGGGGAAATCGAGGTCTTCAAGGAGCATTTGGTTGTCTCCGTGTTCCACTTCCCATTGACAATGCAGAACGTCAAGGAAATCTCCTTGAGATCTGCAATCGCCTCAATAATCTGCGCACAAGACGAGTGGGAATCAATCAGATCCGGACTGTATACATGCGATACTGGCAGGACACAGCTGAGGACATTGATATCTGGCAGAACTTTGAGAATATGCTCTTCTCAGATCAACGAAAGAACAATAGAGTTGCTTGCTTCCATACTTACGCAGAATACACGTAAACAGGTTTGTATTACAAGCAGGTGTATGGTAATTGTAACGGAACACAACAAGTAACAGAACATAAGTGTAGACAGAAGTAGATGTTGCACTACTCTACTCGTCCTTGGGCCCATCAGCATCCTTGACATATATATCGTCATCGTCACCCTCCTCACCATCTTGGTCCTTGCCAGCTGTGGCAGTGGCATCATTGGGCTGGGAAGTAGTCAAAGCTTGCAACTCTATGCCAAAGTGATGGCCTGACGACGATGACGACGAAGGCTGGTCTCTATAGTCAATGTCACAGCGGCGATGGAAGAAATTGGGGTCCTCGTTCTCCTTATCACTCTCACCCGAGGTAGAGGAGGGATCCGTGACCCAGTATGTGTGTATACCTCCCTCCGGGTACCTCTCCTCGCAACGCATCTTTCCCTGGACACACTGGACTGAACGCTTTGTGGACTTCGAGCGCTTGACATACCCATTGTGGCGGCTCCTCCTGAAAGGTCAAGACTGGCGGCTACCCTCTTCAATGAGCTGCAACTGCAACTCAGCACGATCGCGGGCTCGCTGGGCCTCATGAACCTGGGTCTGGAGAGTAGAGAGCTGGGAGCGGAGCAACTCAATGGTAAGGTTGGTGTCTCGAAGTTGCTGGGAAAGGGTGAACATCTGTGAGGCTTGGAAGGAATGCTGGGCATGTTCCTCATCACGAGCTTGTTGGACACTCGGATCAAAGGCATTGGCAAGCTTTCCGATGAGGTCGACGTTGTTTGACCGAGAGCGGCGCTGGACAGCGGGGTCAGGTCGGCGGATGATAGCATTCTGGATATCACGGTTGCCAGCGGATGCCGCCTTCCTCGATTTCTTCGGCGCCTCTGGGATGTCGTCAGCATCATCGTCGTCATCTTCAGATCCACCAGTCAACTGAGCAGCATCATCGAAGTCGGAGTTGTTGAGATTGCGGGTGGCAGCCCTCTCATTGATACGCCCATCAATCTTGTGTGCTCGTTTGACGTCCGGGGGACAATAGGCATCACCAGTGGGCTTCGTGGTCTTAACAAGCTAAGATGTGTTGTAAGTAATGATGTTTCTTACATATAACCAAAAACGGCTGACCTGTTTGAACTTGGTCTCCAGAGACTTTAACGTGCGTTCAGCAGCATCGTTACGACGAGCCCAGCGAGTGAAACCACGGTGGATGGACTGCCACCCGCGTTGGCCAAGAGGGAGCTCCTCCTCGACAAAGTCAAGGAGGGCATCAACCTCGTCTGCAGTGTAGTTGCCAGCACCCTTGGGACGGCCACGCTTGGCTACTACCTCAACTTCTTCATCATCCGAGGCATGCCTGCACTTGCGAGCGGTGGCCTTCTCCTTTCCCTTATCGCGAGACTCGGTTAGTACAGCGCGCTGTTTGCCCTTGCCCTTCTGACGTGATCCAGCGACCTTCTTCGCAGCGGCATGGCCCCGGGACTTCACAATTGTGACCGGGTCAGAGAGGTCGTCGTCCGAGACCTCAGGAAGAGGTAAAAGCGCCAGATCGATCACTGCAGTAGAAGGGCCAGCTGTTGGGGCTCGAGTGGATGTAACAATCTAACACAGCATTAGGACAAAGGAGATATATGATCTAGGAGGCTACATACCACAAGAGCCTCAGAAAGCGGTTGGTTTGGACCATCCTCCATGTTATTATGGGGGCGAGTCTGACGAAAACAAGTCAGGACAATATGAGATATAAACAAAACGTACGAGTTTCGTTCTGGGACACAGCAGGAAATCCATGAGTTGCAGTAGGGACAGACTGAAAGAGAAGGAAAGAGGGATTGAGACATGTAGAGACACCATATAGGGTAGGGTACCTACCTGAGAAGTCACCATGGTTGGCGCGTATAACTGAACCCAATGACCAGAGACATCTTGGACATATGGCTGCCCAAACCTGTCATATCGGATGTTAGGGTTGCCAGGAACAGGGGTAAGTTGGTTGGGGTCCATAGCGGTTGATGAAGAGGTAGAACGAGCTGAGTTTTGGTGACACGAAGCCTGGGAGGTAGCAGCAACGACTCACCACTTTTATACCTATCTCTCCATGCATTTCAGCCATCTTCCGCTCCTCATTTCCCCTCCTAAGCCTTCGATAATGTTCCTCAAGCCATTCAAGACCGTCTCGAGACTGCTAGCGAGCGCAATTAAGCCTCTGGCAATGCGGGCTGCAGCCAATAAAGGACCTAATTGCAGACCCTGCTCATGATTGGATGTGATTAGCATGGTACGAGGAAGTAGTAGCATGTAATGACTCACTCTCACACATGAAGGGGGCTTTGGCAAGCTCGATGGGCAACGATGGACGACAATGATGGACGATGACGAAGGTTAAGATAAGAGCACGGCGTAAGCAAACAGGGAGTTGTTTGGTTGTGCATCACGGAACAAACAGTTTATTCGACCGAAAAAAGTCTATTCGAGGGGGTAGGACCCTCTGAATAGATTAAGGTTTATTGAGGGGCCCAACCAGGCACGACGGATAATCCGCGTTGACATGTTGGCAGCAGCATCGCGGCATCACTGCCAAGGAGCACGAATATAATCTATTGCGGCGAATAAATGCTTACGGACAGTCATCCAATGTATGAGTACATGCCTAGGTATATATATTATTTTTACTTGATGTATTTATGTGATAGTGGACGATTTTCATGCTTTTTATGCAGATATCCTCCTTGATTTAATACCATCTCACCCAAGCATCTATTCTCTAACCGTGACTACTAAAATATCAAGGTATACATATTGCACACCCATACCCATAGAGTCTACCTAGAGTGTGCAATATGCACTATTCGTGACAGGAGGACATGGTGACTGATGAGGTATGTGCTCCTCCTCCCCCTCCTCATATCTTTACCCACATGTGTGGCGCTCCATATTTAAATACATATATATACTAAAGCATAATGCTATTAAGTATCTACCAAGTCAAATTGGCCATAAATGCATGTATGGCTCTTTAATAAAATATCTACTGTTGAGGGTCATGGGCCATACCCTCTCCCTTCAAACCACAAATGGCTCGAATAGAGGGCCCTAAAAATGCGCTATTGTAGTACCATTAAATTGAGCTACTAACCATAGTAATAGTTGCATTATTGGTGTGTGGAAGAGGGGTAGGAGGAGAGGTACATTAATCACCATGAGCCACTCCCATAACCTGGATGGTGGCCTTCCCACTCATACATGTGTCTATATTAAATACTCCAGATGCTTCCTGGGCTGGGGAATATGCCTAGGGCTGGGTATGGATGAGGGACTGTTATTCATGTTATTGTTTTCGCATTTTATACAGCTTATGGGGGTTTACAACAGTATATATGTTACATAACTTCATTAATAACTACATACATTGATACTAGCAAAAAAAATGGAGGGAAATGGACCAGAAATGGTGTGAACAGCGAGCTTGCTGTCCACAACAGTAATGAGAAGGGCGGGAGCAACAACTTAGTCAGCGCACCATGGGACCCTGCCAATCTTAGTCAGCAAGGCATTTCTTCCCCGCTGACTAAGACTGGTGGGTCCCCACGGCCCGACTGTTAGTCAGCATGCAAGCAGAGCAGCCGGCGTAGGCCTGGCATATGAAACCCACACATGGTGTGGCGTCATGGAGGCAGTTCGGGGTCTCAGAGATTCTTGAAGAAACTGGAAGAATAGGCCAGTCTGTGTCAAGGCAAATTCTCATTTGTTTTGGCCTCTGTCAACAGATCAGTGACGAACAGTGACATTCTGCGGGGTGTCATTCTTTGATTATTGTTAACATCCTGCCAAAAAAGGTAACTTTCTGTGCCGATCATCAAAGAACGTCAACATTCTTTGACGATCATGACCGTTCCTTGGCTATCGTGACCATTCCCTGACTTTCTTCCGTGTTCTGCCACAATCGTCACTGAAATTCATTTACATTGTATTTTTGTCCAGCATGGACCACCATAGTCCTTTTCACACAGTCCTTTTGTCCCACTCGTTTAAACTGGTAGAACGTGCAATTGTTTGAATATACCTGACGATAACAAAGGTTTATCATTATCGATGCTTATGTGTCGAAGGAAATCTTCCAGCTGCAGATATGACGAGGGCCCTGCATACTAAAGAAGAGTTACTGCGACAATTTGAATCTAAGTGTTCAGAGGTTGATGACAGCGGTTTTTTTTTGGTCTTCACATGCTTCTCCTGCTTCTCCGGGCTAAGCTGTATCTTGCTTCTCTTTCGCCCTCACCTTTCCCAGAGCTCTATACCGGCCATACAACAATTAATAAAGACGAGGGCAAGAGGGAAACCTTTCGAAATCACGTGACGCGGAGATCGCCGAAAATGTTTCCTTCCTGACAGTGAGCCCGACCGAAAAAGCTCTCACCTTGGCTTACATCTGCCCCAGATCCACCCGTCTTTTCCTACGACTCGACATGCACAACCCCCCAGTCGAATGTCGGGCGATAGCCAAGGACGTTCGTGCATGTACTGCGACCTTCGCGATTGTCAGGTGTCTGTTGGGCAAGGTGAATAACTCTTGGCAGTGTCATAGCTTACCTGGTCTTTGTCCAGTGCTCACGTCCGTGTATTCGGGCTCTTGAGCGTTGGGACGCGGGTAACTCGACGCGGACATCTGCCTGACGCTGCGGTGGCGACGGGCTAGAGGCCATGAGCACTGTCAGACGCGTCAGATACGAGCTCGGGCTGCCGACGAACAACTCATTTTCACATTTTGTCCATGAACGCATCGTAGGAAGGAAGATCAGCGCAAAAACACAGGATCAGAACGAAGAAATACGCTCCCCGCATTGCTTGTAGCTCTGTGCGCTGTATGACATCGCCCGAACGCCTCTGATGAGGATGAGAATAGACGACTTACCTAGTACTAGTAAGTATCTGAGTGCCTCTATCTGCGAGCTGACAATGCACTCGTTAACATTAGGGAACACGAGCCACGAGCAAAGCCTGCCACCTGCCCACCACTGGTCCAATCATTATCGCTGAAACCTTCGCAAAAGCGTTCACTGTGTTGCTAATGGAGGAGCAGGCCAAAGCCTACGAAGAATCAAAGTGCAGTTGGAACATAGGCGCGTGGCAATGATTGAATATTGAAGGTACGCATTTCGCAGATACTCCAGATGATTGATCAACGCCTCATTTCAAACTTTAAGACGTGCTGGAGGTACCTGGTGTCGAGTTATCCTATTCCTGTCCATCGTACCCTGCGTGCTTATTTTTTTTGTTATCTACAGTCAGTACCGAGCTTTCTTCTTTTTGTCCCAGATCTTTTGGACCCACCAACTTGGAATAGGCTAATTGTTGTCGATACCTGCGAGCTTGTAAGTACGAGTGAAAAGGATTCGATGTGGCATCTCCTTTTGTCTCTTTGTTTCGAGGGCCACTACTTATAGTAATCCCGAGGAATTCTATTATTAATCAAGTTCTCAAAGAAGAGTCAGGCGACTTAATTTCCTTTGTATACAGTATAAAGCGAAGATGTTCTGGCATCTTGAATCTTTCCCCCATCCCCATGATGAAGCGCGGCTTCCTCAACACTTCGAAGGTAAAAAAGCAGCCACTGTATGGCCGAACTCAATCTCAGCCACATCAATTAGAGATAGAGGAACCTGGTGCGTATGTTGAAAAGGAGAATAAAGTGGACGTTGGTGAGCTCATGAACATGCAGTGGAGACACGAAATTCGAGCAAATCGTTAGGACGAGAAGTCGACGCCGGTCCGTCGTGCATTCGGCTCACTATGCAGATCCTCGACGTCTCACACCTCATCCTCCACAGGACATCCGGAGGGCGTTGTGGCAGGGCCACTTCCGTCCTCAACCATCGAGAACAGTTTACGAACAGACCATGCTGAAGACACGATTCTCGTCTCAACCATCCCGTTGCATTTCGAGGACGGATCTGGTGACCCGGATGGCCATAGCGAGTGGATCGCGAGAGGCCCTACCTATGACAAGATCCTCAAGTTGCCGTCCTTCCCCAGCCCCATCCCCAAGCCACGCCGTCACAACATGTACGTTGTCAAACCGAGCCGCGGAATGGGCTTGGGCGTCTTCGCGACATGCGATATCGAGGCCGGCGAACTCATATTTTCCGAACGCCCACTTCTTGTCTATCCGAGTGCCGCGGCGCCCTTGGAAGCCTCCAACCCCTACTCTCGACTTTCTTCAACGAAAAAAACGAGCGGGCAGAAGGAAGCCATTGAGTACGAACAGCTCGCCGAAGTCGCGCTGGAGCGCATGACAGAGGAAGGACGTGCTGCATACCTCTCGCTCGCGAACGCGCATGGAAGGGACAGCAGGCCACTGGTGGGGATCATCAAGACTAACGGTTACTTGACCAACATCGGTGATGGACCGGACCCGCGACCTGGGGGAGACTATGCTCATGCACGGAAGTATGGCGCAGTGTGCGAAATAGGGGCACGGATCAATCACAGGTGCGTATATGCGCCACAATATACTTGTTGAGCACCACATAGGAAATTCATAATGTAATTCACTCACAGTTGTTCTCCAAACGTCACCTTCTGGTTCAATCGGTCCTCTTTCTCTATGCAGGTCAGCGCAATCAAGGATATCAAGGGCGGGCAGGAGTTCTTCTCCTCGTACTGCAGGCTGGATCAGTCTGCTGCGAAGAGAAAGGTGGCGTTGGCTCCGTACGGATTCGAGTGCAAGTGTCCCGTTTGCGTACATGCCATTCCCGCCACGGACCAGCTGCATGAAGAGTTTCCTGCCCGAGTTCAGCGTTTTTCGGAGCTCTCCAAGGGTTGGATTCGTGCCCCTCGTCTCGACGCCAGTGTCCTCGATCCTCTGTTACAGCTCGAGAAGGATGCGATAAAAGAAGGATTAATCCCCGAGCCCCCGTATAGGCGCTTGTTGGGAATAATAGAAGTGGTTTACGCAAAGCTGGGCATGCGCGAAAAGGCTGGACACTACACCGAAATCAGGTGCCGTCTCAATGCTATCGGGGAAGATGACAAGACTCGATAGGTAGATTACGCTGTGCAATCTAGCCCTTCGTTGCTTTCTGACGGATCTTGATCCTAGATAAACTCCTCAATGTCCCCAACCATGCTGTTTTCTATGTATTTCTTCGACATTTGTCAAATGAAGACAGCGGTTTTGTCTCTTTTTTTCCCTCCGATTTTCTGGAAATACGAAAGAAACGACTGATTGCTGTCGATATTTTCTAAGCATTTTGGTGCCCTCCAGGAGTTTGCATCGCCGCATATCTTTGTCGAAGCTTCGCAGGCGTTTGCTTAAGGTAAATCTGAGCAATCCGATTATCGACCAAACTGCCCCGATTTCCTCGATAGCGTGAACGAGTTCAGGCAACTCAATTGGATCTCCTGCTTTCCTAGACAAGGAGGGGCTTCCTCGAACATCGAAGGCCAAAAAGCGGCCGGCGTGACCACATCAGTTGGAGGTGCAAGGGCCACAACTTTAACAACAAAAACCTGGTACGCATGCAACAACCTGAAAACATGCATGATCACGGCAAAGTGTGCTCATGAATATAAGTGCTCTAGTCTCGAAGATTGGAATGCAGAGACGAAGAAATGAATATCTATAGTCGATTTCGAGGTTTCCAAGATTGCCTCTGAGATCCAGATCTTTGCGACCACTTACTATTTCGGTCGAGGATTACATACTCAGCGCAGCCTTCTTTCGAAAGGAACGTTGCTTCTCTCTTGCCCTCATCTTTCTCACTGTTCTGCTTCAGCTACACAGCATGAGACGAGGATTTCTCAAGGCAAAGGGCAAAACGCTCTTTGACTCGGAGCCGCCATCCGCCAAACAGGAGCCCCCAATCCGTATCGGTATGCGCCCACTTCGAATTTGCCACTCGATTGGGCTTACAAGTTTCTGCGCAGTTGAAAAAATACCATTTGGAAAGGTGGAAGACGCTGGTGCCTTTCGTTTCTTTGTGCGCGGCGTACCTGGCACACTGATGGCTGATGCGTATGCACAGGGATCCCCGATGGCTACGATGGCAGCTCCAAGCTTAAATACCAGCAAAACGATTCACGAAAAATCGATTACGATGACAATTATTTGGTCTATACGACCGTCCCAATGGGATTTACTCACAAAGCCGACGACCCTGACGGCCATAGTGAATGCATTATACATGGCCCTACGAAAGCGAAGATCGTGAATACCCCCGGATATCCGTGCACCATCCCGAAGCCCCGCCGCCCCAACATGTGCGTGATCAAGCCGGTCGCGGATATGGGTCTTGGCGTTTTCGCAACGTGCAACATCAAAGTCGGCGAGCTCATCTTCTCAGAACGCCCTCTCCTCGTCGCGCCTCGGGCAATGGAGGCCCCAACTAAACCACCTGTATCGAGCAATTTCACCATTGATCAGCAAAAGCAAATCGCTATGTATGAATTCGAGAAGGTCCTTCAATGTGCCGTCGGTCGTATGAGTGCTGAGCGGCGTGCTGCCTTGATGGCACTTGCCAATTCACACAAGGAGGATGGGAGTGGTCCGATCCTGGGCATCATGCGAACAAACGGCTTCTCGATTGCTACTGAATTAGGTGATGGGCCGGCGCCGGCTCCCGGACAGGAATACCCCTCGGAACGCAGCTACAGCGCTATTTGCGACATGGGGTCTCGGATCAATCACAGGTATGCGCCACAATAACCATTCTAACTAGCACTGACGAATCATGTATGAGTAGTTGCATGCCAAATGTGACGACCTCCTTCATGCTCTCGTCCTTCTCCATGCAGTTCGTGGCGAGTCGGGAGATCAAGGCGGGCGAGCAGCTGTTTTATTCATACTGCGGGGTGGTTCAGAGTGCCGCAGACAGGCAGGAGGAGCTGGCGCCGTACGGCTTTGAGTGCAAGTGCCCCGCCTGCGCCAACGCGACGCCCGAGCGAGACAGACTGCGCATTGAATTTCAGGACAAGGTCCTCGGCCTGGTCCGTGACGTCTCGTGGATGCGATACCCTCCGGATCGCGACTTCTTGGGTCGGATGCTTCGGTATGATCAAGATGTGGTTGCCGAAGGACTGAACTCACAGAGGATGTACCGCTTCGTGGCTTCAATCATCGGCCACCTGTTGACCCAGTTGGGTATGAATCAGCAGGCCAAGCGGTACCTAGAGCTGGAACAAGCTTGGAAGGAGATCATGAAAGACAGGTCGTAAGCTGTTCTTTCGCGGATAAATTATCGAATCTGAAGCTGTACAAAATCATGGAATTCCCTACCGCTTTGCATGCGAACTTTCACTTGAACGACTCAGTATGATGGATGGGGATTCCTATCCCATCGTCTGACTAGTGGTTTCCTTTTTGAACTTCATACCCCCCTTCCTCCTGCCCAACGAGTAATGCTGGATCCTTCTTCTGTATTTCATCGACTTCTGTCGCATGTAGATAGTAGTTCCGTCCTATTTGTCCCCGATTGCACCCACAATAGGAAGACCGATTACCATTTACATCTGCTGCCTTGTACCAAAAGGTTCTCTTTGGGATCTTCCTTCACGGGACTGCATGTCTCCTCGTCGAAGCTCAGGTATCTACTTACGATGACCCCGAGGACTTTTATCATTAGCTAAGTTGTCCCAAAGAAGAGCTTATTTGCTTTATAACATGAACGAGTCCTGGCGGCTTGGATTGCCTACTTCCCTAAGATAAGACGGGGCTTCCTCAACACTTCGAAAGCAAAGAAGCTGCTGCTTGTTTGTCAGACCGGCCAGGATGTATCCCCACCAGACAAATCGGAAGTGCAAGCGCTGCAAGTGACACAGCAACAAAAGCTAGGTGAGTACCTCGAGGCTGGAAAATGAGAGGCATGCTCATAAATATATGCGCAGTTAAGGCACGCGTGGCACAAGACGAGGACTAGGCAGCATAAATACCTCGGTTACAAATATTTTTTCTGCAGAATACTATGTGTCCGCGTATAAAGTATCTGGATTGCTGGCTAAATTATATACACTCTGTATTGTTCTGGTAGCAAGCTCCTTTCTAATGGATTTTCTTCTTCGTTTTTCTCAGCGTTGGGGGTGCAGTGCTAAACGCGGTGTGCCATCAAAAGAAGCATATCCACGCTTTCCTCTTACCCTCGTCTTTGCGCAAAATGAAGAGAGGTTTTCTCAACAGTTCCAAGGCAAAGGCGAAGCTGGCGCTCCCTGAACCGCTATCTGCGAAGGAAGAGACGCCAAAATCAAACAAAGAGAGTCCACGTACGTCTCCTGGAAATCGTTCGTTGTTTAAACTCACGCATATATGGATAGTTGGAACATTGCCGTTTGGAAAAGTTAAAGACGCTGGTGTGGGCCCTCTCCTTATGTACTCGACGTTGGTCACTAACACGAGGCACGTCGAAAGGAATCCCGGATGACTATGACGGCAGCTCGAAATTCCAGTGCAACGAGAGCCATGGGCGCAGGACCGACTACGGCCCAAACGAAGTTGTCTATACGACCATCCCGTCGCAAGATATGAGCAAACCTGCCGACCCCGACGGGCACAGCGAATGTGTCATATCCGGCCTCATCAAGGCGAAGATCTTCAACACGCCCGGATATCCGTGCGCCATCCCGAAGCCCCGTCGCCCCAACATGTGCGTGATCAAGCCGGTCGCGGATATGGGTCTTGGCGTTTTCGCAACGTGCGACATCAAAGTCGGCGAGCTCATCTTCTCAGAACGCCCTCTCCTCGTCACACGGCGGGCGATGGCAGCCCCAACCGCGCATATACCGAGGGGTTGCTCGCCAGAGAAGGTCAAGCAAATCCTCATGTTCGAGATCGAGAAAGGACTTCAATATGCGGCCAGCCGTATGAGCGATGAGCGGCGTACTGCATTGATGGCGCTTGCCAACTCACACAAGGAGGATGGGAGTGGTCCGATCCTAGGCATCATCCGAACGAACGGCTTTTCGATTGCCAGCAAGTTGGGCGATGGACCCGCTCCGGCTCCCGGTCAGATTTATCCTCCGGAACGCGCCTACGGTGCTGTTTGCGACCTGGGATCTCGCATTAATCACAGGTATGCGCCACAATAACCATTCTGACGGCGCCAAGTCTCACTATACTGAAATAGCTGCATGCCGAATGTCATGTCCTCTTTCGCGCTCTCGTCCTTCTCGATGCAATTCACGGCGCTTCGGGAGATCAAGGCAGGCGAGCAGCTGTTCTATTGCTACGGTGGGATGTTCCAGAGCGCCGCGGACAGGCAGAAGGAGCTTGCTCCATACGGCTTCGAGTGCAAGTGCGCTGCCTGCGTCAACGCGACACCGGCCAGGGACAAGCTGCGTATCGAATTTGAAGATAGGGTCACCTTTCTTGTCCGCGAAGGTATTCGAAACACCAGCGATCGCAACTTCCTGAACCGGATGCTTCAGTACGAGAAAGAGGTGGTCGCGGAAGGGCTCGACTCACAGAGGATCTATCGTTTTATGGTCGCACTCATCGGCACTATGCAGACCACGTTGGGAATGCATCGAGAGGCTAAGCGCTACCTGGAGCTGGAAAAGGCTTGGAAAGAGATCGTAAAACAATTGTAGAAAGGTATACTTTCATAGACACTTTTTTTTGCTCCTGAACCTGTACAATATCGGGACGTTCGTTTCCATTGAAGATGCTACACGTCAGATTTTTCATGTAGGCAGTATTAAAGATGATCAATGCGTATCCTCAGTAACTTCTGTTGGTTGAATTTAACCGTTTGGTGGCCCGCAATGAAATCATCGTATTATGCTCTACGGCCCTAAGAATGAAACAAAAATCGTATCTCGCTGTACATTATAATCGTTTAGTAAACTCGATATCGAGGTCATGAGGGATGCTCAACCCAAACGCTCCAAACTCGTTCTTGACGTAGTCTGCGTGTGGGCTTCCTGCTGGGAGATGCCATTCGTATTGGCGCAACAACATGCACAGTAGTGTTCGTTGCTAAGCAAAAACGTCAACGATGATACCGCTGTCAGGAAACGAAACAACGCACCTCATATAAGGAGAACTGACGCGCCACGCACTGTCGAGGACCCGTCCCAAACGGAATGTTCGCAATCGCCCGTGTACTCTTGTCGATGAAGCGGTAGGGGTCGAAGCGAGACGGCTCCGTCCAGTTCCTCTGCGTGTGGTGGACGGCGCAGACGTTCGGCACCAGAGACACCCCAGCGGGGATCGAATACTTTCCGAGGATCACGTATTCGGTGGTTATGCGGGCGGGGAGGAGGGAGATAGGGCTGTTGATCCGCAGAGCTTCTTTGATACAGGCGTTGAGGAAGGGGAGGCGACCGAGGTCCTCGTAGGTGGGTTCGTCGCGGCCTGCGAGGACAGCGAGGACTTCTTCGCGTGCCTTTGATTGGTATTCTGGGTGCTGCGCGAGGTGATAGACCGCTGTTGAGAGCGCTCCTGAGGTCGTGTCCTACAGTGTTTTGATTAAAAGATTATATTCTCCAAGAGAAACGAACGTACATGGCCAGCAGAGAAGAGGATGGAGAAGTTCGAGATCAGCTCCTCGGTCGACATAGTTGAATCTTCGAGGAGGTAGGTCAGTAGATCGAGTCCGAGGTCCTGTTTCTTGGACTCTAGCAAAGCCCCGTATCTGGAATTCAGAGCTTGCACATCCCGAATGACTTCGTGCCTTGGGAACCAGTCATCAAGGAAAGGCAGGATGAGGCGAATTGGAACTGCGATCTTGGACATGACGCGGTTGAAGTGGTCGACGAATGAATCCTCTTGCGTTTGCATAGCACGGAAGTTGTAGCCAAGAAGTGCCGTCCCAGCAACGTCCAGTGTATAGCGCTAGAAGGAAATGGAGGGTGAAACAAAGTGCTTTTAAAAATTTACGTCGCAGACGTACCTGGACGAGCTCGCTGAAGCGGTAGACTCCGCCTTTGCCAATCCGTCGAAAGAGTTCATCCGAGAGGGTGACGAAATGGTGAACAGGAATCTCGCGGTCGAATGCAGCCTTTACGGAGGCAGAATGTCGTTTCCACATTTCTCCATTGGAGAAGACGACGTTTGGACCACTGAGGAAGGTGAAGTGCAGGTGTTCCTGATAGTTTTTCTTCGGGAATCGGTCTATGTTGTGGCAGACAGTCTTGACGAGCTATTCGAATGATTAGCGTTAATAACTGCGTGAAGACAACGGAAGATGAGACGAACACTAGCATCCAAGACGTGTACGCCCCACTTGCCCAACATGTACACCAAGACGGCTCCTTCGCCTCTTTCGGCAAATGGGAGAATGAGCCGTTTCACCCTGCGGTCGACGGACTCTCGCATCGCATAACTCCAAATCGTCGCATAGGGAGAGACTTTTGGTAGGTGCCGCAAATCACTGGGGACAGCAAGCAAATACTGGACGAGGGCGTAGAAAAATCCAACGACACCAAGGCACCATAACTGCCACGTGTAAGCGCGATACAACGCATCCACGCTGGCGTTGTATGCCAAAGGCGCGAGGACTGAGGAGGAGGGCATGGCGACGACGAAAATGTTCGCCGACATCCCAGTACTTAAAGTACTGTGGCGTGGTTCGATGGCCTCACTCTGAGCCTAGAGAGCGACATCATCAGAGCCTACATTCACGGTGTCAGCTCTAGGGACGGAAATGAAGAACTCCGAGCCAAAGAGGTAATCAGAATACAGTGAATGGGCGGGATTTGAGTACGTACACCATCAGGGTGGTCGCCATCCTTCGGCGGGTGAAAACTTTGACAGTACATACTAAGTAGGGACAGAGCGGCCCCGCATCGGTGGCGGCAAGTGACCGAGCAAGGCAGCCTTCCATTCAGCACTATAGTGACTCGGAAGACATCCCTAGCAGAGCTGTCTTCAAAACATTCCATGGACTGGAGGGACTGAAAAACAGACGCAAGTTGATGTTGTGTTGACCGTGGGAGATGCTTGTCAATCACCCGGCATCTTCCGGCGGAAGATGGCCTTTAGGCGCCGGACCGACGAATGTTTGACGCCGATTCCCCATAAGGGAATCTCTGTTTTCACAACCGGCTGACGCCACTCGGCATTGCTGATCTGTTACGAGCTCATTCTTCATACCCCTCAGGATATCTTTTGGCAAAATATCTTTGACCAAATTTAAGGTGCTCTGTCGGGATTATCGGATACCCTTCTGCGGAGCGCGTCATGTCCGCTTCCGAAGACACTCGATTTAGCTCATTGTGCGCTGTTTCTCCGCTCATACAAGAGAATTCTTCCTGTCGTAGAATGTACAAGGCGCATCGCGTCCGGCGGGTCCCGTTTCAGTGATCGGTAAAATGATGCCTGTTCGACATGAGTCGATCTCATGCTGTGTCATCGAGGCGTGACAGGTGAATGGAAGAGTAGATGATGTGTGACGTAACTGCACGCTAAGGATCGATTTTTTTGCTAAGTATGTGATGTCGGAGGGACACTTTCTGATGAGGAAGCGTTATCGCTTTTGTCTCTCTATTGAGCCCCGGCAAGTAACAAAGTGAAGCCTGTCGGAAAGTGAACATCGGGGGTCGATGTCGAATCAAAAATGTTTGATATCGGACCTGCTCCGAGTCGGATCCGTCGGCAACGCAAATTAGTCTGGGAATTTCCGTTTTCGAACATCGAACAAGCATTAGTTACGACACCGTTCTGGAGTACAGGAGGCAGACCTTGCGTTGTGTACAGGTCAGCACCGGAGGACTGCCCACACCTCCACCAGAACACCGCCCACTTGTATCTGGTTAACGTCAATGAACTGACAAGGCAGTTTATTTAGGAAGTTTGCTACTGACGACTATTGGAGTCGGGATTCTATGAACTGGTGGGTACTGTCAATATCTCCTTAATAAAGTCGGATCGGAGAATATCCCGAACTTGACCAAACCCTCCTTTTCCTTTCTAGGGGCCTGCGGAGCCTGCAGCGCTACGTCCAACTCGAAATCCTCACAGTCGCAAAACATGGCTGCCGACCTTCGAGAACCATACGACGAACGCCTTGTCATCAACGACGAGGAGGACGATACAAGGCGCAGCGCATGTGGGGGCTCTGACACCAGCGACGACTCCATCTGCACTCCGACGCCCCTCCCTAAACTCCAGCTATTTATCGTCATATTCATCCAAATTTCTGAACCTGTCACCGCGACGGTCATCTATCCCTTCGTGAATGATCTTATTCGATCTCTTGGAGTGACTGGTGGCGACGAGAAGAGGACAGGGTACTACGTTGGTATTGTCGTAAGTTGCTCCCTTCGTTCATCTGCTCTGAGCGGCCATCTAACAGAACAACCCCTGCGTCCAGGAATCGGTATTCTATGCCACTGAAGCACTCACAGTGATGCATTGGGGCCGGGCGTCGGACTCTATCGGTAGGCGACCTATCCTTCTCGGTGGAGTGGCGGGTCTTGCTCTGGCGATGGTCGGATTTGGGCTGAGTAGGCAGTATTGGATGCTCATCTTCAGCCGGTGCATGCAAGGTGTGTTTAATGGCAACATTGGGGTGATGAAGAGTGTTATGGGAGAGATTACGGATTCGACAAATGCGGCGCAGGCCTTTTCCTTCCTCCCTATCGCTTGGTCTATTGGGTCCACTGTTGGGTGAGCACAGATTTCAATTCTTACACTCGTATATGTAGTTGCTAATAGTTTCTCAGCCCATTCATTGGAGGAGCGTTCGCCGACCCAGCTGAAAGATGGCCCGGGGTATTCGGGAAGATGCAGTTCTTCCAGACATATCCCTATTTTCTGCCCTGTTTCGTCGCTGCTTTGGTGCCTATATGCGCGTTCTTTTTCGCATTCTTGGGATTAAAAGAGGTCAGCATTGTTCTCCTTGAAAGATTATTGCCCAGACGAGTTTTTCTCATTTTCTAGACTCTGCCGCCAACTGAAACCACTCCATGCTCTCCTAATCTGAAGACAGACTTCGATCGTGAGAGCTGCAGGGCACCATTAATTCAACATGCTTCGCCGTCGTCAGCCGACACAAATTATGGGACCCTCAGGCACCCAATCTCTAATCAAAATGCCACTCTATCGCCACCTCCGTCCTTCACTTCGACCTCGAAGCCCTCTTTCCGTGACGTACTCATCCCGCAGGTCCTTATCCCTGTTAGCAATTTCGCGTTTCTTGCTTTCCTCGACCAATCGTTCCTTGTTCTCGTTCCGCTCATTTATTCAACACCACTGGGGCACGGCGGCCTTGACCTTCCTCCATCTACCATTGGCTCTATTCTAGGGGGGTGGGGCGTGCTTAATGGATTCGTCCAAGTTTTCCTCTTCCCTCGGCTGAGGAAATGGGTGGGACATCGCAATTTGTATGTCTTGGGGATTGTAGCATTGGGGATTGGACTTGGGATGTTCCCGCTCTTGAACTGGCTTGCGAAACTGGAAGGGGACGGAGAGGGTAGCCTCGGTGTTTTGGTTTGGTGTGGGATCGCTGTCCAGCTCGGCGTCTACATGCTCACGTACATGTCTTACGGTTCGTCATACTTTCATTTTCAACCTTGTTGTTTCTCATGACCTCCGATTTTTATTAGCCTGCATGTTTATGTACATCTCCGCCTCTGCTCCTTCCCGCTTCCTGCTCGGAACGACAAACGGTCTCGCGCAACTGACCGCTTCCAGCGTGCGGGCCGCCGCTCCAACTACTGCCTCGTCTCTCTTTTCCCTTTCTCTTGAGCTGCGTGCTCTCGGGGGGCTGGCAGGCTTCCTTGGTGGGTATTTGGTTTACTCAGTCTTCGTGTTTATTCCTGCTGTGGCGGCGTTATGGGGTTTTACGCTTCCTAGAGATATATAAATAAGGATGATAAAGCTCTATATGGGTTCCATAAGATTATTGCCTTCTCCTTCCTCCTTCGCTCTTTCAGTAATCTGCCCGCTGCTCCACTCGTTTATTATGCTATAGTCTCATTTCACATTATTGGATATTAATGCTAAACTTGACTGTCGTTTCTTATTTACGTTAATTAGTACAAAGGCTTTGCTTAATACGTTTTATGCCACTTCTTTTTGCTTAAGCATGACATGTTCTTCGTGATTTCCCCCGTGAATGAACCTCAAATCTAACAGGAGCGAAAGAGTTCCCAAACTTGAAGACGCGTAGAATTGGGAACGGATCTTCTAAATTTGAATCGCCGGGCCGGCTACGTGTACACCCACGCTAAACTTGACTTCCAACCACGATGTCAAGCGCGAGCGCTCAAAGGCTCCATTTCGTTTCTGGCGACGTCCTATCTATATTCTTATTATGAGCCCCAGAATCGAAGGACAGTATCTAGCGACAACTGCCAGACTTCGCTAGTCAAACTATAGATGCACAAGTGCAGTAAGTCCCTAAATTTGTCATAATTTACGAACTCTCAGCTGACTCGCTGACTCTAAGTCAGACGTCGAGATTGGACTTTTTCACAGATGACGGAGAGCAAGAGCTTCCAAGAGCAAAATCAACTAAGACTGCTTCGGGGATCACGTCAGGATTGCACCAGGCTTCAAGCTTCAAGATTCAACCTTAGCTCACGTCCGACAGCCAGGGAAATGTGTAGGGTATGAATGCCCGGCGACTGGCTGTTACTTCGGACGCAGCTCACACCAAACTTACGCCTCGGTGTTCTGCGCTGCGCCACGGTCCCCACTACGCCCGCTGGCGGCATCGATGGGCACTCCACATAGTCTGGCGGCATATTCTGTTCAGGGCCGCCTCCATCGCCACAGATAGCGCCACACGTAGCGCCACACCTACCTTTCGCCGCTTTATTGAGTATTGCATCCATCGTATTGCTTTCGAGGGAACGAAGTGACACCACCCGTTTCTAATGGTAGCGGCTTGCCACAATATACTCCGCTACACAATTGTCGAAGATGGTTTAACCAAACGCGCTTCAGCTCTCAGTGAAAATGATTACATCGCTGAGAAGGGCTGGAGATCGAAGCTACTGAGGTATCGATGTGCTGATGATTTTCTTTTCTGCCTGGTGGAAATCCTAATTATGCAGTAGGCCCGCTTTCTCTTGAAATCTGCTTTCCTTGCGCATTAAGTCACCGTTACTCCTCCCGTACAGGTTTGAATTTTGATCGCGAAGAAATACCAAGCGAGACAAGCGTTAGAAGGAGAATGGTGTCGGCGTGACTGTGTTGCCCAGAGCAGCCACTCATCCCATCGGCGTTGGGATGGGATCAGTGCGTCTTCACTTCTGTTCTAGAGTAAGGCACATTGAGATTGACGTTGTTCATGATGTAGTCAATGCGGCTTCTTCGGACCCTCTGCAAAAACTGGGGATTGAGCAATTAAGACGGCCTCGTCTAACCGACATACGGCAATTGCGCAATGGGAGCAACGCAAATGACTATTCCCAGCGTCGATCTCCGGAGTCAGACTCGCCCCGGAGAAGCAGACCTCACTGAAGAATATGTATCGGATACTCACAAGGCGATTCATTTGTTGCTCGCGACCAGATCTCGTAGTCGCGGTCGTAACGGCACGCTCGGTCTTCCGACGTCGCAGCTAGGAGGGCTCAAGTCGGTACAATATCTGGTAATCCTGGACGCCCATCAGATTTCACCATGATCATCTGCTCTGCGTTGAGAACGTCGAGAGTATATCGATGGTCCTTACAGCACCTACGCAAGACGTTTCGGATGGATGCCTTCTCGATTCTTTTGTAGATGACGTGTTGAATGTTGTTCACACCAGGACTGTGTGGAGATCGACGGGCGCAAAATTTGTCCATCGCTTCCAGGGCGAACGCCATGCGCAAGGCTGGGTTCTTCGGATGTTACCCAAACGTAGACTCTAATAGACCAGAGAACACCATACTCTATTACCATGCCTCTTAATCACTAGAAGTGCTTGCTAACACATAATATTAGTCTTCTATGAAACGAACATTTGATCTCGGTGACGATCTGACCGACTTCCAGGTCAGGAGACAAGTCGAGCAAGGAGGTGGGTTGATCAACAAGCCTCATTGTCTCTCCTAGAGAAATTCCGACTCTTCATTCGTTTGCAGCTCTAAAGGACCATACATATTCTGAAAACATTGCAATTCAACCGATTCGATAGACGATATACATTGTAGAGATTTTTCATAGGCAGAAGTGATATCAGGGAGATTGGAGGTTCAACTTGTTCAACTCGCGTCCGAGGTAAGTGTGCGTCGCGAGAGTCCTCTGGTCCCACTCCTCCGAATCACCCCATTCCTTCTTGAATTTCGCGACGATGTCCTCGTTGGGGTTCGGGTTGAGCTCGGGGTGAGCAAGAAGCATCCCGAGGACGGCACGCCAGGCGCTGTTGAGGGCACCAGCAACCCAGCTGGTCGTATCGACGAGCATCAGTGTCCAACAAGGAGGATATAAGTGTTCTCTTGGACTTACCCATGGAAGGTGCTGGTGGCATCGCCAGCGAAGTGGAAACGTTGGTCCTTCGAGCCGGGTTGGGTGACATACGGATAGGTGTACTTGAACTGATTAGGCCCGAATTGACAGAAGGCACCTGAAAGCGAGAGAATCGCAGTGAGTTTTCTAGATGCGGTGCCCAATGAAAGAATACATACCGAGCTGGAACTCATCGCGATAGAAGTCCCATGGGTAGTAATCCTCGTATTCGTCCCAAAGCTTCTCGACGTCCACCTTGTGTACAGCCGCGAGGTCGCGCATGACGAGGTCGAGCAGGATACGCTCCTCAGGAGTGCCTTTTCCCTTCATGAGACCACCGAGGCGCTGGGAGTCTTGCATTCCATTGTACGCCGCGATCATGCAGTTGGACTTCTGGTTGTTGGGGTGAGATGCGTCTGGACCGTACGAAGGGTAGACAATGTCGCGAACGGGGCGATCCGTGGAGGATTGACCACCGACGATACCGAGTTTCTCCCACCAGGCGGTCTTGAACTGGAGTCCGATCTTGATGGACGGGGTGTAGGTCAGCTGGCGGATGGCGTTGCGCTGGCCGTAGGAAAGATAGAGATGTTCAAGGTCGACCATGCGCAGGCAGCCGAAGGACATGGTCGAGATGACTTGGGAGTATTTCTTCTCCGTCCGACCCTGAGCAGAAGGGCGGGGATTGTGGGTGGAGTCGAAGCTGACTGTCAAGGTCTGACCGTTGTCGCTCTCTTTGATGGCGGTGACCCGCATGAAGTGCTGAGGCTTGGTGCTGATGCGATCCGTCATGGCCTTGTGGACAACCTCTGAACCCCCGCTGCAGAAAATTATGAGGATAGAGAATACGTTGATCAGAAGAGATACGCACTCAAAACACCACCAGTTCACATCTTTGCCCGTCATGTTGGGGTCCATGAAGACCAATGACGCTAAAACCGTTTCGACGAGCGATTGGTCGAAAAGCCCAGTACGCGACTCCATAGTCTCCCACCACTTGACGACGGGATACGGGATCTTCTTCACCAACAACAAATAGCTGGTGACGGAGTGGTCCTCCAGCTGCTTGAGCTTGTCGAATGCGACAGGGAACGAATAGTCCACGAAGTATTGCCTGAGCTCGCCGAGGATCTGGTCCCAAAATACACCAGTTCCCTGCTCGAAGTGGTCCTCGGGGACGTAGCCGTCGTTCTTGACGCTCACTTTGAAAACGTCGTCTTTAACGAGATCCTTCTGCTTGTTTTCGGCCTTGGTGATGCTAACCCTGTTGTAGGAGAGGAAGGCATTGTCGTTCGCGCGGAGGTAGGGAAGCATAGTAAGGCCAAGACGTTTCTTTGCAAGGTCGAAGGTTCGCGTCATGAACGTGGTCTCGGGGTAACGCATGGCGCCGACGTCCTAACGTTGCGTTAGCAAGTTTTTGCGAGCCAGACCAATGGAAATACTCACGTAATACTGATACTTTCCAGAGTTCTTCGGGAAGTTGTGAGTATAAAGCCTTCCTCCAGTGCGTCCAGATCCTTCGGTGATCTCGTACTTGATACCGAGAGAGTCGAGCATCATGGCTATATAGAGTCCCGCAACACCAGCGCCGATGATGCACACCGGAAGCTGGGGTGTAGGAGGGAGGGGCGGGGGTGGGATAATGACCTCGGGAGGGATAGTAGGCCCAGGCTTGGTAGGGTCGGTATAGACGTTGATGAAGGCGTCGATGGCATCCTTTCCAGTCTGAGCGAGTGCTTGAGAACCGGTGTCCGGCGGGGGAGGAGGGAGTTCGCCTTTGATAATGTTGACGGTTATCAAGCTACGAACACGATTAGATGAGGGTAAATGACGCTAATTAGTCGGTGAGCTCACGAGTCGTCGTATTCCGGTGCCCCTGCAACTTGAGTGGTTGGCGGGGCGTCTTCAACGAAGATCTACGAGGAGGTGAGCAGGAAAGACAACGAAGTGGATTGTTCGGAACCTACAACGAAGGTACTGTAGTCAGGGAAGTCCTTAGGAGCGTTGGGAGGTTTCTGAGTCTACAAAACGACGTATTAGAAGGAGAAATGGTGATCAAAGCATCTCGCTCACCCCCAAGATGTTGAGTCTTGAGCTCCTGTACTTGTCGGCCCTGAGCGCTTCTCCCTTGACCGAAGCCGTGGTAGAGAAGTAAGCGTTGAGTTCGAAAACAATGGACTCTTCTTGAGGGATGATGGTGACGACATCTTCCGACGAATCCAAGTCTTGCATCTTCATGTTCACTTGGCCCCATTTATTGACGATATAGTGGCTCTTGGCAGTGCCCTGGACCTCAAAATCGCAAGTAATGAGTTGGTTGTAGGTCTTGCGGCTGACCTAGACGACGCAGACGAACGGTGATCAGATGTGTTTAAAGGGGGTTGTACGATGCCACCTACCGCGCTGATGGTGATGAACCACCCAGGTGGTACTTCGACTTTGGCTTGCGCGCCGGTCGCTGGGAGAAGTTTGGGACGAGACATGGTGACTCAACGAATCTGTTGGCTGCATCCCGTAGGGCTTATATGGATGGCCGGGGAAATGCAGAGTGTCAACCCAACCTGACCAGGTTTCTCGTTGGAAATCCTACAGATCCTGGGATCGTAGAGTCTCCTGGATAATCACATCCACGTAAAAGCATTGACGGGGGAGTGAATACTCGTTAAACCGATTTTCAGGAGATCGAGATGAAGGGAAGAGGTAAGTTCCATAAAAGGATCCGACCTAACGCCAACTTGAACGTGACTCGCATCTTATCTTAGGACTTCTATGCTAGGCGAACCTTCACTCAAGAACTCCACAGTCACTGTTATGAAATGACAACGGGAATGCGGGGATGCGACGTCCGACATCCTTTTGTTCCATTTTGACTCTATCACCTGACGTATCGGACTTTTCACTGAAGGGCTACATGCGGTAAATCTAGGGTGGGTTTCCAACCTCGTTCCTCAATCATATAACTGCTCTCTAATCGCTTTGGCATACAAGCCTCCTTTACCTGAACGCCCATCGCCATAATCGAAGTATGTCGCGCCCCACTAACGCCCCGCCGATTGGACCAAAGTTCTCAATCAAAGTGCCTCCTGGCTGGCTGGTAATCGCCACTGCTGTAAGACCTCGAGTTCTCGAGTTGAATTTATGACTCAAGGTGTCGCAGATTTCGCGCAAGAAGTACATGCAAGGCGTTGAGGTCGGCTTCGACATTATCCAGCCAGAGTCGCGCATCTTTGGCAGCAAAGTCGGCACCGCCAACGACCTCATGCGAGTTACTCTCGACCAGGCGTCGTCTCTGCCGTTCAAGGACCAGGAGGACGAGTATCAGTTGGACATCACCTTCTATTTCTCCTCCGGATCGGTCAACGATGCAGAGGTCCTCGTAGACAACAACGCAAGAAGTAACAAGATACACGTTGTCAAGGTAGGTCTTCTTCCCATTACTCTCTTCCATGCTCGTAATTCTCCCTCAGACAGAGAAGCAACCCGGGTCGTTCGTGGGACCAGACAGTGTTACTTTCATTGTCTTCGTTGAAGATACTCCTACTCAAGAGGCTGGGACCGGGCAATTCGATGACGGGTTTGTCTCTTGTATTGGACCATATTCTTCTGAAAAACTGATTCAGAAATAACTCAGCGTCGCCATGTTCCATCTTGTCAAGAACTCTTAGTTTCAAATGTTGCTGTAGACTATCGATTGTACCTGCGCGTTTCGTGCCAACGAGAATAACCTTAGCATAAAATTTACCAATTTCCTGCACAGTCTCAGAGTTGGAAAAAACCGCCCTGCGCATTACTCATACTTAGAGATGATGAAGGCGCCGTCGTGCATGCGATTGATGGCGGCCAGATGATCGATCCATAAAAGGGTCTCGGTAGACTACATTTGGCAATCCCGACTTGACCTAGGTTGGGAATGGCAACCGATTTAGAAGGTGCGAAATCGTTTCCCCCTACGCTCCCTTTGCCTCCTGTATAGATGACGCTATGCGCCTTGTTTGCTCGTTCTTCAATTAAAATTGGAGTGGAAAATGTCATCAAGTGAAATACGAACTCTAGCCTTCGTAGGTCACTTTAACTGCTTGTTACTGATTAGAAGCAATGCGTCCTTGGAACACCCTGTCAACGGTCAGTCGCCTTCCATTGAATGTACGAGCATCTATTTTTTCGAACTTCTGTTCGGAAACATAATACGCTAGCTTGTCCAGTAGTTTCGATTATAATAAATTTCTTTCCATCAAGGATATTTCGATTCCGACTCGGATTGTGCGGCGCAAGCTATTGTACCAATGACGGCTCATATGATAGCTCTCTTGTATACGCATCCGCAACGTTGAAGTTCCGAGATTTAATTAGAATTGTCCTGAGAATAGAAGGGCCACACGCACATATTCAGGCTACACATCACATTACAACCTCATATCCGAGCTGTAATTTCGGTCTGGCAGTGGCGGTGTGTCACTATCGACAATGAATAAAGAATGGAAGCCGTATTGTCACCCTTGAAAACCTTGTGCCAAGCTACATGACGATCGATTGTGAGTATGCGGCGATCCGGTCCGCTTGCCTGTGCCACACCTTGTCAGAAATTTCCAGATTTGGGATGGTCCCAAAAAGGTAGTGCAGTCTGCTTCGGTTGTCGGTGCAGTCCCATCGCCGTCAGCTTCCAATATGTGAACAGGGGGACAATGTAGGCTTGGTATTCTCCTCACCTCATTCACATTTTCATTACCGCTCACGCTTCCTGGCGGCGTTTGGTGGGCGGTGATTATCATGTAGGCAATTCCCATGCTCGAGCTCGATTGTGGGGAATGCCCCACAGGGTTTCGACGATCACTCACCTGACGACCTCCTTCTAGACGGATTGTATTATCTGTCTCTTAGATTACCTAGGCATGTCCTTATCGTTGCTTCCAAGTCCTTGTAACTGTTCACGTCGCTATTTACACAAGTCACATGGAAGCCAAAAATTTAACTCAAAATGCCGGTTGTACAATCGTGGGTGCGAAGTAATGTAGTGCGTGTAGTCCCCAGAACCCTACTTCGCCTCGCGAGACTCTTTCTTCGAGGATTCTTGTCAAATCAGGGGAACTCTTGGTCTTGCATAGGAGGTTCGATTTCGATGAGGATACCAATCTGGCTCACTACCAATGAGCCGTAGAAGGGTGTAAATGGCTCAAGGTTGTGCCATTCAAATTATCAATCCAGCAGTGTCTCAGAACATAGTGATGAATTCGCATATTTGACTACAAACGTATTCGAAATTTAGAATGTACCCGTCACTTGGCCGCGATATAGTTTGTCAAGGTGGAAATGGAAGGCGCAAAGAAATATTCACCGCCACGAGGGTCGATGAATTTGTGAGGGAAAGTCATCAGCTCTTGCTCGTAGTTGGGATTGGCGCCGGTCATAGTGCGATAGACGGATTGGTCTTCCTTTCCAGTCTGACCGAAGATGGGATCAAGACCCGGCCGCACAGGCTTGTTGGGAGGGAAGTCAGGATCATTGTACCAGCCTACACGTTCCACAGTAAGTACAAGCGAAGTCGTCGTATGACTGAAAGACGTTACCTTCTTGAATGAACTTGAAGCCTCTGGTAATGCTGCTCTGATAGCAAACAACGTGCAGACCCCGTTCATAGATCGTTCCTCGTCCATCGCGTTCCTCATCGGTCACTTCAGGACCGTAAGGCATGTTGTGCCGTCGAATACTACAGCCCAGGTTAGCCCTCCATTCCATCGCGAGAGCGAAGTGGGAACTCACAAATGCTTGAACGCCGATTCGACAGGAGTAACATCGTTACGGGGGTTAGACTTTCTCATGTGGGAAGCGAAGGGGCAGCGGGCCTGCTGCTTCGACTGGTCAAAGACGAAATTGTTGATCCTGTTGTCGTCACCGGCGATTGAAGGATCATCGTTGTCAGGAGAGAGCTCGACAGGCGTTCCTGCATAGAATAGTTAGCGAACGAGTTCATGACGCTGACCGTAGCGTACCGTTCTTCCATCGACCGAACAGCCTTGCACCGAGCTTGAGTGCAGCGTCCTTGGGCGGAATATTTGGGAATATACGAGGGCCGTGCAGGAGAAGGAAGTCGTCGAACTCCGGCACCAGGTTGTCGAGTTTGCGAGTGACCATGAAAGAACCATCCTTCGCCCACGAAGGCCGCTTATCCTTGTCCGCGTCACCGTCGTATCCCATCACTATGACACCACCAGGGATAAGGGGCGACCCAGGGTAACGCATCTTGTCCTTGAAAGTCACCCCGGCGACTTGAGGGTTCGACATGCCTCCGCGGTAACCGAAGTGGTCGTTCAACGCCTCCGGCGCAGCACGCGGAAAGCCATGCAGCATGTACACTTTATGGATGCAGGAGCGATTAGGAGTGATGTGCAATTTGCTGTCGAGCTCTTCGATGAAAGTCGTCGCAACCTTCTCATTGTACGCGACGATGAGGAAAATCCCGTGAACGACCTCCTTGAACGCGCCGTCCCAGTCAGGCGTCCAGAACGTTCCGCGTTGGGTACCGGCGTCGCCGAGGAACTTGGAATCTTGCTGCTGTCCCCTGACGTATGCTTCGTCGCCCAGATCGTCGTCGAGACCGAAGAGCTTCATTCCGAGATGAGAAAAGCCGACGTTGATGCCCAGGAACGGATACTCAAAGGATTTAGGATCGGACGGGTTGACGCGCGGCGGGGGTCGATTGACAAGCTCGTCCGCTGTATTGATCTTCGAGAGGATGAATTCCTTGAAAACCTTGCGGAAGTGGGGAAGATCCTTGATACGGAAGTAGTAGAAATATTCGAGGGCTTTCGGGAGGGCCGGTCTATTTCCTGATGTTAGCTTAGTAGTAGGATAGATGATGCCTACATACAATATATCGCCCTGGATGTTACCAAGGTTGTACGGTACTGTGTCGACGGGCGTAGAAGAGTCATCCCCTTTGATCCCTTTGATACAATTTACAGTGCAAACGCTAATGGTTAAGATGCGAATTCAGTGGTGGTCGATCCTGCAGAGATGTTCAACCCACAGATCATCGAATTGGGGACTACCAGCGACTTGTTCGTTGTCAGGCGCGTCCTCGACCATGATCTACAGATTAAACAAATCAGCGTTGCTTGAGTGCGGTGTAGTAAATTTCTTTACAATAAAGGTCGTATAGTCCGGAAAGTCCTTTGGGGCGTTGAGCGGTTTCTCGGTCTACAGAATAACAAGTTAGCCAAAGTCCAACACATTATAGAGAAATGACGCACGATCAAGGGATTGAATTTGTTGCTGGCGTATTTCTGATTCTCGAGAGCGTCTTCACGTACGCTAGAGACTTTAGAGAAGTAGAACTTGAGGTCGAGGTTCAAGCCTTCGTCTTGAGGGATGATGGCAACTACATCGTTGGTGCTATCGATGTCTCTCATCGAACTGTTGGGTTGGTTCCATTTGTTGGCGAGGAAGTAGGTCTTTTGCTCGCCCTGGGCCTCAAATGACAGAGTCGCCAGTTGGTTGTACGGTTTGCGGGTGATCTATGGGCGATGCTCGTCAACGATCACGCGTATCTTGTGAGCGGAGAAAACCTACGGTGGAAATTGTGGTAAACCACCCATGAGGAATGGTGAGTCGAACATTGTTCCCTGCAGAGAGAGGACTGAGCGTCGGACGCGACATCTTGCTTGTGTGATTAATTCGGGGCGGATCCGTAGCGCCAACTTGAAGATGGAGCCGTTTATGTGAAGCGAGAAAGATTAGCGTTGCGAGCGTCTCAATCGTAGGATTTCTTAGGATTTCTGAGATTTGGGATCAAGGATATCAAACCTCCAAGGACGATTATGACTGGCATCTTCGATACCTGCTGTCAGTGATCAGAAGTCAGGTGCAGATGTGGAGATGGATTGGAACAAGCCTGAACATGATTAGCTCTCAACGTCCGTATTTCATATCCCGTATTCGATGCACCGTGCCAGCTCCAGTTGCCTAAGTTAGGGCAAGAAGGATACGTGTCTGTCACTGCGGCAAAGATGATGCAGGGGCATTATTGCGTTCTTGTACTGGCTACTATCATTTGGTGTGCCAGTTCCAAGGTCATGAGACTAGTGCTTAACGCACAAGAGTACCTGGCACCTCCGACAGGAGAAAAAGGATAGTAGAGCGGCCGAATACTATGAGTGGTCGGTGACTTGTGTACATGTGTCACGAGTTACATGTGACATGTACAGATGGCACGAAATTCGTCAGCCGAAGCCTTTTTCCTGGCTATACGGTGAGTGTTGATATTGACTAGTGAGCGACTTGTGAAATGTGGGTCTTGAGCTTGATACTTTGGTTGGTCACTCAGCTCGTTGGGAAAGCCATGATCCGTCAGACTCAGCATCGATGTTTCGAAACGTCTCGTTTACGAACAATTTACGGGTGCATGTAAGTGGCTTAGGGCCGTTCTCCTGCACAATTGGTAAATGCTAAAGGCAAGTGCCTTGTCGATCTGTCTTTCATCATGAGAATCTATCTAACTCCGTCCTTCCAATCTCCGTCTAGAAACTTCGGTTCCCTGATTGGATTATTCCAGCAGTCATCACGTCCGGAATTATGACGCTCCGATCACGAGAGAAACTCGCCATTCAATTGTGCGAAATAATTCAGGGTGTCCTGAGTTCACATATATCAGATTTGCCTCGTCTCGAGGGTGAATCCCCAGTTCCTCCAAATTCCCGCACAATAATGACAGCTCGTCCTACCGCTTCGACTCCCGTTGGGGCCACAGTCAACATCACTGTACCCCCCGAGTGGTTTATCAGTATCTCAGCCGTAAGCTCCGTTATTGTACATTGTCGCACAACGATTCCAACTTCCTTTAGATCTCCAGGAAGACCTACCACCAGGCCATCTTCATCCAAACCAACATCCGCAACAACTCGTCTACTTTCAAGAGTGACTATGGAACCAGCGGCAACATGCCCGACGCTATCTCTGGGTCGACTACGTTCCCAATCGCCCCAAGGAACACTCCCGTGGAGCTGAACATCGCAGCGTACTACGCTGACAGTCCCGGTAAGCTGACTGCGAAAGCAATCAGGGACCCTAAGTATGCCTCCAGCAAGCTGGATGTTCACTCGGTATTTTGTTTCAATCCCAACTAGAGGCCTCGAAGCGCTGACCACTCTAACAGTCTACGAAGCCGCCAACAGCTGCACCGGACGTTCCCGACTATGTAACTTACTTCGTATGTTATTGATCATTGAAATTATTCTCTATCTGCTCACTGCGTCTCCAGATCTTCGTAGAGGACACCTCGGACGCGGCTCAGGTCGCTGGCAGCGGCCAATTCGATGACGCGTAAAAGCGCTTTTCTTCATGTTCAATGACTATCTGACATCCTTCTCTAGCGTCTTGACCATACACATCGTCAAGACCAACCCGAACCCGATTCCTCCGCCACCTCCTTCAAACGTTATTCCGGGCTACAACCCCGTCCTGGATAGACCCAGGCCATCGACCTTGGAGAACTATCTCAGGGCGTACGACGTTGTGTTCTTATTGGATGATTCCGGCTCGGTTGGTTCCTCCACTCCAGCCTAGGACAGCGCTAATCAAAATCCACAGATGCAAGGAGAGCGCTGGACCGAGGCTAAGAACGCGCTTGATGGCCTTGCGAATTATATCCTCGAGAGGGGCTGGGACTCGGACGGCATCGACCTCCGCTTCCTCAACTCGAATGACCTCTTCCAGTTCAAGGACCTCACCGGCGTTCAGGTACCCTCCAGTTTTTATTGCCGTACACGACGCTAAGTGGGCGGATAGGACAAAGGCAAGGTGGCTGCTGCGATCGCGAAGGTGTCTCCCAACGGAAGCACCCCGACCGGAGCGCGCACCCAGACGATCCTCGGTGCCCATATCGACAAGCTCAACGCGGCCAAGGGCACCTCTCTCTATGGCGAGATCAAGCCGCTCGACCTGATATGCATCACCGACGGCGAGCCCAGTATGTACTCGGATTCTTGTCTAAGCGATTTCACTCATGATTTGCGCTAGACGACGACGACGCGCATGAGCTTACCAAGATGCTCATCGAGGCTGGGAACAAGATCAAAGCGGGCCCTCACCACCCCAACTCGCTCGGCGTCCAGTTTGTTCAGATCGGTGGAGACGTCAAGGCTGCCGAGGCGCTTGGCAAACTCGTTCAAGCGGACACTGGGGTGCGTTTTGTTGCTTGCTTGCACTTCTTAGATATTGACGTTCTCGAACAGAACATCGTAGACACTGTTCCCTATGCGGGACCGGGCACTATCTCGCCCGACAAGCTTGAAAGGATTTTGTTGGGTGGATTGCACCCCAACATTCGTGCACTCCGCGTGCCTTAAGCTTCAGGTCACGAATGGACTTGCTCTCAATGTCGCCAATAACATGTTTGTTCGAAATTTGTAATATCCGAAATGAAACTATATTGTCCTGTTGCACATTCACTTCACGTCTGAATGCCCCAGCCAATCATAATGAGCTAAAACATAGGTGTTGGCTCCTTGAATTAGGCGCCCATCAATGATCGTTGATGAGGTAGACGAAGTACCCATGGCTCTCTTCCTCCTCAAAGCAACGACGGATCTCCAGACGATCAAATACTTGCACAGTCTGTAGTCCATCCATCCACCAAATCCGTTATGATGGGACAGAAGAGGAATATACTGGGCTCTTCCATCCACATGCTACGGGCGGAGAGAGAATTTGTCTCTTGAACAGATGTATCAGCTCACTTCTTGGTCAATTGTCAGGAGTGACTTGCCCCGCACTCGATCTCTCAAGAATACAGAGCGCGTTATCTCCCTGCCTTCTTTGGTGCGCATCGTGGTGAACTCATGGCCACAATGAGGCCTATACTTGCTGTGCCATGCACACCTTCGTCGAAGCAAGGGCTTCTCTCATACACGTACACCAGCTGATGAATCATTCGGTGGCGCTCCTGGAGGTCGAGAAGACACCGAGTATAAGTTTACTTTGACTTTGGTCACTCGAAGAATGAGGATCGGCATCATGCTGCAGATCAACTGATTGATGGACTGGGTGTGTTTGACTTCGCTCCAGGGAAAGCTTGGACTTGTCCGCTTCTCACTGCCAGAAGCCGTAGCCGCCAGGCCTCGACGCGGGTTTAGAGTAGACGGCACATATTTACGATAAATTTCCATATGAGAGATTAGAAGCCTTGTTGATAAGGCGAAGATTCCGTTTGATATCAGCTTGATTCTCTCGAGGACGATTGTCACTTTGGCTTCTGATGGTCCCTCTACGGAGGCTAAGGTCAGGAAATAAAGGCATCTCACGTCCCGAAGCTCGATTGTTGTGGAAAATATTGCAGGGTTTTCGCACAATACTGCCCAGAAGGGATTGCGTTTGCATCTGTTGTTCTCTTTAAGGCTTCCCGATAGATGTCTACGAAAATCTACGAGAAGTTATAGGGCCATCTTGAGCGCTCTACTTAGCCATTATCTTCGACAGTGTCCTCGTTCAGGTGTTCTTCAAGTTTTCGTTACCTAACTCGTCTCTTCAGGTATTCTTTGCGGGTCATACGCGAACGCGTTCCGATCCTGTTTATATCGTGCTGTGCCGTCTCAGCTCTGTGATTCGTAATGAGCTGACTATGCCCCATAATTGTAAAGGGGTTGATAATTAACAAAATTCTTTCTTTCCCTCATAATTTAAGACCAGTCACAACGCACACAATATCCTTCGTTTGACTTGCTTGGGGGATCTATTCCTGAGCGGTATGTTGGGGAAACAAGAGAACTCAATGATCTATGACATAGACTTCTTATGATTATTTGTTTCAGGAAATATTACTCGTAAACGGAAACTAAATACGTTCGTAATTGTGTTTTGAAATTTCCTTCTGCTCGCAATATTCGTGTTCGCCACTGGGTTCAAGGCCGTAACCCGTTTTAAAAGTGAATAATTCGCACTATCTATTCAATCTCATGTGGATGAGAGCGAAGTTACAGGAGAGGTGACTATGCGAAGGGCTGCGAAGGGACATCAAATACTCGATATTATAATGTTAAGCGCCCGTCAAGTCGGATGGCGTGCCCGAAGAACAGGGAAAGGCTGTGATTGGTCGCATAATTTCGGCCGTCTGTGATTGGTCATTTCCGTACACGTGACGTTCGGGTAATTCCTCCAACGCTGACTGGCTCCCGAATCTTCGCGTCGGTCAAAGGCTATTGGCCATTTCTCCTCCAACCTCCCAAGGTGCGATATTCGTTCAATTTGTCCCTTCAGTGTTGAGAAGACTGAAACTTTTGACGTTGTACAGAAAAAAAGCGCGCTTTTTGAATCGGGACACACCCGTTTACACCACTTCTAACGCCTAAACCCGCCAACATGTTCTCCTCAGTGCCCTTCCTCCAACCTCAGCTCAATGCCTGCTCCAGTTCAGCTCTGCGTTGTGCGAGGAACTCACGGACACGTGTGTCACACCAGTGTCTCTCGTCGAGCTCGGCGACGACGACAGTCATGACGTCCTCAGCGCCTCATGTCCGTAGGATGCACTCTTCGTCAGCACCCAACATGCCAAATGCTGGCCGGAATACGTCCAAAGTGTCGTATTCCTCGTACCGACATCCGCAAACCTCAAATATGGGCGGCAGAGAGACATGGAGCAGATGCCGGTGGCCACCCCACCCGCACTTCTGGGCAAGGACACAGACGCGGGCTCTGCACGGAACGGCTGGTGCGCAACTTGGGCTTTTCTACATTGAACCAGCATTCACCTTCGCATTCCCTATCTTGTCTAGTTGTTCGACATGGAGGTATCGATCGGCCAGTACCTGGAACAGGGTGCGTTCTTCCCTTCCTTTTTGCTTCCTCTCTATTTTCGTAGTTCGTTCGTTCGTTCTCGATTCGCCTTCGACCCCCTCGTGCTTCCGATAACGTCTTCATCTCCACCTCCTTTACCCTCGATCTGTCCGCCTATCGTGCACGCTTCATAGTGGTGCTCTTTTTCATTCTGATTGGCTCGCGTTCTGACAACACCGACGTTACTCACCTGTGCTTGTTCGTTCACAGGATCAAAGTGCACTTTAAGGACTCTACAGGGAATTTGATCAGGACTGTCGAGGCGAACGAGGGCGATGATATCTTGAGTATAGCGCATGAGTACGATATCGACCTAGAGGGTGCGTCTTTTCCGTCATTTTTTTAGTTTTGTGTGAATGTGGGCTGACAGAGATCCGGTTCTGCCTTTCGTCCATACTCCGTTCGATCTTCGACCTTGTTCGTACCATGCTTCGTTCGTGCCTTCAATCCTTCACACTTCCTCGTTGTTGCTATGCCTCGTTGATCTTCCTTCTTCGCGATTCACTTTCCTTCACCCTCCTATCGCCCTTCCATCGACCTTTCTGTCCTTGCCACCCTCTATCTCGCTCTCCACACCCACGTGCACCTATCACCTCTGATCCTGCCTTCATTTACCTCCTGTCGGTCTCATCACACAACCCCAAACCTAAACCCTAAAAAATCCTCCACTCGCCCCGACTGCCCGCCCCGACCTGCTCCGATGCTTCAGGCGCCTGCGAAGGCTCTGTCGCGTGCTCGACGTGCCACGTCATCCTCCCAGAGGAGTACTACGACCTCCTGCCCGAGCCAGATGACGACGAGAACGACATGCTCGACATGGCGTTTGGGCTCACGGACACGAGCCGCCTGGGGTGTCAGGTGAAGCTGACGCGAGAGTTGGATGGGATAACGTGTACTCTTCCGTCGGCGACGCGGAATATGTTCGTGGATGGTGAGTTGTGCACTGCTTGAGATTGATTCGGTGTTTTTGTGGAGGTGTGCTGACGGTCGTTTTCAGGGAAGAAGCCGACACCTCATTAGATACTGACTTTGTTAGACTATTAATCATCTATTCTCCATCCCACCTCAACTAATTCAACGCATTATTCCTCGCATTCTTCATTGGCCTGTCACTGAGTTTGTTTGATGCTTCCCGACATCACGCTCCATTCATGTTCACAAAATTCCTGCGCCTTGAATACTGAGAGCATTGGCGAAGCGGGGCTAGGAAGAATCAAGAGACAAGCGGCTACTGCAAAATCCTCTTGGTCGTACTCCACAGCCAGAATGTCTCACTTTCTCAGTTCATCGCCACCTCGAATCCAATTTTTTTTCGCGTTCTGTCCACTCTCCGACGCCCGGGACAAACCTTGTCGAAGGCGATGCCCTGCAGATTTCGTGAGCTGTGCAACCGACTTTTTTGCATCTCAGCATCTCCATGTGGCTCAAATATTCGAGTGTATGCGGTTCATATTGCTCGGAAGGTTGAGTGTATGCGCGAGATGAGGGCGATAATACCTGTCAGAGTCTAATGCAGGTGTTTTCCTAGCCTTAGCCGACATCTGGCTTGCGGAGTGATATCCTATTGTTACAGATAGACCGTATGGACGGCCTGCCAGCTTTCTTCGGCTTGCTATCTGCGTGCTGAGCGCTGAGCGCTGGGATGCCCCATCTACCGTCAAAATGACTATGTATATATACGATGCGAATATTTTTACATCTGACTTTCGAATTATTAATGCAATACCCAGGAATCTCTAGCGACTTGGAAGAATTTTATCCTTCAGAACAGAGGCTCAGAATTTAGCCCCTATCCCTTCGAAGTAATTCCTTCCTTATCAGGCCAGACAAAGAAACTCGATTGTCGTGATTGCGTGACTTGCGCCTAAACCTTTCTTTGTTTCCAACCGCCATGACCATCTGACTGACCACCGATCCGTCATCAATGGCAGCCCTACGCGTGGATAACCCGAACAAAAGCCTCAATAGGAGCCATTCCACGATTGAGGGACGACAATCCGCCACGAAGCCTGCGATGCACGATGCATTATGATGCATCTTTTCATGCCCAGCCTATCCACGATTGGGCATTGCGGAATCAGTACCTCAGCCTGCAGGCATCATAGCCCAGCTTCCGAGCGTACACAGTGCTCTATAGGCTTCAGGCCCGAGGTGCAGGCCAATCCATTTCTTCGCCGATACCGATACCGCAAACCATGCTGTCGATAAGCCGCGAAGCATAGTAGCAGCGACGTCAGGGCAAGTCCGGGGTGGTCGTGGACGGCAGACGGATGGAATGACGTTCCTGGCGATGGAGGATTTGGTGTACCGTTCCATTTTGCCATTTACCAAAACGCGGCCGCCCATCTGCCGCTCCGTGACCCTCGCCTGCCTCGCGCCGCCTCGACGGACCAAGCGGGCGTGTGCGACAATAAGCTTCTCGCTCTTCTCCTTCCCCTCTTTCATTGTCGCCTTTTGGTGCTTGGCTGGACGTCTTGGTCTTGGATCTTGGACCCAAGCCTTGGACCCACTGCTGACTGACAAGGAGTCCCTTCTTGATCGCTCATTCGCACTGTTGACATTGCTCGCTCCGCTCCTAGCTCGGTGAAAAGCGAAGAATAAGAACCTCGCCGCATACATTCATCTTACGCCTTTTCTTTCTTTTCTCCTTCTTCCATATACCCCGAACGTGCTTCCCTCCTTCCCTTCCTCTTCTCTCGACCTCTTTCTCTCCCCGAGTCGCGCAGAAAATGTCGTACGTTGCTTCGTCGCGCAGTCCATCGCGCGCATGGGAGACACCTACGGTATAATTTTGCCTCATTATTCTGATTTATGTCACCCATCACTTACCATTTTTTACTCTTCTATCCAGTACGTCGTGCCCATCGCTGACTGGTCGAAGGCACCCGCGAACGCTGGCATATACTCGCATTACGAAGGTACGGCAGCTCTATTACGTGTCGCGAGCTTCCCCCGACCGACGGCGAGTGTTATCAGCACCCTCTCCTGTCCGCACCCTTCACCGTTCGAAGACCACGAGTAGTCGAAAGCCCCTACGTTCCTCCCCTTTGGCCGGCCCAGCGCTATCAAACCACAGCGAGGCGTTCATCGAGCTGGACGATACCCCCAACGATGATACCCATCTCAGCACGTCTGAGCTTTCCTCTAAGGCGGTTAGGGGAAGGAACGTGCATGACGGCGACCATGACGGCGAAAGCTTCCCTGCGCCTGCGCCACCACAATCGGCCCACCTGCGCGCACGGTCCTCACAGGGGCTTGCGCGTACCAGCTCCGCCGAATCTATGGGTTACCCCTCTTCTTCCTCCACTCCACGCGCACATACACCTACCCTCCGATATTACCACTCCTACCACGTATCGACTCTTACATCCGCAATGCACAACGTTGCTGGCGATAGGAGTGCCAAGCGACGCCGCCCTTTTCTGGATACACCCACCGACTCTATGGCCAACAATCTAAAACGCCCGCCTTCCGCGATCCACCCGCCCACCGAGAAGGCACACACGCACGGCCCTGAGCGTGTGGCGCGAAACTCCAGCGTGGCCAAGATGAGTAAGGACATTACCGGACTCGGAAGTGCTCGAGACGCCCGCGGTGCTCGGTATTCGTTTGCGTCTTGCTCCTCCTCGTCTTCGTTATCGTCAAATTTCTCAGCTTCCACCCGGCGACGCCGAGTATCCACGGTTCTAGAAGTGGACGGGGAAGATCACGACCTCGATAGCCCTGCAAACTTGTCACCGGGTGTGGGTACGAGCGCTAACGCCCGCGCCCACCCGAGTGCCAAGAGTGACCGCCCAGTGCCCACAGATAACTCGTGGTACACTGCCAACGCGTACGACGTAACTCCTAAATTCACGCGCCTTGGGCTCGCAGGCCCAGGTGTGGTGCTACCTGTGTCGGCGCGGGCACATCGGAAGCAGCAACAGTGTAATCCAGCCGCTTCTAACGTAGATAAGGAGAAGGAGAAGCGAGCGTCGATAGCGAACTTCCAGCTCACCAGAAGGAGCAGTACCGTCTCGACTTCAGCCTCGACTTCGACTTCGACTTCTGCTGGAGATGGGATAGGATCAGCGTGGTTGGAAGCACCATCTCCTAGCACACATTCGTCGAGTTCAAGTCCCAGCCCCACCCCTACGTGTTCAAGCCCAGCATCCTCAGTCTCGAGTCTGCCGCTCACGACCATGACGCCCAAGTCCGCCGCGTCTTCTCAAGCGACGAGTTTGATCAGCTCTTGGTGTACCTCTATCGAAGTGACAGAGAGCGAGGAGACGTCCGAAACTGCGAAGTCAAACAACAGCTCAAGGCCGCATCAGGATTCACGGACTTCCGCACTGAAGAAGAGACAATCAGTGTCCCTGTTGTCCAGAATGGCAAGCTGGCACCGATCAACGCCAACTGTGGATGCATTCGAATGGAGGGAGCAGAAGGAGGCTGATTGGGCGGTGATCGAGAAGGTGAAACCCCTGCATCCTGTGGATCCGGAGCTCGAGGCGGAGCATCCCACTCGCGCCGCCGTCGCTGTTACAGTCTCGGTCCACCTCGAGCCCGCCCCCTCAGACGACTGTAGTACCAGTGCTGAGAGCGAAACTGATAGCCGCGAAAGTGCGACTAACGGCGGGGGCCCTGGGAGGTACGAGGATGCTCAAGTGGCGAGGTTCACGAAGAGCGTAAATGGCGCGGTGACGGTGAAGCGGTGCGGCTCGGTGCGGCGCTTTTGGAAGGCGTTGGTGGGCGCCGGCGCTGGCAGCTTGAGTCATCATCCCAGTGTACATGGAGAAGTGATGAGAGCGTAACCCCAAGGCGAACGAAAATCATGGATTGTGGTTGGAGGATGAATACTCTATGCTGGATACCTGGACGGGGATGTAACGTTCATGAGCTCCAGGAGTGGTTTCTTTTCGGACTATTCATCAATACCTTCTTTACCAGTTCTTTACTAGACCCTCTTTTGTATACCTAGAAATTGTGTCATCGTATCCCCATTGTGTCGCTTTGGGGGATTCCTTGGCGACGAGAATTCAATTAGCGCCGGGACCACGTGGGACGCTCGTCGCCAAGGCTAGACACCTGCAAGACCGAAGGGACAGATGATACCGGCGCTTAATTACAATAAAACTCAAGAATTAGTCGGCATGACACTATATTTGGCGTACAAGTTCGTAACTAATAGTAATACAAAAAATCAGGAGATTGGAATGAAAGATTAGGCTATGTCGTGGAAGTCAGCGTTTGTCTTGGTGGTCTCCGGCGGCATCCTTTCTGTTAAATTGGTCATGCGTATTTCCAGCTGCGAGGTAGGGTGCTGATTGAAAATATTTAAAGGGGTTACTAATGCGCCAATGGTAGGTTTCAGCTCACCCTCGAGCTTGCCCCGTTGTATGTCCCACTGAGGGACATCTCCGCGAAGCCAGTTGAACGAAGTATTCTTCGCGCGTTGAGGCTAAGGAGTTTCGGTTGGAGACAACGCCCATAATCTTGTCTATCGTACTTACGAGGCAAATAACGAGTTGGAGAACACTAGAACGAGAGGACGTCAAATTGAGATGACAACCAGAAAAAAAGACAAGACCGACTGCGCGCAAGGAACATAAAGAAGCCCAACCAGATGACTGGACAATGAGAATTTAGATTATATTCTGAGGTGAAATTCCATGAACTTTTTACTTACAGTTATGAGGCATAGCGAGAAACTGGCACAAAGCTATTAGAAATTATCGTGAGAGGACAAGAATGCACGTACACAGATGAGCATGACCAGGCCAGTTAAACTCGTCATCAGACCCGTTTCTGCAAGCTATTCTTAACAACAACAAGAGTAATGCAAGTCAGGCCACCTACGGATCGTCCATGCAATTATCTTATCTATCATTGTCACCGTCCTTTTGCGACAACCTCTTGAGCACGATATCAAAGAGCCGAGGAAGAAACCGTACTTTTCATGAGACGTTGACCGTTGTGCCCTGAGATAAAAGCATAGTGCAGCGGCGACGATTATATCGGTAGCAGCACCCATCGCCAGCACAGTCGTCAGCAGCCATTTCCAGTCCTTCTGGTACTGCTCGAGAGTGGTCATACGGAAGGCTTCCGCAGATGCGACCAAACTCATGCTGAATCGGACTACTGATAAAGTCCAACATACGATCGGGATTAGAAGCCTTCCGCTGATGACTCTCACACGTTCGGCAAAAAATGCCTTACAAGACGAGTGAGAACTGCGAAGTATGAAAATTGACATCCTCACCTGAACGATCGGCACGATGAAGCCACTGAAGATAATAGTCAAGTAAAGTGTCGAAGGGGGTTTTATAAGGGCCCTCGGGTCCCCATACGAGCTGATCGTGAAGAAGTAGAGGGAATGGCAAATGGAGATGCAGTGGGCGAGTTCCAAAATCCTGCCGTCAGACTGTTATCAGACTCCAATGGTTCTGATAGCTAGACGACAATTTCTCATACCATACAACAGCGACCTTTAACGCATTATTCGTTAATTATACTTGGTTCTCAGCTGTCAACTCACCAGGATCTTCAACTTGACCTTGTCTTCGGGAAAATTGGAATAGTAAATGTAGGCTTGGACGGTGGCGATTCCGAAGAGGAAGACGGAAATGAGAACTCCGATACACAGAGCACCCAATGTTCCATTGACGTCGAGAGCTCCACCCGCAGCGACAACCATGAGAGATGAGGCCTAGGTGTAAGTGTGGGCAACTTCTCGCTGCTTCCTTGCATTTAACGAACACAGCTCGACACTCCACTGGCTGGCACTGTCTTCCGGGGAGACCGTGGTGCTTGACTCACGGGACGGTCCGCGATGTTCTATCTTCAGAGTGCTGTGATGTTCCTACAGAAGATTGCTGTAACATGTTGTCTCGGCTATTTTAAGGACGGCGGAAGAATTCGCAAAGCCGCTCACCGGAGATACTGGTGACGACAGCGCCATTTTCAACGCAGATACGGAGTGCTGTTGATAAGTGTACGCGTCGCTCGCGACTGAGTAGGGCAATGGCACCAGTTGGTTATAATTAGGTCATCAAATATATCGTGGCGCATTCGCCCATTTACGGACGCTTGGTAGCTGCCGCGCTAGGAGACAGCCCAAGCGATCGTACCAACACTGGTTGAGAGGAGGTGCGGATCTTTCTTCAGTTTCGGCCGGTTGATTGGCTTGGGCGCGAAGTAAATCATACCGTTCACGTTGTAGGTGCATTCAACGAAGATATTGAAAGCGATCAATTGCAACCAATCATTCAGTACCGATAACCAATCCTAGCAGAGAAGGGCATCTTTTGCTAGCTTGTTCTGTAAATTTTAAACCTGCAAGAAGATATATCCAATTGGTTGCATATGGTTCACGTTCCGTAAGTTACGGTGACAACTGATGTATAAAAAAAACTTTGAACTTGTCCAAAAACCTTCTGCGATCTGCTTGGCGCTCACCTGGCTCCATAGCCCAAACACCCCTCTCCGAAGCGAAGCACGGTGCGGATACTCCGCTCCTGATGTCGCGGACTGAAGTTGCAGCTCCTCGTTCAAGACATCGCCTCCTACCGATGAAGGAAAACACGAGAGCGACAAATAGAGTGCCCTGTCAACGCTCCAGGCGCTCCAATTCCGCAAAGTATTTTTAGAGATTGATTATCAACCGCTGTATCAAAGACGTCCAGTCATCGACATGATTGTGCACACAACAGGTGTTCTCTCGTCTCACCATGATCATGTGTCGCCGCGAAATTTGGCCCATCGAGTAGCGAAGCGGCTCCATCCTCTATACATCAAGAACAGAGCAAGAAATAACCTGAAAAAATGATTCATCTGATTTAGTGACCGCGCTATGATACATAGGATCTTGAGAGAATTTGAACACAGGAAGGTTAAGAATCAGCTGCGATGTCTTGCATTAAGAGCGTGAGTGCTTCTTTCGAGCGCGTCTTGATAGAGTACTGGAAGGGTTTGACATGGCTGGGACAATGAACGGATATCAATCAGCATCAGCGCCAACTCCAACCTTCGAGTTCTAGAGAACAAAAAAAGGAGAAGGAAAGATGCGTACCTGACAATGGCTGTGGTGAATGCTATCTCAGGCTCGATAATGCGACCGTCCTTGTCCACAGGCTTCGAGATATCGAGCACCGCCAGCGTGGTCACCATCTGCATGAAGATGGACGCCTCAGCGACGTGCTGCCCCGGACACACACGCCGCCCGAAGCCAAACACGAGCGCGCGGGGGTCAGGCTGGACCGTGTCGTTACCGCCCTTCTTCAGGAAACGCTCGGGATTGAAGGTGAACGGGTCGGGATACTGTTCGGCATCGTGCGTCATCGCCCAGATGTTGGCGATGATGGTCGTCTTTGCGGGGATGAAGTAGCCGTAGTACGCGTCGTCGGCAGCGGTGCAGTGGAAGAGACCTATTGGGCTGGACGGTGTCCAGCGGAAGACTTCCTGCATGACAGCGTCAATGTATGGCATCGAGGGCCGGTCTTGCAATGTGGGCAGCCTTTGTTCTTTAGCGATAATTGAATCGACCTCTGCTTGGGCCCGTTTCTGGATCTCTGGATAGAGCATCATAAGGAAATAGAAGGCCTTGACGGCGGCGACAGTCTACGATGGAGGTGACGTTACGTGTATTCTTCTAAGAAATGAAACAACTTACCGTGTCGGCACCTGCTGCGTAGATGGCCCCTCCTGTGAATAGCACAACCTCGTCGTGTTCAACTTCTGAGACTTGTGGATCCCTAGCTTCGAGGAGGCGCGAAGTAAACGAGGGCTCTGCTGTTCCAGCAGCCTGGCCAAAGGGTATTAGACAAAGCTGGAGGAATGACGAAGGGAAATACTTGCCATTTGGGACTTAACCCACTCATGGGGCTCTGATAATTGTGTGTACATTTGTTCACTCCAAACCTTCGCCTGCCTCTTGAAACTGGCACCAGGGAACCAATCTGGAAGGTATTTGACTGTTTGGAGTTAAAACATTTTGAGTGGAGGGTTTTCGAGCAAACTAGAACTCACGAGTAGGAATAGAATCGACGAGCCACTTCCCAGGAGCCCCGGCTAGCGAACCGACTCTCATACTTTCTTCCGCCATGTCAATAAAGTGATCTTTTTCCTTGTCAACGGTGTATCCATAGGCAATCTTCATAGTAGTCGCTGCAGCGTTTCTAGCAAACATCAGTGAAATTCAGGAGACAAGAAGAGGATCAACTACCTTCGTAGATGCTCAACCAAATGCTGAGGAGTCGTGGTGATATTTGCGACCATAATACGCGCTTCCTTCTGCAGGATTGGCCAATAAGATCGGGTAGCAGTCGGATTGAAGGACGACTGCATGTATTTCCGGTACGTCTTGAATCTTTCGTTGTACGAACTACGCATATTTGATATCAAATTCGATGTCAAAGTTGAGCCCACGTACATATGAAAGATGCTCTTCTCTCGCTTCATGAGCTCGCCGCCCATCGTCGGGAAGGGCCTATCCGAGTAGATTGACGACCTCTTCCCAAGCAAATCCTCTGCGACCGCCGCAGAGTTGATCACAACCATTCGTCGTCCCAGAACATGGAATGAGATGAAGCCAATGTCTCCTGTATGTTCCGGACGTAAGAGCTGGAAAACTGCGAGAGCTATGACACACTCTTACCGTACTTTCTTCCCCATTCTGCGTACGTCTTCCAGAACTCTGTTTTCGGGTGCTCTTTCGCAACACCGAGGATAGGCAAGCCTTTTGGGCCAGGGGGGAGCTTTCGTCGTTTCCTAAGAGAATGAAGATAGACTGCGACGAGAAGCACGATAGCAACAACGATGGCTGATGACATTTCTTGGTTGAGCGCTCTCAGAGCCCAAAGACAAGGACAAACGAGAAATTATAAGCGGCAGTGGAGGGGACATGGAATGCCAGACTGTTCTCGCTAGTAGTTGCCCCTCGTGACTTTCTAATTGGGTTTTGTTCGATTCTTTTCCATCAGCACAGAACCAATGTCAATTATCTATGGGGATATGTCAAATCCTACGATTAAAGGGACTGCTGTCTTGGTTCTGTCAGCCCGAGATCGCAAACCAGTGGTGGACAGAAGTAAATCTGCTCTCACCACAAGAAAGCTTCCAAAAATAAGGAGAGGTAGACGACCCATCAAATGTGGGCCATTTCAGAAAGAAAGTGGTTCTTGATCGAGTATGATGCATATGTGTTCTCAGCCTCAACAGTGTAGGAGAGAAGAGTGACGCATGATGCATGATGCGTGACGCGTGATATTCGGCGGAAATACAAGTCACATCCCCTCAACTTCGCACACTGCACTATCATCTCGTTCATATTTTTTCACGCGTATGACATTTATATGAAGGCATCTGTCCTCTTTGTTCTTTGGAATTGAACTAAAATGCTGGCGCTGCAGCTTATGGGGCCTGCTCTCCTGCCAACAAAGCATGTTTTTCACTGGGTTCCGACAGAATTCACATCTGTGAATTTGGGCGAAAGTTCAAAGCTCAAAGCTCAGCGCTCAGCGTTCAACGCCAACTTTCAACGTTTGAAGCTTGAGTGTTTGAACCTTCGCTGTGGACCGACACCGAGAGTGGTACGAGCGAACTTACTCGATGACATGGTCGTGGCCGTGGCCGACGCTGATTAGGAGGATCCACAGATTGTTCGAGGCGGGGTATTACCGTGCCTTTCTTGCGAGGAATACAGTCGCATTATACCGCTCGAGTTACGAAGACTAGAACGCTTCTCGCGCTGATCCCAGCCATCAACACACTTGCTCATTTGTGTGGTGGAATCGTTACCTTTGAGGCCCTGGGGATTCAGGTATGTGCCCGCACACTACTTGGAATTGACAACTCTCATATCAAGACTGCAGCCTTACCATTGTCCACATCAAAACAAACTACCGATCCTCTTTCCCCTTTTTGTTACTCTGTGCGCGACGAGATTTACGAGCCCCCTGCCAGCCGAAAAGCTATCAAACTAATCAAGTTTCCAGGCGTTCCGCAGGAGTCTATTTCCGGACCATTGCCATACATTATAGCGCCAGATGGGAATTCATGAGCTCATGTATCGACAATATCGACCGAGGTGCACAAACAACATATCTTGTCGGCATGCCTTTTAGTCCCGTCCTCTGCATGGATTGTACGATGCCACGCTTCTCTTTCGCCTCTCTGTTCTCATCCTACTACTACGCGTTGCGTCTGGCCAACCTCTCTGGCTCGGCTCTGTGAAGGTGCTGTCGAAAATTTCGCGGTCGGATCAAGCATGGAACGCTTCTCAGAGCCAAAGTACAAGGGGCGAGTGACGCGTCGAGAGGCATTAATTTTGAGTGGTATGGCCACCCCCGAGGCAAGCGTTCGCACTCTTTCAGCACAATATACCTGGTCCGCATGATCTTCTTTACCTAACGCCATGGATTCTCTGACGTACGCGACAATTGCCCAAGCCGGAGGAGCACAACCATGCGCATCGCATCTTGCGGATATTTTCCTTACTCATATAAAGGATCGCGCCGTCGTGCATCCCCTCAAGCGTCGCCTGATCACCGCCCTTCTACACTGGAAGAAATGCGATTTACACCTGTATTCCTCCACCTCTTCATGCTTCTCTCGTCCGGTGTGGCGGCCCAGGCCTCGTACATCCCGCATGAAACGAGGTCCCACATCCCGGCGGGATGGATCCTCGCCCGTCGATACGAAACTTCTGAACTTCTCCCCCTCCGCTTCGGTCTCAAGCAGTCCAACATGGACAGGCTAGAAGAAATGCTCAACGACATTTCTCACCCTGAATCTCCGAACTATGGCAATCACTGGACGCCAGCGCAAGTCGCGAAGACGTTTGCCCCTAGTCACGAGACCGTCACCACTGTGCGGAACTGGCTAATTAAGGAGGGATTCGACGCGAAAAGGGTCAAGGTTTCGGCCACGCGGGGTTGGATCCAGCTCAACGCGACTGTGGAAGAGGCAGAGCGCCTTCTCAAGACCCAATACAACGTCTATACACATCAAGACGGAGAACAGCACATTGGTATGTAAAAGCCCTCATTGCAAATAATCCTTTCCTTGATTTCATTCACTGCCATCCATTCATCCAGCGAGCAATTCTTATTACCTCCCAAAACACGTTTCTCTGCACGTTGAAATCGTGACTCCATCCATTCATTTTGACTCTGTGCTTCGCAAACGCGGAGGATCATCCGTCCCCGCAAAGAAGATCGGTCTTCCAGGCGTCGGCATCACTCCTAAAACTACGGGCACGATAAAGAGCCTATGGGACGAACTGAAGAACTGCGACCAATTCATTACTCCGATATGCTTGCGAGTTCTATACGGGTTGGTCTACGAGCCGCTCGCAGCGAGCAAGAATTCGTTTGGGATAGGTTGGTCTCTTTTTCGTGTGGCTTGGCAGTGCTAACCAGGGTGAAAGTCGAATATACCCCTCAGGCGTACCTCCAGTCCGACCTTGACATGTTTAATCGAAATTTCTCAACCGCTTTGGTGGGTAAATCTCCAAAGCTGGTGTCAATCGATGGAGGTACGTTATCTTACCCCCTTACACTCTTTCAGCGTCTGATAGGGTCTGTCACCTACAGGCATCGTCCAGACCATTCAAAGTGGATTCGACTATAATGGAGAATCCAACTTGGATCTCCAATATGCCATGAACCTGGTAAACATGTTTGGCGATAAACAGGAAGTGACGCTGTATCAAGTAGGGGACATTCCTCAAGGTTCGTCCTTTTGGATCACGGGCGGCGCTCAATCAAATGCTCAACGGGATCGCCCTTCTTCGCGCAGGAGCCTCATTCAACAATCTTCTCGACGCTCTCGATGGCTCCTACTGTACCTTTCAAGGCGGAGACGATCCCTTCCAGGATGGCATCTACCCAGATGACTACCCCAATGGCTACCACCGTATGGCTCTCGAATATTTTTTGGCCTTACGCTAAACTGCCTGGTGTAGATCCCACGGACTGCGGAATCGCTAAACCCGCCAACGTTATCTCGACCTCGTATGGATACAACGAGGCTGATCTCTCGCCCTTCTATACTGCTCGACAATGTGCTGAGTGCGTACCTCCACCGTCAGTTGACTATGCAACGTCCCTCACGCAGGCCATAGGTACGCTAAGCTCGGATTAATGGGCGTCACTGTCATCTACTCCTCAGGTGATAATGGGGTTGCAGGTGGGTCGCCTACTGGATTGTCCCACTGGCCGTGCTCAGCCGAAATTTAGGAAATGGAGATCTCTGCCTTAACACCGATGGTACTGACCTTCTACCCCCCTTTGCTCCAGCTGACATGGCACACACCCAGGTTCCCAAACGGACTCCGGCACGATCTTCAACCCAGGCAAGGAACATCCGCCTTTTTGACTCGGGACCCCTTTCTGATATCGTGTCTTGGCTTATCATTTAGGATTTCCTTCAAGTTGCCCGTACATTACCTCTGTCGGAGCTACCCAAGTAAATCCAGGCGCGAAGGTGACTGATCCCGAAGGTGCATGCGAGCAGGTGATCTACAGTGGCGGGGGCTTCAGCAACCATTTCCCTATGCCCGATTACCAGAAGAAGGCAGTCGGAAATTACTTGAAAATCCACAGGCCAACGTACTCGCCTGAGATCTGGAACGCCACAGGAACCGTGAGTTCTCCGTAATTCCATCCGACTTCCTTACATGACCATTGCAGAGCCGCGCGTTCCCAGATATCTCGGCGAATGGGTGAGTCGTCCGTATGATATTTGGTATTGGGTTTTCTCAACGGTCTTTCAGCGCCAACTACGTCGTTGCGGTACGGCTTTTAAGTTTTGACCTCCAAGAGAATTTTTGAGATCGGTTCTTCCCCAGGTCGACGGCAAGTTTTCCCGCGTCTTCGGCACCTCGGCGTCTGCTCCTGTCGTAGGTTCTATTCTGACGATGGTGAATGACGCGCGTCTTGCCATCGGAAAGAAACCAATTGGATTCATCAACCCAACAGTATGTTTTCCGTGCTTCCTCCTCCCTCAAGCGCTGTTCAGCAACTCTCTTTCAGATCTACTCTGACTTTTTCAGCGGGGCCTTCAACGACATAACGTCAGGAGGGAATCAAGGCTGTGGCACACCTGGGTTCACTGCTGTCCCTGGTTGGGATCCAGTGAGTGGGTTGGGCACTCCTTCGTTCCCGAAGTTGCTTGTGCGTTGGCTATTACTTCCGTGATCGTCAAACCCCAGGAAGACGCAATCACCTTTGGCGAGAAAAGCATATGTACTCGAGTTATTCCCAGTGCAAACACTGTTGTAGATCCGATGACACGAGTCGATCGACGGACTCTTGGCTGGGTATTTCGTAACATATGCCTGTTAATAATCTTGATCCTCGTCCTTTTAGGCTTTGCGACTCCTCAGCCGTCTGAACTTCTGAAACGTCCACGAACCAGAACCAAATGACGTTACCCTAGGCGCCGGTTTCGTTGCGAGATGCTTACTCGAAGATTGGCAAAAGCGTTCTTCAATTGGGACTGGCTGCTCATTCTCCGCGGTGATGAGTCATTTTCCTAGGTACCCCGTGCATGACATAGCAAGTGATTGTATGAACCTCCATCTAGGTCGGATTTGTTCTCTACAGCCATGATACTCGGCAATATGGCAACACCAAATGACGTTACATGAGTAACGCCTAGTGAATACCCACTGATTATTTGCGAGGCTCCTTCAAGACGGACTTGTAAGAGGCGGTGTGCAATCACTTCTCCGAGGAGTTTGTCTTGTTTACACTAACCCTTCTCCGAGATGGAGTTTTCTGAACACGCGACCGACAACAACAGGAACCCTTTCGTAGCTCATGGTTCGTAATCTAAGTGCCTATATACGCGAAATTCAGGGTTTTGTAAACATTTTCGATGCCTGTTCTAGATCTCGTTTCGGTTTTCCCCAACGAGCCCTTATAGCCTAACGGGGTCATAAATTAATCGTCTTTATGTCGCAAACAGCGCAACCCCATCAACGCCGGCCACAAACTCTTTTTGCTTACCCTCACACGGTACGAGCCAAAAACTATATCACGAACGCGGATCGTGTCTAGTGATCCTTCTTCCTAGCCGGCTTGTCGTGTCAAGCGGTGGCAACTGGGCCACCCCGCCCGTGATGCCGCCAAAAGTGGGATCGCAAATCCTTTCACCAGGAGCATAAAGATGGGTATTGTGAGAAGGGAGCCCCAGATAAAATCCTCCCCTTTCTTCCCCACCCCGGCTTGCTTCCTACTCTCCTCTGTCTACGTCGACGCACCATGCCGTGGTTCCAGATATTTCAGGATGGCCATGAGTACAAGGCTCGCAAGAAACGAGGCGTCTTCACGCCACCGAACCTGTCACTGAAGAGACTGCATGACGCCGTTCCCCGTCATCTGCTCGAGAGGTCAACCGCCAAGAGTCTCGCCTATATTTCTCGTCACATTGCCCTCACTTATGCCTTTTACTACCTCTCCACCTATATCGACGATTTCACGTTCCAACTCTCTTCGCCTCGCTCCACCCCGATCGTACATCTTCTAAGGCGGGCTCTCTGGCTTCTTTACTGGGGCTGGCAAGGAATAGCCTTTGCTGGGATCTGGTGCTTCGGTATGTGCGTTTTCCCCCCTCCGTTCCTTGGCTTACAATTCCTTGGTTTGACCCAGCCCACGAGGCACGTTCGCTCTCCAACATCCCTTCGGTTTTTGGTTGAGCGCTGACTTCAATTCTCGCCTAGGCTGGACACAACGCACTGTCTCCTTATGAATCCGTCAATTCCGCCCTAGGGATGGCCTTGCATACATTTGTCCTTACACCATATCACTCCTGGAGGGTGTCCCATAATACCCACCACGTAAGTCGATCGTTAATGAAGCCTCCCATATCTTAGTAATTTGGCATAGAAATCGACAAACAACCTAGAACGGGATGAGACCTACATACCACCTACACGGAAGAGCTTTAAGCTCCCGGACGGCAAGATTGCTGTTAGGATGGACTACACGGAGGTCCTAGAAGAAACACCCGCGTTTACGCTTTTTAAGATGCTTATTCGTCAATTTTTGTGGGTTTGTTTCTCGCTCACTCCTGTCCGCTGATCGAATACCGCCCCCTTCAGTGGCTTCCAACTTTATCTAATGTAGGTCTCCACAGTTCTTATCATGATCCTTCCAGCGCGCTAATTCTTCTCTTCACAGCCACAACCGAAAGGGAAATCCCAAGTACCCACCTTGGACCAGCGTAAGTGAATGAGCATGGCGGTACCGACGCCTGACGCACGGATTTAATAACCATTTTCATGACAGCATTATGACCCTTCATCGAAGTTGTTTCTTCCGAAGCATCGTAAGCAAATATTCTTGTCTTCTTCGACTCGCTCTGTAATTTGGCAAAACCATCAGGCACTCAGATAATCCTCTCAAACATAGGAATAGCTTCTATGCTCGCTTTGTTATTTACCTACGGATATAAGAGCGGGTGGAATGCGTTCTGCTCCCATTATCTTCTTCCGTGGCTTGTATGTCCTGTTGCTTCAGTCCGCCCCCACGGGTTAGCTGACCTCCTTGCTAGTTTGCCCACAACTGGTGCGCATTGGTCAGCTATCGGAGTGACTCAAGCTGCTCACCAGACTCCAGGATCGTCCTCTTCACCTATCTGCAGCACAGCGACCCGACGATACCATATTACCGAAAGGTATGGGCGTTTCTTCGTACTGGTATGATATCATACTTATGCTTCTCAATAGGAGCAATGGACCTTCGCTCGCGGAGCGCTCGCCACTGTTGATCGTCCCTTGTTCGGTTGGGTCGGCCGTTTCTTTCTCCACAATGTAAGACCGAGTCCTTTAATTATCGTCTCGTGGGATGGACGCCTGCTCATTCCAAGAATAGATCAGCAGCGACCATGTAGCGCATCATTTCTTCCCAAGCGTGCCTTTTTGTAAGCCCTCGCCTTGCGGATACAGCAGGATTGTGTTGACGGTAGTCTCTTAGATAATCTCCCCGAAGTGACCAAAGCGATTAAACCCGTCCTTGGGGAGTATTACAACTTCGATTCGACGGTAAGATTCGGCCCCTGTTATCTTGCTAGGCCACAGAACTAAGATCTATTCAGCCTGCGATATACGCCCTTTGGCGCTCGTTCACACAGTGTGTATTTGTGGAAGACGAAGGCGCCGTTCTGTTCTTCAAAAACCGGTACGGCGAGGCCTTAATTGAACTGACGCCAGAAGGGTAAATTATGCCTCGGTTACGGGATGCTCCTCTGTTCCTGTAGGTTAGTCACGCAGTACTTCTGGAATTCCATTTTCATTTTCCTCGCATTGTTTCGGTGGGGTTCACACCTATATAATATCGAGTCGCCGCTGCATGAGCTGGACCTGCGGCTCAACGGGTATACTAGGCGCCTATCAGGTCCGGTTGAGGTCCGGCTAGCGGCTATGCGGCAGGCAACGGATACTAGTATCAATGCCTGCATTGATTCACTTCCGGGCAACCCATGGAGGGAGGAGGCTAGTCTCCGATCATCAGCCGTGTTGCCTATGATCCGGCTACACCCCTTGGGGAGAAACACTAGATATTCGACCGCCTTCGCATGGTAGGGGGATGCTACAGGATGCGTGCCTTAGGGTTTGGGAAATGGGGGAGGAAAGCGGGTGGGGTTGTATCAGAGGGCGGAAGGCATAGTGGAAGGCAGAGTCACTCGTTTCAACATTTCACTTCCAAACCATCCAATCTCGTTAGGGGTACTTAGCACCTACATGTGCTGCCCCCGTCAATGGCGTTGGCCCGGCACACCAACCATGCAGGCGACTGACGGCTTGGAAGCTTCGGCGCCCAATGCTGGGAAGGACTAACACCATGAAGCCCTTGATTGTTTAGATTCGGCGAACCGCAAGGAAACTGGTCAGCTCTCACCAACTGTCTCAACAGCTGGAAGCTTCGGCGCCCAATGGGGCTTCAACCAAAGGCGGCGGGTCGAGGGATGGGATGATGAGGAGGGTCGTTTAGGTGTAGCCTACCTCCAAGGGACTGTGATCGAACACCCTATTTTTTGTGTATTTGGAGTACGTCTAAAATACACCCTACGTGGAAGACTTCAAAAAAAAAAAAAAAAAAAACATTGATTCACTTCCGCATTTCCTCCGCGCACGATCGGGCAGAATGTGTCACAGAAACGAAAACTTAATGTCGTAAGGACCTGGTACTAATGATTCGGGTATTTTCAGAAGGCCAAAAGATACTGATTAGTGAAGTTCGCGAATTTTCATTGCAAAGATTCCGACTACACTTTACGGTCAAGCATCTGGTCAGAAGCTGTCTGGCGTATCTTCAAGCGTTGTCTAGAGACAAGGGAATAAAACTCAAAAGTCTCTTAAGTAATGCGGGCCGGTTTACCGCGCAGCGTGGGAATGTCCACATGCGTCATTTGAACGTTGACGTTGAACCTGGAGCTTGAGCTTGAACCTTGAACTCTAGTTTCAATTTTTTTGCTGGCTAGCGCTCTCTTCAAATCCTACTTCAATCACATCTATGCCCATCGGAACATATGCGCGGCGATTTGGCAAGTCCCCGTTATCAAACAGCGAACTCGAAGGCCATGGGCTTGTGTTGAAATCAATTGGATAAGCCTTATAGCAGTTTTCGACCAACGATTCCAAATTTCTCGGTTTCGGAAGCGGCGCAGGGTAGATCTTCGTTTCCGACGCTCTGGAGGTGCGCTTCAACGTTTTCGTCATGGAGCTCCATGGTCTAACGGAGCTTTCAGTGAAACCTTTACATAGCACTCCGAGCCGTTCCGTGGTGGCACGCAGTGGCGCAATTGCGTCCAATTTTTTGCAGAAACTCCCGACCAGGTCTTCTTTTCCCCTCGTCATATGCGCAGTTGGAAGATTTCCTGCGACGCATCTCATCTCACGGTTCCAAATGACACTCATAACGGAGTCCCGCACGCTCGAAATGCTCCAGATGTTCTTTTGATAGCTAAGGTCACCAAATTGGAATGGGAAGGTTACTCAGTTATGCTGACTATTCTGTCAACCTCAGGTGTGCAGCTGCACTGTTCCTAGATGGACGTTTCTCTCATGCGTGATGAGCATCATTATTACGAAGGCCCGAAATTTCTCCTCCTACCTCTTGACTCTATCGCAAACCCACTTGGCTCGTTCGAGAAGGGTCTTTCTCTCCGCACTACTATCGGATCTTGTCTATTAAGCTGTCTGCATCTTGATGGGCATCCTATGACGACATTTGGGTAGAGACTATGGTGAGGCCAAAGATGTTGCTCACAGGCATTGGTTTGTTGATATTCTCACCCGACAGATCCAACTTTATTTCACGATGCCAAAAATACATCTGACGAAGGGAACGGCACATTTCGACTCTCAGGCTCCTGTGCTCGACCAGATCAAAGGCTGTCCTTGCCGGATGGCAACACGCGCACCTCCATCACAGCTTTCCCAACGATCCGCAGAAAAGCCACTCGTTTTTCCTACGCTGCCTCTAAAAGAATGCGCGGCCTGTAACCTTCTTCGAATCTAAAAACGCGTCTCGACACGTGGGGTTAACGAGCAGGCTTCTTGCTCTCACCGAGTTAAGGACGTCTACCGTCGTAAAGGTACAAGAGTCCTGGTTCGCCTTCCATCCATATCCAAACCTGCTCTTTCCCCCAACCCCAATCCCACCAAACCCGTTCTCATACACAATGTCCTCACGACTCCAAACGACGTCGAGCCCGTCCTCCGCTCTTACAGCCCTGTCGACGGAACTGCCCTCCGCACGCCGCAGCTCAGAGACGGGCAAGGCGTGGGTTGATCCGGCGTCCTTGCCCCACTACCACCACGCCTCGCCTATCGGGGGAAATGCGCCGGACTACGTCAAGCAGCTGAACTACAACACGTTCATGTGCTACGGCGTCGGTGAGGACGACTGCTTCGGCTCCAAAGTCGGCAAGGCGGTCAGGTTCATTGAGGTGAACGTGAACCGGAAGCTCGAGAAACAGGGCAGGCTCGAGGCGACGACGATTGCTGAGATCGAGGTTACGAAACGTGAGTGCTGGGCTGGCCATATTTAGGACCGTCGAATGATGCTATGTTCCGTATGCAGACATGCTAAACGGCGCCGGGATGCTGCATGGAGGTTGTGTGGCCTATCTTATTGACAAGTACGTTTTCCTTTTTTTCTGATGTTCGCACTGGGCTGACTGACATCGACTTCCATAGCTGCTGTAGCACGCCGCTCGTCGTCCTGGGCCTCATCCAGAGCGTCAACGGCGTAGGCGTTACGCAATCGATGAACGTTCTCTTTCATTCCCCTGCTCCTCGGTAACAGCATATTTAATCTTCCTCTGAGAACCTTCTCACTCATTCACTTAAACTTTAGTGGTACATGTCTCAGAATCATCAGCAGTTCCGTTTCACTCGGTGGGCGTGTCATGTCATCGCGGTGCGAGGTGGGTCGCGCTGACTTCATTTTATTTCTGTCCTTCGTTCTCATTTCCGCGTTTCATGTTAATTCAGATCATCGATAAGGACACAGGGCGCGTCGTAGCATCCGCGTTTCTCAACAAAATGCAACCAACTATCTCGAAGCTATGATTCCGCCTTCCATCCCACATGGTTCTCGAATTCCATCCATCCTCTTGATGATTTCTTCCAAAGCATTTACGACTTCATGCTGCATATTCAATACTGTACATCACCGCCCTCTTGCATCTCACGGTAGCATCTATGACGACACAAACGTCGCAAAAATAGCATGGGGACGGGAAGACGACAAACAAAACTTCAGCCTAGACTATTCCACTTAGATAGGATCTTTAGACAATTGTAATATAGATAAATTAATCGATGGGAACGGCTGGAAATACTTCATAGACTCCACAGTGCGACGATTCGTCCAACCGGGAAAAGAGGCGTGAAATTTTAACTCTGCGAGTCCTCGGTTACGGGTTCTCGAACCCAGCGGCCTTCACGGCTGAACGTAAATAGCCAATCTCAAGGTTTGTCTCCATGACGCAACTGAGCACGAGCTCGACTCGCTTAATGGTTACTATTCACTAACCAGCATGTCGTCACGTTCAGATACTCCTCAGATCCAACAAGAACCTTCAACGGTCAAGCGGGATAGCTTCCAGCTCTACGATCTTCGTGTCGAAGTAATATGTCCACCGGGAGAAAGAATAATGTGCGGCGCCAAACCTGGTGACCACTTCATCCTTCAGGGAGAGATGCTTTATCTCCCTCCGAACCAAGGCATCTCCATCTACTCCTTAGGTTCGAAATCTATCTTTCGTGACTCTTACACTCTGATCCATGAAAATATAGCATCTGTTCTCCCACTTCTCGCGGCCAAGCAGCGCCCGACCGCCCCAAACGACTGGATGACCACAGATGCAGAGATCGCGTGCCCAGATCCTCACTGCAAATCACGATTGAAGATCATAAGAACTGGACTGCGCACGTTCAGCCACGCTGAGACAACCGTGGTCCCATTACCCAGTGGTTCATGAGTGCTTTCTGGAAGGATGCGGTGATGAACTACTCTGGTCAATTTTGCATATGGCCTGCCTCCGACGGTGCTCAAATAGAGGGGGATTAAGCGAGTCAAGGTGCTCAGTTGCGTCATGGCGGGGATAACGCAGTCAAAGCTTGGATTGACGAATGGATTTACTATTATTACGTTGGACGGTGTGAAGGCCACAAGATTCCAGAACTTGAATCGGGCAACTGAGGACTCACAGAGTTAAATCTTCACACCTACTTTCCTCAAGGGACCATCGCGGGCAGACTTCAATTTCAATCCTTCTCTACGTTCAAATGCATGCAGAAAAATGGAATGGATGAATACATGGCATGGCATAGAATCGCATAATAAGCCTCGCTGTCCCTTCTGTTACGTCCACGAGTTGGTTGCGATAGTACATAGTACACAGAAGCCCGGGAAAGGGATCGCATCGGATGGGTACAGAAGGGAGAAGCCATCCACCTAGGGGCAACCTATCACCGTCCGGCACCAGGAACAGTCTTGCGGTCACGGCGGGGTCCACGCTCTGGGACGGCGAGGACGTGCGGGACAACAGAAACGGGGATGGAGTCGAAGTTAAGGGAGTCAAGGAGAGCCTGCGGAATTGTGGTACATAAGGTTTCATCAGAGAGGAAACATGTGCACAACGCACCTTGGTGTCGGGATCGATCTCCAGAGGTGCTGCTGATGTGTCGAGGGCAGAGACTTCGGGGACGTAGTTGTCCTTGCGTTCACGCTCCTCTTCCTGCAGCTTGAATGAAATGCCGCGGACGGGACCACGTTGGATACGCTTCATCAAATGGGTGGTGAAGCCGGAGATTTTGTTGCGCAGGCGCTTGGAGGGGACGACGGCCTGGTAAAGCAAGCATAAGATGCACATAAGGATATTGTTTGAAGTTCAAGGAATTGAGCTACGCACGACTTCATCGATGATACGCTTGTTCGTGTGGAAATCGAGGGTCAGGCGGGGGTAGCTATGTGTTTCAAATGAGCACAGATCGCCCGACGTCGACGACGCTCGCTGCTCACTATTTCTCGATCAGGACACGGGAGGCCCTCTTGGTGGTTTTGGTGCGAACGCGGCCCTACAGCACATGGTCAGCGGTTCGGGATTGATCAAGAAGATTAACGGCGACGTACCATGATGAATTAGTGAGACTGTCGTCCTCGTTGGCGGTGGTCTTGACGTCGTGGACTCTGCTCGCTCGAGGATGGATGAGAGGACAGCCGGGAAATGCCGCGGTGGCTGGCCGTAACTGTATAGTCTATGCTGACATAATCCTCACCCAGTCGAAATCTGCCCAAGACACTTCGTTCGTCACCATCGCCGTCGCCATCCTCAAGGTACATCTCTCTCTCAAAGCCTGTTTGACTCGTGCTTTCCGTAGCACGACACTCATTCTGGGCTCTGGCCTCTTGCTTACCACTCCTCTTCGCCGTTTCAGCACCTTCCAAGACCCCAAAATTCAAAATCCAAAATGGTTCGCGTGTCTGTCCTCGTATGTGCTTTTATTCCGCTTTCCGGAGTACTTGTATTGAACTGGGATTAGAATGACTGCCTGAACAACATTGTCAATGCCGAGCGCCGTGGCAAGCGCCAGGTGCTCATCCGCCCTTCCTCCAAAGTCGTTGTGAAGTTCCTGAGCGTCATGCAGCGCCACGGTGAGCAACCTCGATCTATGATTTTTTTTCTGCCCCGGAGTATAACTACGACTGGAGTGGTTTTGCTTCTACACGCCTTTCGTTTTAAGTCTCCGATATACAAACGTTTGTCTCCGAAACCAATACAGCGTGCGCCTCACTGTCTACAGGCGTGCGTTCATACAAGAGGCTACAGCTTTTATATCGTGGCTTAAATTGGCAGCAGGATTGCTGACATTCGTTGGCCAGGTTACATCGGTGAATTCGAGATCATCGACGACCACCGCTCCGGCAAGATCGTCGTCCAACTCAACGGCCGTCTCAACAAGACTGGTGTCATCTCTCCCCGATTCAACATCCAGCACAATCAGATTGAGTCCTGGGTCAATTTGTTGCTCCCTGCCAGAGGTTTCGGTATCATCATCCTCGTGCGTTGCAATTCTTATTAACCCTTATACGCAAATGACGTTAAGTTTTCGTAGACCACCTCTTCAGGCATTCTCGACCACGAGGAGGCCCGTCGCAAGAACGTCGGAGGCAAGCTCCTCGGCTATGTGTACTAATTGTTTGTAACGCCACACTTTCAATACATTTCTGACGATCCTTTTTGGGTGAATATGCGTTCTATGAAAGAGATGCCGCGACTCTCGTTTAATTGCTGTCTCCTGGGCGCAGCTCGATGGGCCCCAGCGCTCCATAGGCCGGTGTAGTTTCTGTGTCCCATGATGCAAGCTTGAATTGAGAGTTGGACGTGGCCGAGAGATGTTTGTCAAGCAAGGCAGGATGTATTAAAGGCATCGATATGCCCAAGATGCCGTGGCATCCTTGCTGAACTCCAGAGACAATACCCTTGATGCACTTTCTCTCCAACATCATCCTCACTGCACTTGTGGCGAGTTTCTCCCTGTACGGCCAACCGACCTCAGCCGCCCTCAACGGCCCATGCTCTGGAATAGCGACTGGCGTCTGCGTCTCGACTGGCACCTGTCGAGGTTGGGGTGGCCGATCCATCGTGAATTATTGTCCATATGATCCCAATGATATCAGGTGCTGCATCGTCGAGAACTGCAGTGGGGCTGGCAGTTTTTGCGGATGGCCTGGCGATTGTGGTGGAGGAACTTTCTTGAATAGTGCGTCCTGTTTACTTTGGCGGCGTGGAATCTTATTCTGACTTCTTGTTGACAGACATGTGCCCGGGACCAGCCAACTTCAAATGTTGCGTCTATTGAGGGCAGCGATGAACTTCTGATCGAAACTCCTTCAGCACCAAGACTACCAAGTCGACAAAGGGAATTCAAATTATTTAATTGACTGCGCTATGTACCATTGAAGAGACGATTGTGTAAGGCAGACATGACGAAATGACGAAATACATATGCTCTACATTGATGTCGCAGGACGCAAAAATGAATGAAGAAATAACAAGCAGAAGGTAGAGAAGCTCTATTCGTCCTCTTCATCCACAAGCAGCTTCTCCCAAGCAGCATCCTTCGCATTATGAATCGTATGGGCGAGGACGTTCAACTTTATGGGGCTGCTCAGCTCGCTAGGAAGCATCCTACCGAGCCTCCTTGAAACACTCGAGACCTTCCTCCCTTTCAGCGTCGATAGTTCCTCCGGCCCCAGACCCGCGTTCGCAAGGTCAGAGAGATATTGCGTCGGCTGGTAGTCTCCTGCCTCGGCGAAGAATGCTTGCAGCTTCTTGAAATCTTCTGGCCCCTCGTCAGAATCGGGGACTGACGCAGGAGCCGGTGCGACGGTGACGCTGCGTTTTCGTTTTGCAGCAGGCGTCTTTGGTGGGCTTCCGTTGGCTTTACGCTTCAGGCAGGGCGGCGTCTCGGGGGCGACGGTGCATGCTCGTTTTTGCTTTGTTGAACCATGTGGGCTGGGCTGTTGTAACATCCCGCTGGTGAGTTTCTTGGAAGAATGGGGGTGGAGGGAGACTTACGGTGCCCTTGCTTTTCTCGCTTTGTCTGGAGGATTCCTTGATATTACGACAGAACTTGTAAGGTGGTGGAATGTCTGCGAAGGGAGAGACATACCGCGGTCGGTTCAGCTTCCCATTCTTCCTCTTCGTCCTCCCCTTCTTCCAACTCAGAGACCTCGTCCTGTAATCGAAATCAGATGCGTCTTTCAGAAAACCGTAGGTTCTTACCTCCGACTCGATTATCCTGCGTGCAGACCTGCTAGGCCTGCGACTGCGGCTTCGTGTCAACATCCTCGACGCGGACCGCGGTCGAGGTTTTTCGTCGTCCATCGAGCTATGGTACACTCTCAACTGCAATCGCGCTCCTTCAGCATACACCGCGACGATAAAATAAAAAGAGAGCATACGAAGAATATCAAGCGCTCTCGAAAATCCCCAGGAATAAGCAATTCGTCCTCCTGGGGATCATCTCTACTCCTGTCATACTTGCAGTTTATCGCTTTATGGATTGCGGACGCGTTGGAGCTGAAGGCCTGAGCTATCTCTGTAGCACTCAAGTCGGGTGCCCATCGCGCTATGAATCGGATTGCAGCGCGAGAAATTGGGGTCAAGGTGTTCTTTTGTGTCCTGTAAATAGTAATCATGGAGCGTACGCGTCGGGAAGCAAGGAGGAGTCACGTACAACAAGACAGGTCCCGGCGAGATGGAGATGTTTGGTGACGTCGGAGGGTAGACGATGTCGGCCAACGCGATCGTGATTGTTGTAGGCATCGTCAAGGGGAAGGCAGGCGGAAGAAACTCGGGATAGCACCACTTCAAGGGAGACGTTAGAAGAAAAGAGACGCGACGCAAATGTTTGCAGATGTATATTAGGTGGCCAGATGTTTGCTGATAGCAGCGACACCGGCGGAGTCAAAGGAAACATAACTGGCGATTTCATACCATTAAGAATATTGAGAGACGGTATGTGGTAGTAGCCGAAGCCGGTCGCGGCACAGGAGGTTATTCAAGGACAAGAAATATCGCGGAGAACGGCGATTACCAAACCGTAACAGTGCCGTCATATAAACTTCCCGAGAAAAGGGGTCGGGATGTCGGCGTAGGATATAATAATCTTTTATTTAACTTCGCGACATGCAGATTTCATGATGATAGGAGACGGCGCAGAGTGGAAGATGGCGCGCTTGGTTCAGGTGGACAAAGGAATAAAAGAAAACACTATTTTTGGATATTGCGGCGCATCGTTATCACATGCGGCAGAGGAGACCTGGATAGGGGCCACTGCAGGATGGCTGTTCAGAAAAGAATGGATTTCGGAGAAATTTCATTTGATCGAGGAAGATAAGAACTGTGTCGAGGAAAAGGTGATTATCTCTGCAACTGACTCGCTCATACGGATAAAAATTGGTTCCACAACGAATGAATATTGAATAAGTGGACTTCCATTCGCGTTGGATTGCTACTTTAGGGTACAGGCAGAACATCCGTCAAGTTGTACAGTGTCGCGAACGGGTCGTTTTGCCAATCCAACTCCCTCTCATACTCGAGCCCATTCGCCAAATTCAGCGCGACCTCCTCACCATACACCGTCTTCACAAAGTCGAACATCCCATCAATTCCTGCAGCCACGCCTGACGTAGTCCAGATGTTCCCGCTCCTGATCCACCGTGCATGCGCGATCCAATGCACCTTGTTGCTCTGTGCTGTAACCCACGCCCACGACCTCTTGTTCCCCGTCGCCTTCTTTCCGTCAAGAATTCCTGTGCGGGACATCAGTCCGACGCCTGTACAAACGCCAACGAGGTAACGGAGCTTCGGGTATGTTTCCTTGATGAACGCGACGTGTGCGTCGAGCTCCGGAGATGGGGCCCGTGTCCCGATACCTCCTGGTACGATGAGCACCTCGAGGTCGGAGGGAGGGTTGTCGAAGGTGTGTGTAGGTATGATGGATTGACTAAAGTTGCTGTTGGCGTGGGTGGTCATACGAGGCTTGGTGGATACTGGGTCGAGTGTCGGTGCGAGGACCGCGAGATTCAGAGGCTGGGAGATGGATAAGAGATTCAGGATGTCAAGCGGTCCGAAGACATCGAGGGCTTGGAAGGCTGGGAAGAGGACGACGCCATAGTTTTGTGGAAGTGGGAGTGGGTCCGAAGACGTGTCGTTTATGTCTTGTCCGCGACCTTGGACCACGAAGAGCAGACCAACCGGCAGTGCAGAGTATAACTTCATGGCGAGTGAGCTGGCGGTTTCCTGTTGACAGAGCCCGGCATTTTATCGATGAGGTGCACGTTCTGCCTAGTGATCCCGCAACAATGGGGATTGAGAGCCCCATCGAGTTACATAGAAGTATGTCTTGGGATATCAGAGAACCCGTTCGGACTTCAACCGTCGAATTATCCGAACGCGGTGAATGATGAGGCCCATTTTTGAGCAGAGATTTCTCGGTTGTGCATTTGAAATTAATTGGGCCTGAGATCCTCGATAGCCTGGACGTCGCCGAAAGATACCCAGAGTGGGCTTATGAGATTGAAGCTGAAAGTAGATTGTTGAGGCCGATGTAGTCCGGGTCGAAGTTAGAAGATGATGCTGAGGAATTGGGTCTCGTAATTTCAAGTTAGTGCAAAGAGAAGAGGAAAGAAAGTGCCATGTGAGTCGTCGTCACTGACTCGTCAGTGCCGATAACGAGCCTGAGTGTCTTCAACCAAGTTCCATCGTCCACTGTCTGACGAGATTATGGGAAAAATCCGGATATTAGGAGCGTTAGCAGAGTTCACTAGAACAACGAGAAATAATACTGAACAGCCAGAAAAAAGCACATACATCAACATAAGGTAGGGAAATTTCGAAAGTCCAATTGGAAGCGAGGGCTCGCTGCGCCACCCTACTTCGCTAATTCATCTCAAAACAGAATATTATTCACTGAAAGTAGCTCCTGGGCCCGTGTAGTTACCTTGTATTTTTTTCTGAGTCTGAGGAATGTGTTCTATGGACGTAAGTAGATAATAACCAAGTGCATTCTCATGCCCTTAGTGAAGGTGCCCTTGCATCATCCCCTTTACTTGCGTTGTTGGCCCTCTTCAGCAGGGCTGGAACCAGGGGGGACACAACTCATGAACATGGTCATGCAGCTGCACAACGCGACGTGCCACCCCTACCTATCCGACGGAGCAGTAAATACTACGTCCTCTCTTCATCGTCTTCGACCTCGTTTTCTTTTCTCTGGGGACTGAATGTTCTGTTTTTCTACGAATTTCAGGAACCATGTCTGCCGTACACGACCAACGAGCACTCATCCAGAATTCAGGCAAGATGCTCATCCTCGATAAGCTTCTGTCGAGCATGAAGGAGAAAGGCTCATGCGTGCTCATATGGCTGAAGACGAGCAGGGTGTTGGATATATTGGAGGACTATTGTTTGTTTAGGCAGTACGGTGCGTATCTGCTCTTATGTTTACCTTGTCTTTTCTCCTCGCACACTCGCATACACGTACTGACCATGTCACTCGAACAGAATACTGCCGCATAAACGGAAGCACCGCGCACGAAGACCGTATTTCTGCCATTGACGACTACAACAAGCCGGGCAGCGAGAAGTTCACCTTCCCGCTTACGACGCGGGCAGGTGGGCTGGGCATCAACTTGACGACGGCCAATATCGTAGTGCTGTACGATAATGATTGGTATGTCCTTTGCCTCCTTTCTCTCCTTTCATTCTCTCTTTCATTTGTTGCTTTTTTCTCTTCTCTTTTTTCGTTGTAATGCTGACATCGACCCTTCTCCTTCTCCTCAAGAACCCGCAAGCCGACCTCCAAGCTATGGACCATGCCTGCCATATCGGACAAACGAAACAAGTCTACGTCTTCAGGTTTATCACGGAAGGCAGTGTAAAAGAGCGCATGCTGGAGCGGGCGGCGTAGAAGTTGAGGCAGGACCAGCTGGTCATTCAGCAGGGCCAGACGCAGCAGGCGAAAAGTACGTGGTGTGATGTTCAAACGTCAATGTATTGAGGCTGATACATTACCTTTTTTCAGCGGTGGCGAAGAAGGACGAACTGTTGGAGATGAATTGGCATGGGCCGGAGAATGTTATTAGTTCGACAGAGGAGTACATATTTTTTCCTTTGTGATTCTGTTAACGGTATTTACGCTCATGAATGCAGAATATACTTCCATTTCATCGGCTTCTCATCATGAGGACATCGACGCCATTATGCGAAGAGCGTACCATCGAGCTGAACAGCAAGTACAAAGGCCTCAATCTTGAAGACCTCGTCGAACACGTCGGTGCAGCAGTGGGAGGGCGAGGACTTCAGGGCTGGAGTATGTTTCTTTCTCCCCTTTTTTTGTAAATCCAACTTTACTGTCATTGTTGAATACATCACGGGATGCCGACTTTTTGGTTTGGCGTCACATAAAATAGCCCTCAACTTTAGCTCTTGTCGTTCGGTGGATAATTATTTCATGGACACTCTCCGTGCTTGCCCGTCGAAAGTGGACAAGATTACAAAGGCGCCGAAGCAGATTGCTGTGTACGTTTCCTAGTTTTATCTATTGTGTGACTTGAGATTCTGACAGTGGATATTTCTTTAGCCAAGTCTTCCAGTTCTTCCCCGCCGAGCCGACGGTGCTTCAAGAGCGCGAGTTGGCAGCTCATAAGGTATGTTACATCGCAGAACTGATTTGAGTGCTACACGCTAATTCGACCTACTACTTCCAGTGACTCCATGGAATCCCTGGTGTCACCCGTGAGCCCATCGCCCAGGAGGATACACCGGACGTTTTGGAGCAGGAACGGCTAGGGGCGCAGGAGTTCATCGACACTGATATATTATTATTTCGTTTAAAGTGCATGATTGTTTACTGATCAGATATGATGTTATAGCTGAACCTCTGGATGACGATCTCGAACAGAAGGAGGAGTACATCAAGCAGGGCTTCCCAGTTGTCATGACTTGCAGCAGCTGATTAGAGCAATGGAGGCATACGGCTGGTACGTTCTCGTTGCCACCTACGCTCGGTGTTGGAGCTGACGTTGCAGTTAGGGCGGCTGATACTGCCACAAGATTCGGGTGCTCTTTTAGATGTAAATGAGAAGGGAAAGAATAACTCATTATGAACCATATAATATACATATATGGCCAAGGGGTAATTATACTGATACGATCTTTAATGCGCCAACATACTAGAAATATGATTGTTTATTGCTATCTACGTTAGAAGCTTGCTCCTGGGACGAGCCGTTGCAACATCTCGAGGTCGTGCTCCTTCATCATCACACGTAAGCCATCTGCAACACCGTCTGCCCATTGGATGGATGGAGACATCATGATAGGATATGTGGACTCTCCATGTTTACCAACCATGTCGAAGTCAATGAAAACGACTTCATTGTTCTTTGTAATCATGACATTTGGCCCACGAAGATCACCAAACACATAGTCAGCCTGGTGCAAAACAGTCAAGATATCTTGAATTTGCTGATGGAATGTCGGAGGAAGGGTCTGTGCCTTCTCAACTGTTTCACCATCAACAAAGTCCATAACTATCATGCGAAGATGACCATATGATGGATCACCATCACGAACGCCGACTTTGTCGCAATAACGAAGCTTTGGGGCCATGCCCTTTGCTGCCAATAGCTGGTGAGCCTCTTTGTTGTAACGGCGTACGAACTTGACAACAATGGGCTCGGAGACGGGGCCTTCAGTCTTCGCCAGAAATGTTGTACAGACAGAATCCAATTCCAAAGGTATGATGAACGTGAAATTGATAATCGTGTCGTCAAGTCCACGGTATGCATTGATGGATGGGAAATAGCGAGGTTCAAGTTTCTCTGGAACAGGAGGCTGAGGCTGAATCTTGAGGGATTTGTAAAACGTGTCAAGCCTCCGCAAACTTCTGGAGAGAGCGTACAAGATACGCGCATTTCGATAGATAGCTTCGTCGTTGAAAATAGTATCATGACCGAGCCAGATGTAGTCGGTAAGTCGTTGAACGATGATTTTATCTGTCCAGATGGCGCCTAGTATAGCGATTGATGCGCCAGCAATTGCGATAAGGAAAGAGGGACAGCAGCTGTTCTCTCGGATTTTCGCATGCTAAGGGAGCAGGCTCAATGAGAGAATCAGCGAAGAAAGATTTGAAAGCACGTACATTCGATTGTGCCCAAAACCGACCATAAGATAAACCTGCCTGGGTTGAAGGATTGGAGCCTCCGTCACCAAATTCATTCTTGTCCTCCTCAATGCCGATAGCAGCAGCCTCGACCATCACTAATGCCTGTGTGATCACTATTCCATTGCGTGATGTCGAGTCAAGATTGACGACTTTTTTCATACCGCAGTTGAGGACATCCAAGAGTTTCGAGCGAATGGCGAATCTCCGGATGTCTTCGTTCTTGTAGATGCCAGATGCCTTACCCATGAAGCGAGCAGTAGCCCGTACGACTTCTGGGGGCACTTCCAAGTTCGTGTTGGTAGAATCGTCCCAAAAGTGGGCAAAATCTGGGTGATATATTTGGATAGGAGGAGCTCGCGTCTCGGCTGGGAGAGTGGCAACATAACGCCCGTCGTAGATCGGATCGCCATCTTTTTGGAAAGTCACATATCCGCCCGATTTTGCACTTGCGGAAGGAGAAGGCGCATTTACGTTCTTCGCGAGACTGCTTTTGTACTCTGGAGTGGTAAAAGTCAACCAAGTGAACAAGAATCCCGCTATGGCCACACGTACTTTTGTGCGTAATCGCGATGAGCTCCGTGATTTTGTCGTGCGCCTCGTGTTTCTCATCCTCCTCCTTATCTTCACTCCTAGTCTGATCCTTTATGTCGCGTGAATAGGTATTGGCTTATCAGCTAATGTGAAGGAGCTATGCATGCTCACCTTGGAAGTTGGCTGGGCTGGACGTTCAATACAAGACCCTTCAGCATGGAACAGGAGATACGGGGGCCACACTCACCAAGCGCGGGTGCCTCAACCAGGACGTGGAGGGGTTCTTTGGATAAGTCTTCACCTTCGAAAAGCTGAGAAATTTGCCGCCGGGCAATGTGTAGGCGAACAAGGCGAACGTCAGAACCATCGAACTGAAGAGTTTTCAAGCTTTGTTCCAGGTTATCATCAGGAAGACCGGAACACTTCCAGAGTACGAGATCACGGGCATCGACTTTATCGAGCCGAGGGGCATGCTTGTCTCTGATCAATTCCTTGAGAGTGGCAACAGTGTCGTCGTTATTGATTTTGACCTCGACAGTGTGTTCATCCGGGCTGTCATCAGGCCAGACTAGGCATGTTAGCTTCAATTTCACGCCAGACATTGCAGGATGGAACGGTGTAAAGGGCTAGGGACGATTGACGTTGGCACAAGGGGGAGAGTTGGTTGGTATATTTACATAAGTGTCGCCAAATCGGGCTTTGTGATGTCATATTTGGACTCGCACCTCCTCACAACAGAGGCAAGCAGGACCCGTGAATTCAACAGACAACCGACGTTCTCCTCACCGACTTCAACGACGAGAACCGGATCACGACACCTACGAAGCCAACGAACATCCCCCTCTCTCATCATCTACCCCTCGTATTCACGATAAACCATGTCCTTGGCTGACACTGCCACCAACAGCGCACACGAGCCCCATCAACGCCGCCTTCGGTCCCGGCCAGCTCGTTCTCCTTCCCTTACACGCTCTCCACCTTCAACGAGATCGTCCTCAGTCTCAACGACTCTTAGCAAGCGCTCGCCGTCCCCTATCGTTACCTTCCACCCAACACCACTCTCCGCGGAGAACCCAAAAGGGGTCAAGAACATCACCAGGAAGGTTATCAAGCGCTTGGAGGGGCTTGGGCACCTCGAAATGGTGGATTCGGAGGAGGAAGAGCTAATGGGCAGTGGGGAGGAGCGTGAAGTAGAAAAGGCCCTGTACGCTGCGGGAAGAGAGGCAATGAAGGCTGCGCAGAAGAAGCTAACCATCCCCGCCACCAGCAACGGCCACGCGAAGGCGAATGGCCATGCAAACGGGCACATCGCCACACCGAAGAAGCAGAAAACCGACCTGGAGATTCCGCGGAAGGTGTTGCACAGTTCGATAGGTATGTCTCGCTAGAGGCTCTCACTCGGCCGAAGCTGACGAACGAGCTATCAGGGTTCCTAACGCTGTACCTCTACGTCTGCGAAGGCGACGTGCGCACGGTCGTGCTCGTGCTATGGATGGCGCTCGCGGTCATCGTCCCCGCCGACCTACTCCGCTTCAACTCGCAGCGGTTCGAGAGGACATACGAACGGTACCTCGGATTCCTAATGCGGGAGAGCGAAAAGGTGTGTGCCGTGTCATGACGTGTTTTCCCTCCCACCTTTTTCCGAATTGGTTGCTATCTCCAACCTTCTCCCCTATAATTCGAAGAACGGCCTATCGGCTGCTTCGCTCATACTTCACGAGATTTTATTACTTTGAGAGTCAGCTCAGAGCCCACGACGGTACCGCAAATACAGCCTATTTTGGTCTTCAGTCTTCCTTCTCCCCGTTCGTCTTTTGCACTGAAATTTGTTAGTGCTAAGCCTGCTGGTGGAACATTCGTTCTGCATGATCTCCCCATTCGACACTGTTTTCTTCTGCAGTACTTCTTTCGAGAGGTCGAGGTCAATTTCTGTTGATTGAACTCTAGCCGTTATTGCCTTATCTATTCTCCACTGCAGTGCCTAGGATCCTGACGCTTACCTCCTATCTTCATATCTAGCACTCGGTCAATGGCGTCGTCTGGTACATTATCGGGGTCAATTTCGCCCTTACGTTCTACCCTCAAGACGTGGCCACAGTTGCCATCCTCATGTATGGCTTTCCTTCCTTCTGTTCTCTAGTCGCCCTCAACTAACTCCTGCAACAGCCTTTCTTGGGCTGATACTGCAGCATCCACAGTGGGACGACTCTATGGTTCCTACACGCCCAAGCTACCTGCCCGTCTACCCATCCTCCGGTTGCCTCTGGCCCCGCGTAAGTCTGTCGCCGGGTTCATCGCAGCGTGTGCCACCGGTGCAGCCATCGCCGCTGGCTTCTGGGGCCTGATCGGGCCTCTGCGCGACGGCGGCGCAAATCTCACCTGGTCTTGGGAGAGCGGAGTGCGACAAGTCGTAGAAGGCGCTGCTGCGAAGAGTTTCGGCGTGGGTGGTGCCCTTGGCTTGCTTGCGATTTCGCTCGCTGCGGGGCTTGTTAGTGGTGTTGCTGAGGCACTAGGTGCGTTCTTATCTTTCCTCTTCCTGCCTCATTTTCTCACTCACATGTATTAAATAGACCTCGGCTCCGTAGACGACAACCTCACTCTGCCCATCATCTCCGGCGCCTGCATCCTCGGGTTCCTCAAGGTCCTCGGGCTCGCCGCCTCATGGTTCTCCTCATGATCATAATGAACGAGGAACCTAATATTGTTAGATACGTGCTCGACCCGACCCGACTTCGTCTCGCCATCTGGACTTGGTATCTATTCGACCTTGAGAAGCAAAACTGTGCCTGTATCCGCTAATTATACCTGCTCCTCCTTCCCTTCTTCCAACGCTCAACCACCCTTTACATCATTGCATTCCCCATGGCCGGCGGCCTTACACTACAGCCTTAGATTCCCCATGCTACATGCTACGCTATCCCTTCCGACTATTCACGACACTCGACACCCGACACTCACGCCATCACACCAACTTAATGACGCCATCCATCCACTCGTACGACTACTGAATGACCCTGCTTACTACTTAACTGTTACATTTCTGACCTGCATTTGCTTGGGTCTATTCTTTCTAGTCTGTCTCTCTTCGATACCACAGATTGTGTTTTTTTTTGCAATGGAATTCCCTTTCACTTCGTATCCTTTGTTTGAAGGATGATTCTTATACTTCCATTATCAGTTCGGTTACTTCAAGCTAAGCACGAGATTCAGGACGTAGTTCTAGGTACTAGGGAATATCCTACGTAGCGCTAACCGGTAAACCCCTTTCCGGGTGCTCTTGAATAGTGCATGTATTAGTATGCTGAAGGATGCGCCGCGATGTCCAAAAATAGCCTCCTCTAGAATGTTTATTATATGCAGGTACACGGATGCCGGAAATTCTCTTCGTTCGTGCTACCATTTGCACTGCCAAAGCCTCATCCTACGACGGTACATATATCACACTTTTAAATGCATTGTTTCGGGGAGTTGTTGCATACTGCCAATTCGAGCACCAAATTATCTGTTCTCAAAAGTACGACGTAAAACCACGCTACGTAGAACCGCAGTATCGCAGACGTGGTCACCTATCAGCGCTGCCCGATGTAAAGATTCTCCTGTTTCGGGCTTCAAGTGGTGTGAAGGTGACAGTAGAAGAGAAATTTCCGAACTTTGATGGTTGGGAGAATAAGGTATTTGGAGAAATGTGAAGGGAAGATGACCTTCCCAAATCGCTCTTGGGCCTCATGTTAACTTATACAGCCTTCTGACTTGACGAGAAAAAAATTACCGTCTTGCCTCAGCGCTCAGCATGCATCTCACCTCCTTCTATGAATTGCTGGTCGGATCCACGAGGCTCTCGCTTGCGGCTCTGCAGGCTCTCGGACTGGATTAAGTCTTCTCTGTATTCATATCGACAGCATAATTTCGCCTTACTCGATAAGCTAAAAGCTTCCACCGAGTCTTGAGACGGACATTGGACGCGTTGCCCTTTTTTTCTATTGTTTTCAATGGTATCAGTTATTTAAAATTAATCATCGTCGATCCGGAAGCTTTTGTTCAAGGGCGTCTCTCCCGCTTAGAACAGCGCACTGCCCGATGCCGATGTTCGAGGCTTGCGACGACCTGGAGGCAAGCCGGTTAGAAGAAAGCCGGTGTTGACTCTATCCCAGCCTCAAGCCTTCGCGCAATGCCGTCGTAATGGTCAATTTCAAGCCCGTCATCTGAAAGCTCAGGCTTCCGGAGAGTCCGAGTCGACGGTTTAGGGAGCTATACAATATGCACTCTAGCTTCGGGAGGTGGTAATTTTTACCTCCCTCGCATCCTTGCATCCTCTAACATTTCCTCAGTACCTACTTCTGGTCTCTCGACAATATCATCTACTACCTCAACCCTCTTCCAGCCAATCAAAGTCGGGGATCTGCCTCTCCAACACCGTGTCGTTCCCCCCCTCCCCTCACCCGACTCAGGGAAACCACGAAGGAATCGACTATCCTTTTGCAGAGGCTACGTCGCAGTCCGTTACAAAAGATGGTCAACCTGAGGTCCGATCTTAAGCGAGCGTGAAGACGAACCAAGAAGAGTAGATAGTAGACTGTCAGCGACGCTTAGCTTGTCTATCTTGCTTGAATCGCTGTGTCTGAATGTACCACTCAAGTTTCTAAATTATTTAAATTTATTCCATTGCTTGTAAGGCATCCAACCTCCTAATCCGGGAGCTCTGAAACCGAAGTATGCCAGTAATCTATAAGGCTTGAAGTAGAAAGGTGCTCACGTCGCGCTACTATGAAGCGCCATACTGGACAAAAATCACCTCCGATTTTTTTCTGAGCCTGGTTTATGAAGAAATCTTAAATAATCCTCAAGAATTCTTGAGATTCTTAAGTGATCCTTGAGATTTCTAGGGAAGCCTCGAGAATTCTTGATTACCCTCAAGAATTCTTCAAGAATCCTAAATAATCTTAAAGAAAATGCAAGAATCGTAAAGATTTGTTAAGAACAACCCATTTCGTTTTCACGGGTCATTAGGAATACTCAAGAATCTTTAAGAATCTTGACTCCCAAAAAAGGCGGGCCACTTAAAAACTAAATCAGCATTCATTGAGAATCTCTAGGATTCCTTAGGAATCTTAAAGACAGTGCTGATTTTCTTGTCGAGTCACCTTACGTCGCATTTCAAATTTCCATGCCGATTCTCTGACTTTCCTGCACTCCTATAAGCCACGAGAATACATCACATACTGTATTTAAACAAGGTATCCTTATATGTCAGGACTGTGGTTGAACAGTCCACCTACGGAGAGTGGCCTTGCCAGATGTGCCGGGGCTCGCGGCTGTGGGCAGGGCATGTCAACATATGCAAACAACACAGGAAACAGTGCCCGGACACTGTTCCTCGTCATTTGGGGTGCTCCCGCCCCCATTTTCAATGGCAAAAAGGCGCTGCCGATGAGGAAACATACTTCCTCATCGTTGTGCACCATTTCCCCCACCGTCGGGGGGGCAGGATAGGCTGGATTGGGAGGGGGTAGTTTGGATGATGCGGCGTTTCTTCGGGTGTCATCTATTTTTAGAAACTGTCATGTCTGGTGAGCTCAGACATACTCAGAGCACTCCAAAAAATGAAGAAAAAAATCATTTTAAATTGGAATAAAATAAGTACACTACATGGGTGGCTCTACCAGCCACCTGCTATGAGATAGAAAGAAAGAGAGCAGAAACGACACACTATGAGTGCGCCGTTACCACCTGTGGGACCTGCTGGCCATCCTCGTGGCCCTACCTGCCGCCGTCCCCTTTGTGCTTGTTTCGCTGCCGTGTTCATGTTCGTGTTGCCGCCGCCGTTGTGCTCGTGTCGCTGTTGTGTTCGTGTTGCCACTGCTGTTGTGCTCATGAAGCCGTCATGTTTGTGTTGCTGTCATCATTGTGCTCGTGCTGCATACCGCTGTCCTCGGCCTGCCATCATCCTTCGTGATTGTCCTTGTGCTCTGGGGATCGTGTCATGTTCGTCGTCGCCTTGTTCAGGGCGATGTGGTGTTGGAGTAGCTGGCAGAGGGTGTGTCAGGTGTGTGTGATGAACCCTCAGTCAGGCTGATGGCCATTACACCAACCGCCCACACCCCCTCGTGCTCGTGCTCGTGCTGCCCTCACCCTTGCCCTCTTGTCCATCTCACCCTTGGTCCATCTCACCCTCACCCTTGCCCTTGCCCTACCCACGCCGTCATTCGTCGCTTCTGGCACCCACATCCCTGTTGAGGGGGAGGGGCAAAGGATGCTGAGAGGGTGAGAAGCGAGAGGGGGGGGCGAGAGGGTGAGAGGGTGAGGGACAAGAGGGTGAGGGACAAGAGGGCGAGAGGGCGAGAGGGCGAGCAACAAGAGATGAGGTCGAGAGGGCGAGAGGGCGAGGGACGAGAGGGCAAGGGCAAGAGGTCGAGAAGGCAAGGGCAAGAGGGTGAGGGACGAGAGAGAGAGGGCAGCAAGAGACGAGGGGCGGTTGGTGTGGGCAGCCGAGGGTCTGAGCAGCCCCTGGTGGGGCTAAAATCCGAGATGAGGGTGATAGCACGACGGCAAGGGAGGAGGGTGGGGCCGGCCCACATCCCTAGAGAAGGGGAGGGGTGCACGGCGGGGGTCGTGTGGAGGGCCGTGTCATCTGCGACTCGGGTGGGCTCTGATGTCACAAAACACGTTAATTAGTCAATGAAAACAATGAAAAGTACTTTACATACCTTTTTGACACGTTTTCGGGGCTGGATGGCCAATGGAGAGGTGGTGGAAGCAGGAGATGGTTGACAAGGACAGTGATCAATGATGGCTCAACCATTGTTGATCGTTTTTCGGCCATTGCCATACCCGTCCAATTGGCTGTTGACCCTTTGGTCTGAGCCCTGTCTTCCGTCTTTCAAGGAACAGGATGTCTGTGTGCTCACACACAGCTCACCCAACCACAAAATAATAATCAGATATTGTTCTATACATAAACGTAAATGTGTATATAAAAATTTAAAGAGATCCCATGACAATTGAGCTCGTGATATAGCTCGCACAAGGCGTGCGTGGTGATTTTGGGCTTTTGCAAAGACTTACCTGTGTGTGTAGCAATAAAGAATTAATGAAATGAGACTATTTACATTAGAATCTCAACATAACATGTATTCTCTATATTCCTTAGGCTTCCCCCAACTGCGGCTGCCTTTTAAACATCACCAACTTCAAGTGCACATCTCAATGGTAAGATGTTCATTGAAACTCATGGTGCCAACACTGCACCTACATAATCTATGTCTGTCTAGACACATTCACGCCATACAAGTTATGGAGATAGGTCATCTTACATATCTAAACTAGCTCTGTATACTTATTTTATGAAAATATCTTGCTGATGACCTTCCAGGATGTCGCAAACAGCTTGCTCGACATCGCGGGTTGGCGGACCGGATGCTCCAGCCAATGGGCTCACGCTGCGGAGTTTGCCAAAACAACAATCAATGATGTTCAACATCATTGATTGTTGTTTCTCGACCACTACCTGCGACGCCCTGATGCTAGAGAGGCGCTACAATGTCGTATATAGGTAGGTAGTTCCACTTTCTATCATTAAACTTACTTGTTTGTGTATTCTATTCCTCCAGGCGCTCCCCCTCGCATTCGCAACCTGCCGCGTGCCCCTCCCCTTCAACAGGGATGTGGGCCGGCCTCTTT